GAACAGCCTTCGCGAGCGCCCTCTGCGGATCCACCTGAACAGGCAGGCGGTTTAACTTCTCCTCCGAAGGACAGCACCTCCGACAATGCAACTCTCCCCCCACCCCCCCCCATCGACCTTCTGTCCCAGAGACGAGAGAGCCACCACTGAGCCAGGCTGAGAGGCGGTGAGTGACAATTAAGTTACAGATCACGTGAAGCAAATTAGGATCAGATGATGACAGAGCTATGGCTCTGACAGGCTCACATTCAGTCACGTCCAGCGGGTGATACAAGCTGCCGCGGGGGGGAGGGAATGACAAGATTAACAGAGCAAATCACATCTTGTGTTCGATCAAATGGAAAGTTTATTAAAGACCAATCCAGGCAGCAAATCTCATGCCTTCTTTTTCATTAACACGTTTTGTTCTCAGCCTCTTCAACTAAGACTATCTCACAGGCCTGGGAGCCACTCACCCCTCAGGTGACAAGCGACCGCTCTCTGTGGTTCAACGTCTATCACATTCCGTGAACTCGTCTGCACATGTTTCCTATTGTCAGGTCCCGATTCACACTTTAACACTACAATCAACTGCAAGTCACTGACTGCGATCATCAAGTGGGGGTGGGGGGGGTGGAGGATTCAAGCAATTCATTGTCCCTGAGGTTGTGGGTTCACGCCCCCGTTAGGACTTTGAGCACCGAGCTGATACTCCGAGCTGGGGGAACGCTCCGTTGTGAGAGACACCGTCCTTTGGATTGAGACGTTAAATCAAAGTCTCGTCTGTGCCTGTTCAGTTAGACGTTAAAGACCTCCTTTGCTCTCGGGATCTTCTGCAGAGTAATGAGCAGCACAGTCACTCACAGCCTTGGCCTCTGTGTCTCACAGGCCAAACATCCAGAGACCCTCATCCCACTGGGGTGCGGGGAGGTGGTCGCGGTGGGGGGAACCCGCTTCCGACTTCCAGATACAATCTCAACAGTGTCAGTGACAGCTCTGAGCTTAGTCATTGCCTGAGGGTGACTGAGGCTCCACTCGCTTCTTTCCAAACAACAACAACAACAAAATTACATTTGTAAGACAATTTTCACATTGGGAGGACGTCCCAAAGCTCTGAACCCGAGCTGGGGGTCAGGATCGGGGAGGGTGGAGGGCAGTGGGGGAAGGAGGGTGATCGAAAGCACGGTCGAAGAGGAGAGTCTTGAGATGGATCTTGAAGGAGGCAAGGGAGGGGGCAAGTCAGATGGACCTGCGGAATGGAGTTCCAGAAGTTGGGAGCAGAGTGACTGAAGGCCCGCCCGCCAATGGTAAGGGCGGGCGAGACGGGGGGCGTGAAGCAGAGCAGAGTGAGCGGGCAGGATGGTAGAGGGTTAGGAGGTCGCAGAGGTAGGGGGGAGCGAGGCCATGGAGGGCCAACTCCAAGCTCCTCCCTCACATCCAAATCCCTTCTCTACTCTGTTCGTATCCTCCTTTTCTTCCCCTTCTTAGCCTCACACAGACCTGCTGCCCATTCCACAACCCCTCAGTCTCATCATCAGCCACTACCTCTCTAACCTCTGGAACTCAGTGCCTCCTCAACAACAATAACAACAACTTGTGCTTATATAGCCCTCCTCAGGCAGGGTAGCGTCTCAGAGCGACCTCAATCCCTCCGCCTCATCCCATTTCTACCTATCTTTAAATCCCACTTGAAGACTATGTGTAAGCAAACTTCTCCCTTCTCCCTTTCTGGACTTCAACACCACCAGAGAGTGAGACATTATACACTAACACCAACAACAAAAACAACAACTATACCATGTGAAGGCCGCTGTGCACATTGTTTTTGTTTTACAGCCCACGACGCACATCTTATAACTCCGTACACAGCCAACATTAGGTAACAAGAGGAAACATAACAATAATAATAATAATAATCCTCGCAACATCACATCATAGAGGCGTCAAAACACATCACAATCACAAAATGTGACTCTAAAGTGCAGTGACTGTATTGTGTAAAAGCTCCCTAGAGGCCGCCCGGCGCGAAGGGCGCCATATAAATGCAAGCTGTTGTTGTTGTTGATCTTAGGTGATCGCGGCAGCCAATCTGACACAGCAACGTATGGCGTAGTGTCCAGCGGAAGCTGAGCTGCGGGTGCATTGCTGCCGGTTTGGTCATCCTGACAGATTATTGGTGCCGCCTAGTGACTGAGTTACAAAGTGCAGCCCAAAGAGCCATCGAAAGCCATTCAGTCGCTCGCAATCACCTTTCCCTTAGACCCTACTGTTTACTCTGGGATCTTCGGTACAATTCTTTTTTACAGTTTATTCTGCGAAGGGCTTTGAGACGTCTCGAAGATGTGATACATCACATTCAAGGATTATTGTTATTATTATTATAAACAAACTACATAGTCACCGGCAGAGTCTGTCTCCTGACCGTTATCTAAGAGTGTCGTTGGGAGCTCAGGGAAGTTTTGTAGCTATTCAGGGTTGTTCTGTGAGTTAGATCAGAAGGTGGTGGTTTTCAATCCTGACAACAACTTGATCTATTAGAAGAGTAAAGTCTGGGTACAAGAGACAAAGTCAGACACCAACAACAACAGTTTATAAGCTTTGCCACTATGAAGCATACATTTGCAATCATTTTAATATGTTATCCCTTTGTATCCTGTTAATTTGATTATCATGTAACATCGCCCGACTCCGCCACTACCTCACCCCTCAGGCCGCTGAAACTTTTGTTCATGCCTTCATCACCTCCAGATTCGACTATGCAAATGCCTTCCCAACTCCTCCCTCCACAGTCTGCAGATAATCCAGAACTCTGCAGCCCGTGTCCTCTCCCGCACCAAACTCTCGCCCGACTCCATTGGCTCCCTATCCTTCAGAGGATCCAGTTCAAGATCCTGGTCCTCACATACAAAGCCCTCCATGGCCTCACCCCACCCTACCTCTGCGACCTCCTAACCCCCTACCAACCCGCCCGCTCCCTCCTCTTAGCCGGCTCTGGTCTGCTCCCCGACCCACCCAGCCCACCATTGGTGGGATAGCCTTCAGCCACTCTGCCCCCAACCTCTGGAATTCCAGTCCCCAATCACTCCGCCTCGCCCCCTCCTTAGCCTCCTTCAAGTCCCACCTCAAAACCTTCCGCTTCGACCATGCCATCAGCCACACCCCTTCCCCTCCCTTCTCCTTCCCTGGCCCCAGCTCGGGTCTGAAATGCAGTACACTTTCTAGTGCTTTGGGATGTCCTCCTGACATGAAAGACGCTCTACAAATGTAATCTTGTTGTCTTAGTATGTATTTTTGTATCATAGATGCCAACTAACTTTTATACTGTTATACCTTGTTGTAACGTTGAGATGAAACAGACACCGTCTTTGGAGCTCGCTGTGCCTAGTACTTAAGACCTTGGGATCACGATTGAAGAAAACTGTGCACCCATGTCTCATGACTAGGGGGAGCTAACCCAACCCTAACCCTAACTGCTCTGCATTCGTGCAAGTGGAAAATCACTCTCAAAACTCTGAGAAATTGTCTTTAGTGAAGCCGAGCCTGAGATAAGGTCGAAGGCCAACATTTGATGGAAGAAACAGCTGCTGTAAAAGTAGTGTGGCTATTGTGACGTGATTGGAAAGTAATAATAATAATAATAATAATCCTGGCATTTGATCACATCTTCGAAATGACTCAAAGCGCTTCACACAATATATTGTAAAGTGAATCGACTGTATATTTTGTGGGCGAAACGCAACCCACAAACAGTCACTGCTGTGCGCAATTGGCTGCCGCGTTTCGCCCACAAATATACGGTCAATTCACTTTACAATATATTCTGTGAAGCGCTTTGAGACATCGAGAAGACATGAAAAGCGCTGTATCAAATGCAAGGATTATTATTATTGTTGATTGAGTGTAAGAAAAACTCCCTTCTCTTTTTGAATCGTTCCATGGGGTCTTTAACCATGTAGAGATTGATTGGAAAGGGGAGAGGTAAGGACAAGATCAGGGAAAAATGCTGTTTGAGTATTGGTACTGGATAACCGAAAGTTGAAGCAGCCTTTAGAGGGAATAAGAAGTAATGACGTTTCCTGGATGAGTAAATCGACCTCTCTATACATGCACGTCGCTATATAAAGGTCTCTTTAATAAAATCGGTTGTTGAAGGGACACCTGTATCTTTGAGTTTGATTATCTTGGTGTTCGAAATCTTATTTCAAGTAAATATAGGATTAACCTACGTGCAGTTAACAAGCTACAGCCCCTGTGTTGATCCAGCCCCGCTGACAACAAGCTATTTCAATAAGATACCAGCAACGTAAGTGGAGGTGGTACCAGCAAATGCATCAACAGGAGAAAGGTAACAGGAGAAAATGTGTAGCGTTGTGGCTGATGGGTTAAAGTGTGAGTTACTGGCAAAGTCCTCGCTGTATTACTTTACAGTGAGTCGCTTTCGGGAAAGCGGATGGAATCGTCACATATGAAGAAGCGCAAGGAAAAGGTTTAGTGGATAAAATCGATGTGTGCTGCGCTCTGGGGCCCAGTAACGGAGAGCCTGCCATCCCCTATTGGGTTACAAACAGTCCTCGATCGTCTCAGAGTAAAAAAAATTACCATTTTTCTGCAGGAAAGAGCTCTGCGCAGTTTATTACTGACTGACTGAGGTGTGGCACATCCTGGGTGTGTAGAGGGACGTCTCGGTGGCAGGTTGACGGACTCAGTGCTTTACGGTTGGTCAGCCGGGGTGTCTGACACACACAGAAGCCCCTCACCGTGCTGAAGGGTATCCAAACCAAACTGAGAATTCCATGGATCCCAACTACACGTGGAGATTCCAGAGGTAGACTGCGCTCTCTCTCCTCCTGGGCGGACGCATCCCGCCCCTGCCAAGGTTTGCGGAGCCCAGCCTCGCCGCCTAATACTTTCCGGAATTCACTGCAGGTAGCTTGACCTCACACACCTGAGCTCTTTACCTCCCCCCCCAGAGGGCGTGAGGCAGGGAATAAAGTGATACCGGAGTGAGTCACTGTTGGCTGCTGACTCTGGGCGGGTTTAAAAGGTATTTGTTACACCTGTGCCCAGGTAACTGGTTCCTCCCACAACTGTCACCTGGTACAGGATGTGTAAGTGACCCGGGTGAAAGTCCCAGCCTGACTGTGCGCAATCAATCAGGAAGGGAATCGGGGGAGAGCAGGGAGGTTGCGGGGCAATAACAACAACAACAACTTACATTTGCATAGCACCTTTCACGTCAGCAGCGTGAGTGACAAGGTACAGTAGATGGTTTAATTCTGCCTGATGTTGGCTCGGTGTCCGTCGCTTGCGAGTGGAAATTGTGGATCACAGTTGCATTCGATGTGAATCCGGCTGAGTCACGCTGTGGAGAAGCAGAGCGACGGCTTCTTAAAGAGCTCAAGAAACGATAACAGAAAAAGGTGGTTTAAGTTCTATGTTCCATTCCAGTCTCTCTGTCGAAACGTGGCTGAATTCTGTTAAGGTAAGGAGGGAAAGTGTTCTCGCTGAGCTTTCCTTCTCCTGTTGTTGTGTCTCACTGTGTTTTTGAGCAAATGACTTCCTGGTTCATTTTCAGTGGAATGTGATTTTCCCCAGGACACAGCAACAGGTGGCCTTTGTGCTGACAGTAAAATGATGAAGAGCAGAGATCAGTGGCGAAAAACAAATGTCTCTCTGCTGTCGTTTTCAAAAGCCTCAGAGCAGAGGGCTTGGGGCTGGAGTTTGGGCATCCACACCTGATTGATCTCTACCCTGGATGGTACTGGAGTCAGCTCATGTCATTATAGCCTGGCAGGTTTCTGCTCCAGTGCACAAGGATTGCTTTTAGTCGTGTAGATGCCTCTGAGCTGCTTGGCTCTCTGTGCTACAACATCGCTGCTGGTTTCAGTAAACCCACAGCCTCTGGCTTTGCAATGCAAATCACACAGTTAGTTTCACTTCAGCGCAGAGAGAAAGTTCAGCGACTTTGCTTTAGTTATGAATTTGCATACAAGGCAGGTTTTAAATGAACCTGTTTGGCTTTTCCTGTTGTGATAAACGTGGGGCTATTCCAATAGAGAGGTGTCCAGGCCAACCATCCCCCAGATAGAATTGATGGTTCGCTTGGTGCTGTTTGTGGGATGTTGCTACCGCCTAAAAATACACAGACAGGGGTTTGGGAGATCTTTCAACAACAGTTTGCTCCACATGTGTCACATTGTCCATCTCCGACTGTACCTCACACCCAATGTAGCCAAATCCCTCATCCATGCTTTCGGCACCTCCAACAACAACAACAACAAGATTCCATTTATAGAGCGCCTTTCACGTCAGGAGGACCTCCCTCCTCGCCCGGCCCTCCTTGCCGGTCTCCCCAGCTCCACTACCCACACAATCCAACTCATTCAAAACTCTGCTGCCTGTATGTTCACCCGCACTAATCTCCGTACCCCCATCACCCCAGTCCTCGCCAGGCTCCACTGGCTCCTTATCACAGAACAGATATACTCACTCGTCTACAAATTCCTTCATGCCCTGGCATCTCCCTACCTCCCCCGAACTTCTCACTCCCCACTCCAGTATCCTCCACCTCTGCTTGGCTAGTACCAACATCCTGCTTGTAACTCACTCCCTCCTCTCCACCATCGGTGGCTGTGCTTTCAGCCACTACGCCCCAAAGCCTTGGACCTCTCTTCCTCAATTCCTCCGCCTTGCCCCCTCCTCGTATTGTGACAGTCTGGTGGATGTTAAAGATCCCACGGCACTGTTCAAACAGAGAAGGGAGTTTCTCTCTCCTGGTGTCCGAGCAAACAATCCCCCGGATAAAATTGATGGCTCACTCCACGCCTGGTTTTGGGATGTTGCTGTCCAGAAGTTAACTGTTGCATTCGCCTCACAAACACACAGTCACTACACTTGGCAGTAAATCCCGTGAAGCTTTTGCAAAAGACAAGCGTTGAATTGTTTGTTATCGTTCGCTGATCTTGTCTGGTCTCTAAAGATGCAGAACCGTGACCTGGGCAACGAGATCGAGGACCAGTTTAATGATGTGTTGAGCCGATTTCAAAGCAAGGAACTCTTTCAGTCGAATTGGGACATCGCCACCTTCGCTATTTTCCTCACATTTATCGGTAAGAGACGTCTCAAAGCGCCTCACAGGATATGCTGTGAAGTGGATTGACTGTGAATTTTGTGGGCGAAACGCGGAAGCCAATTGCGCACAGAGGCGTCCCACAAACAGTCGTGGATTGAGTGACCAAATTACTATTATTTTGTTTTTTGGATGGATTACTATTGGCGGAAACCATCCGCTAATCGACTCACAACTGGGTTTCTACTTACAGATGGGTAAACAGAGTCTCCCCCTCCCTCGCTCACTCCCCCTCTCTCTTTTTCTCTCTCACTCTCTCTCTCTCCCAGCTACCGTGATCCTCCTCATTCTCCTGGTGTTGGTGCGCTGCTGCTGTTGCTGTTGCTGCTCTTCATCTAAGGTGAGAATTGTGTGGATGCACTGTTCTCGCTCACTCCCGCACCGAGTCCCTCCCCAGCACAGCCTCACAACAGCCAGACCCTCACACAGCCCCTCACACCTACACAGCCCCTCACACAGCCCCTCACACCTACACAGCCCTCATACAGCCCCTCACACCTACACAGCCCCTCACACAGCCCCTGACCTTTACATAGCTCTCACACAGCCCCTTACACAACACGTCACACACCCCTCATACAGCCACTCATACAGCCCCTGCAGAGCAGTTCCAAAAAAAGGTTCATACGTTCAAAAACACATTAATTGCAGGTTCCTTACAGTGGGCAAGGACAGGGCAAAGGGAGGCGGAGTGAGGGAGCAGGAGCGAGGGGAGGGGAAGCGAGAGCAGCGGTGAGATTTTGGAAGTGCAGAGGACAGCAGTGTAATGACTGAATGCTCAACCACTGAACCTTAAGACTAGAGAGTGGAGAAAATTCACTCTAATAGACCAGAGCTGAAGAGCAAAGGCTGTGCTGGAACACCGGGTTGGAGAATAGGATAATAATAATAATAATCTTTACATTTGATATAGTACTTTATTACGTCATTGCGATGTCTCAAAGCGCTTCACAGGATATATTGTAAAGTGAATTGACTGTATGTTTTGTGATGGGATGTGGGGAGACCAGGGAGTGATCTGGGGCCGGCTGGAATGGTGTTTGTGAAGGTGGATAAATGGGTCATTGGTTTCCCTCAAGCAGCTGCTGCAGGTGTGCTGACTGTTGTACTAAAACAACAACAACTTGCATTTACACTGCGGCCTTCACACAGGGCAGAGTCTCAGAGCTCTGCTCAGTGCTGTTGATGTTGGGATGGAAACTGTCAGCATTTACAGAAAAGTGAAGGTTAATAACCAGTCAATCTTGGATTCAGGTGTTTGAGTCACATCTGTCACAATCGGAGATGTAAACAGTGGTGCCTCCCAGGGGGTAGTGTGGGGACCACAGTTTTTCTCTGTTTATATAAACGATCTGGTTCTGATATAAAGCAGCTCAGTTTCTAAGTTTGCAGATAACACAAAGATAGGGAATGTAGTTACCAGTGAAGCTGACTGCAAGCACCTGCAGGGGAATGTAGACAGATTAGTTGATTAGGCAGAGAAATGGTAAATTAAATTACTGCAGACAAATATGAGGTTATACATTTTGGGAGGAAGAATAAGGAGAATATGTTTATGTTGTGGTAAAAATATTAAGCTGAGTGGAAGAGCAGAGGGGCTTATGTACATAAATCCTCAAAGGTGGGAAGGCAGCTGGGCAAAGCTGAGGTCTTAGGTTTTATAAATCGAGGGATAGAATATAAAAGCAAAGAGGTGATGCTGAACTTAGATAAATTGTTAGTTAGACCCTAGTTAGAAGATTGTGTCCAGTTTTGGTCACCCCACTTTAGGAAAGATGTCAACGCAATATAGGGAATGCAGAGGAGATGTATGAGGATCATACCAGGGATGAATGGTTTGGCCTAGGAGTGGAGACTTTTGATAGAGTCAATAGAGAGAGAATATTTCTGCTGGTCAGTGAATCAATAACTAGATGGTATCAATTCAAGCTAGTTAGTAAACAAGCAAATGGGGAGGTTAGAAGAAATGTTTTTCCACAGAGCGGTTAGGATCTGGAATGCCCTGTTGGGAATGCTGGTTGAGACAAAATCTATATTGGCTTTCAAGTGGGAACTAGACAAAGAGTCAGCTACAGGGGTATGGGGAAAGGCCCAGCAAATGGGACTGAAAGGATTGTTCTTGAGGGAGCAGCACAGACATGATGGGCCTAAATAGCCTTTCTCTGTGCTGTAAATGTCTCTGGTTTTATCTAAAGATCAAACTAATGTTCTATTTCTTCTCCAGTCTCGGAAGACCAAGGTGGGGGTGGACAACTTAGGGATGGAACCCTAGAGCTGGAATGATCACTGACCAGACTCTGCCTCTCATTGTGTCTTAATGATCTTACTGATGGGGAAAAGGCGTATCCATGTGGTTTTAGTTAGTTAGCCCCAGCAGCTTTCTGAATCAGCCAATTTCTCATCACTTTAATAATATCATAAAGCCATCTTTTTGTTTATTGGGTTTAATTGAGCAACACTACAAAATTGGGCGTTTTAATTTCGATTCTAGGTGACAGAAATTGTTGTGTGTGTAAAAAAAAAGTGTAAAAACGTCAATGGTTGTGAGGCATGCAGAACTTCTCAGCTGATCAGTGTTGAGAGACAAACTGGGCGATGGTTAGGTACATGTTCTGACCTATCTCTGCTGTGGAACCAAACGCAGGCAGCTCTGCAGTACTTTCCTGATCAGCGTTCCAGCACGCACACCCCTGAGCTTGCAGTTTACAAATACCCAGGTTACTGAGCTGTGTGAACCAGTCGCCTTAATGCAATCAAAGTTCATGTGAGGCTGAGGTGGGTGTGGAGTGTTAAAGTTCACTGGTGTTCACTGACGCACAACTCAAAACAAATAGCAAGATCACAAGATGGGTTCGGATGAAGAAGGTCCTTCAAACCATCTGATCTCATCCCTCACCCACCCTACTGTTTCCCCCACCCCATCACAGCATTGCGCTGCTTTTTAAATAAGTTCCAGTGTCCTGGCCTCAACCACCCTCCTTAGTAATCCTGTTCCAGGCATTAATTACCCTCTGAGTAAAGGGATGTGAGTGTAGTCTCCTACTTGTGAGAAATCCTTTTGTTCCCGGGATTCTCATGAACCTGCACTGCTTTCCCTTGCTTTAATAGTTGTCGGGGCCAGTCTCACACTAATAAACCATCACTGCCTGACTTTTATACTCCACGGCTCGCGTGTAAAACTGTAATAAAGCGCAAACGGATGTTCAGGATCCTGTTTGTCCTTTTAGCAGCGTTGTCCACCTGCAATCCCACCTGCAATGAGCTCTGTCTTTGCTCTCCGCACGCCTCTGTTTGGCCTTTGAGAATCCCCCCACCCCAGGTATAATTCCTCTCTCACAAAATCCGTCACCTCACACGTGTCTATGCTGAACTCCATTTGCCACAAACCTGCCCACTCTGCGATCCCTTCACTATCTTCCCGCAGCTTCCTCATTCCCTGTCGCTGTGAACATCTCCTGATCAACAGCAAATTTAGACATTAGTTGCGTCTGTTTTTGAAATCACTGAAGTGTATTGAAGTGTATTGAAGTTGCAAAGATTGCAACTGCCTGGACCTTAAACTGAAATGAATAAATTAATGACTACCAGTCTCATTTATTTAAGCAACCACCTCTCACTCTCACCCCCCCCCCCCACCACCACCACACACCGCACCTTGGGCTCCCCCAATGCTGTTGTCCACCTCGAGGTGATGTCTGTGGCCTGTCTGATGCCCCTTCACCATCTCCTGCAAAGGATTGATATAGGTACCCAGTGATGGGTGTGGGGGTGGAGGGGGAAATTTGAGCTCAGTCTGACTTGTGTTAATTGTTCTCATCTGCAGAACTGCTCAAATCCCATATTTATTTTGTGGTGTAGGTTTAGTGTGGACATGTCAAGGAGACATCAGCAGTCCGACATTGATGTAACATTAAGTGTCACTGTGCAGCCAACCACAGCAATACACGGCGGAAACCCATGCATGCAGACTGCAGGTTAATGTTTCTTGGTGTCAGACGTGTCTGCATTGCTCCCGCTGACAAATAAACCATCAGGTTTGAGACTGACATTTTCTGCAAAGAATGAGGCCATTCCGAATCAGAAGATGGTGGGTTCAAGTCCCACGTTGGGACTTTGAACTCCTTCTAAGCTGACACTCCAGTGCAGTGCTAGGGCGTGCTGAGTTGTTCAGGTGGAAGTTAAAGATTTCATGGCACTATTAGAAAAGAGAAGGGAATTTCCTTCTCCCTGTGTTCTGATCAACAATCCCCCAGATAAAACCACTCACTTCACGGCTGGTTGTGGAACATTTACTGTTTGCAAATTGGCTGCCACAGGTTTTTACAGTAAAACCTGTGAACACTCTGGATGTGAAAGACATAATATCAAATGTAAGCTCTGTTAATATACCGTTATTGTCATCAATCTCACATTGCAGCTTTCTCCACAAAACCTTTAATGTTTTTATTCTTTCACCTGGGGAAAAGGAGGTTAGAAGGTGCAGAATAGGGAAGCGATCGCTGACGAGAGGAGATGCTTTTCAGAGTGAATTCAGCGATCGCAAATATATTATGAATCGATTTGAATAGATGAGCCCAGGCTGTGACTTAGTCATTTATCAGAGGAATCCTTTACTGAGATTCTGAATGATAATCTTGGTCCGCGTTAAATACATTTGGTCTCATGCAGTTACATTAACATTACATAGGAAACGTGCAACGATATCTCTTACCACTCTAGGTTATCACAAAAATAGTAACAGAGCAACACGACTGAGAACCAGAAGGTTTTCGCATTACATAATGACACTGGAAGAGCTTCTGGCCCTTTCGTTAAATTAAAACGCACACATGGCACAAACTTAATTCATTCAGGCTTACTCAACCCCCAAACTCTTTTCAAGTTGATGAGATACTGATCCATTCAGCATTGTGTATCAGACCCTCTTGCTCTAGTGGATAGAGCAAGTTTCTATACGTGTGTCAATGGTGGACAAAGGAGGCCCAGAGGCAAGCTGCCCAGAGAGTAACCACAATATCTGGACATCTGCGTTAGGTTCCCAGCTGAGAAACCAGTCAACCAACGAGTGAGAAAACAACCAGGATTTCCGTCTCCCTCGTGGTGTTGTTTCTACTGAACGAAGAAATGTACGAGGACAAAGAACACCTGCACTGATGATTAACCATTAAATGGTTTGGAAACTATTAGTGTTATACATACACAGTGATACACATACATGTTCCACATACACAGTGACACAGAACACAACAACAACTTGCATTTATATAGCGTCCCAGAGCGCTTGAGTGGTGGAGCATAGTGATACACATACATATTAGACCTACAGAGATACAGCTGAAGACAGCAGCAGCAGTGTGCCAGGACTCACTAGTGTGTTTAGGGTTTGAGGAGCCTATGGTAAGGCTTTTGAAACCCACTCCCCTGTGGGCAGGTTTGAACATATCAAACCAGGCTACAAAGTGGACAGACGATGAGAACATATAATGACTGAGAAGCTCATGTGGTGGAAACAAAATTGATAATGCATACAATATTCAATTTGATTGATCAAGCTGGACACCAAATGTAACAATCCCTCCACTGCCACCCACTGGGACACTGCTGTGGTAATTGGCTGCTGCCAACAAAATACACAGTCAATCACTTTACAGTATATTCTGTGAAGTGCTTTGAAATGTCTCGATGACGTGTTAAGATGCTGTATCAAATGCAAGGATTATTTATTAATATTATCTATAACCGTCAAACATATTTCTGTAGTTTGAAATGCTTATGTAGACAGAAAATACAAGGAGAGAATGAATACAGTTAATCAAATTTCACATTTAAACCAAACCTGATTTGGCCAAGGAGTATCTTCTGGCTACAACCAAACACACTATGTCTGGTGGATTCAATTACCTAGTGGGGTGGTGGGGGTGAGAGTGGGTTGGTACTGTATAAATAGTGCAACGTTTGGCAAGCTTTATTAACAAAAATAATCTCCTCCCATATACTCCTACAGTGATTGCTTGTGATGTTTCTTCCCATCTACTGGAATGGTGATCGATGTGATGGGCTGTTTCTCCTCCTACACACAGTGATCTATATACGACGGGTGTCCAGTACACGGTATCTGGCGACACTGACATCAATGACTTGGAAGATTCACGTTTGCAAATAACTCAAATTATTCCTCATCTTATTTTTTCATTTTGAAATTTGAAGAGAAACATTGTCAGGACCCGCCATGATGGCTTACAGCAGTGGTGGCCAATGTGTGGCCCACGGGCCAAAAGTGGCCCACAGGACCATCAAGAAGCGCCCCCATGCCCCCGAACGTTCACACAAGTCCGTGATCGATTGGTAGTGGTGTTTTTTTCTTTTCTTCATTGAACATCTCTTGATTCATGGCAAAAATCAAGAAATATTCAATCAAGATTGTTTTGTTTTTGTTGCCTCAACCCTGAAGGCATAAAGGGTGACTTCTTCCCCAGGAACACTGGAACACCACACACACCAGGTTCAACTCCTGAGCCAGGCTGAATTCTCTCTGTGAGACGCTGAGAGTGGGGGTAAATGGGTTTGTGGGGAGGGGTGAGGGTGTGTGGCAGGGCAGGCAGGGAGTCGAGGTTCCCCACATCACTGTGCTTGGTGACATGTGCGAAGACCGGCCCCTGGAAGTTACTGGCAAAGGTTCCAGCCAGCTCAAGGCATGGCTCGCGGGAGAGAGAAAGTAAGGGGAAGAAAGGAATTCTCTCCCTTAAAGCTGTCAGCATGCGACATGTGGTCCAAAAACAGCGTCCTGATAATGTCTCTGTAAAACAAACTCAAACTGCAAACTTATTCTTACACGATAATGAGTAACGACCTCAACATCTGTGAGACTGGACACACCCAAGCTCAGAGCGCAGCCCCGTAGCCATAGTTTATGACCAGCCAACATCAACTTTGTCGGTTACTCACAACGAAACCTCCTTGAACCTTGTCAGACAAATGACATCAGAGAAACCATGTGTTACTGAACTAATGGAAACTTCTGGAGGTCTAAAAAAAACAGCAATAAGGTACATTTCTCCTATATTTTATCCACTGATGTGCAGAGGTCAGATTTCACTTATGTTTAGAACCACAGAGCTGTAGGGTTCTGCCCTGACACAGAACATCCATTTTGGTCACAATTTCATTTCCAGCTGATTGTAGATAAACAAATACCGATTCTCAGACCCACGTCACACTACCTCGAATTTCTATCACGCAGGACTCCTGATCTAAGCATAAATATCTCTAACTCTTAGATTTTTTAATCCTTATCACTGTATAACCCTCTATATGTGTGTGCACAAAGATGAGAGACAGCAGCACATTGTCGACAATGTCTAAATGGTGAGACATGCTTTGTTCAGGTTTCATTTTAGTGCAGTCTGAATTCAGGAGCAAATCACTGAGAGGACTGAGGTAAGTAACCTTCTGTTTACAGGAATCCTCCAATAAGAACAATCCTTATTGAGACCGAACATCTCGTGGCAATGTAGCTAGGCATTCTGAGATTCAACTACAGTGCAGCCCTGTTGTAATGTGCTTCCTTACAGCTCAAATTTCGTGATAATGAGGTTGAACTGTGGACCCCATTCACTTTGTCTGCGTAAAGCCGGCCACTTGCTTCGTAATCGCTAGAATTCCTGATTAAAAAGGTTATTTGGTCTTCGCTGATGTCACTTCTTGTTTTGTACATCTACCGGAAGTGACATCAGCAACAATTTGACCATCTAAAAGTCGGCCGTTTTGTAAGAAAAATCTGGCCGGGTGCTTGGTGTAGAGCTGAGGCCTGAGTGACCCCACGCTCATAGAGGGTGTAATATAATGGGGTTGCTATGTGAAAGGGAGACAATGCAATTAGTGACTGAATCTATGAACATGATATGTTTACACTTAAAACAGCTCACTTCAGCTTTTCCATCCCCCCCCCCACCTTTTGTGGACCCAGCAACATAGTTAATTCAAAACCATTTTGTTGGTCAGGAAGTGATACTTGTACACACTGTTTTTCTGTTTAAGTCTCCCAGCAATCTGGTCCACGGGTTCAGAATGATGGGAAGGGTGCAGTGCACAAGCTGCAGCTTATTTCCAGACAGGTTCGGTGGAAGTGTAAATTGTCACAAGTAGCAGCTTCTGTATCTGATCTAGTACCGATGTGTTCACCAGGTGCTGTGACAGTATCTATTCAAAACGCAAACCTGTGGGCGTTTGGAACAGGTTCCTGCAGCCCTCAACACTGAGAGTGGGTTTAACCTTCAACCGTTGCCAAGTGCAGGCCACCCGAGGAGACGTGAGGGATCTCTGACAGGGGAAGAAAGTGCATGGAATATAGTTCCTATCGGGATCTACAGTCAGTAGCATAGTGACTGCTGAACCAGTGGGAGACAGCAGGCTTACTCAACACTCAGTGCAGTCCGAGCCTTCAGTCTCAGGAACACGCTCAATAGGGCTGAAAATTCCAGTAACTGGAAAACACGGAGATCTGCAAAGATGAGAATAAAAATGAACAATGACAAAAACTGTGTGTAAAAGTCCAGTAAAAGTCACTTTTGTAATACAAGACAGGTACGTCAGGATAGCAGCTGATCCGAAACTCTGAATGTCTGTCCTCTCTGTGAATGACTGATCAGAAAGCCTTTTACACTGTAGATCATCTGCAAGAGCTTTACATCACTGACTGGGAGCCAATACTGGGGGCAGGGTGGCCAAAGGCACGATCAAAATGATACTGGAAGTCTTAAGACTGGTTTTGAAGGGATTGGGGGGTGGGGTGACGGGGCTCCAGGATAGTTCCAGAAAGCAGGGCAGAGTGGCTGAAACCTCAGCCAATGATGTTGGCGCAGATCAGGCGGAGGGAACACGAAGCAAGCCGAGTAAGCAAAGGGAACAACCGAGTCTAACATAAAATGACACATGTTTAACCAGCACCTTCACAGGTGATGCCTCAAAACTCTTCAGTGTTGCACATGCACCCAAGCTGGGGGGGTGGGGAGGGGAAAGGTGACCGAGTGCGTGGACCATGTCATCTGTTTTGGGATGTGCTCTGAAAGGGTGAGAGGGGAGGGGGCGGATTTGGAGGGATGTGGAGGGTGGGAGGTGATGTAACAGTTTTACATCAGTATCGATCCTCTACAAGGGCCCAAGTCACTGACAATGTCAAACGGAAGCACAATCAGAACAGCCGCTACACAAGTTGCAGTGTAAAGTTGGCCTGTTCCCTGTCAGTGGTGGGGGAGAGGGGTCTCACCTTGTCCTTTAGTTGTTGGCAAAGCTGCAGTGCGATGGTGAAGAACACCAGGGTGTCGCTGAGCCAGGGCACCACACATTCCACCTTGTGCACATGGCTGACTTCCAACTTCTGATTATTCAGTTCACTGTAACAGACAAACACACACGACACCTGTTCCAGTTTGTTTTTTCTGCAGAATTGTGCTACCAGCTAGTCACATCCTCCTCCATCCCCAGAGCTGCTTTCAGCCCGCCCACACCCACCCTCCACATCACCTCCCCTCCACCCTCCACATCACCCCCCACACCATCTCTCATCCTCCTCTGACATAGCCCACCACATCCACATCAAGCTCTCTCTCCCTCCTTGCCCCATCTGAACAACTGAAGACATTTGTTTAATCAGCGCAAGCTGGAGAGACAGCCTGTCCCGAGACTTGGCCACAGCGTACAGGAGCTTTCTGCCTCAAGGAACCAAATTCATGTCACCGTTCACTGGGGCAATAGTGTTTCCAGTTTTTTTGTCAGGTAAGTGCCTGGAACCCGGGGCAACACACCAGCAACAGACTATTATTCAACAACAAACTGCGTTTACTGGGCTCTTCACGTGGGATAGAATCTCGGAACACCGAACATTGGGGGAGTTTGAATCCAAAGCAGGGAGAAAGGAGAGGAAAGGAGGGATTGAGGCAGGGAGTCCAGAGGTTTGGGGCGTAGTGGCTGAAAGCACGGCCGCCGATGGCGGAGGCAAAGAGGGACAGGCTGAAGGCTTGAGCTGGCCAAACCAAGTGGGCGGGAGATGTGATCAGGTTTCAGATGTAGGGAGGTGTGAAGTAGGCGAGTGTGAAGATTTTGACATTTTGTCTGTGACAGGAAGTCAGTGGAGCCTGACAAGGACTCGGGTGATGGGGGTACGGAGTTTGGGGCAGGTGAGGATATGGACAGTGGAGTTCTGAATCAGTTACGCTTTGTGAATGGTCGAGCTGGGGAGACCAGAGAGGAGTGACAACAATATCTACAATATCAGTCACTGTCTACTCTGCAAAACTAAATTCTTAATTCATTATTTGCCCAGTTGCCAAATGAAGAAACCTAAACAGGTCTGAGGAAGGGCACTTACAACATGGACCCGGGATTGTGCAGCACAGAGCTTCCTGCAGGCCTGAAGTTCTGCAAAGTGAAGGGCAAAGGGAGACTGATCAAAAGGTGGACTAACAGAAGACACACAAGCTAAACATAGCCCCCCACCCTCCGCACTGTAATCACCTGCAGTGTGACTGCACTTTCCTTACCTTGTTCAGATTGGGCTGCAGAAGGTGGAGCTGGTAGACAATCAGACACAGCTTACTCAGGTTAATGTAGAAGTTTGCAAACACATCGCCAGGAAGGGGAGGGGTGAACATTTTCTAGGAGAGTTAAGATCTTCAGTTATTACAACATTATAAAAAAACTCACTCAAGATTTACATTCAACAAAGTCAGCATCATCTTCTTAGACGCTAAGTTGTTATACTAAATTGCATTTGATGGACAATCCGTATTATAATTTCAGATTCAGATAGTCCGAGGCTCCCACGTGCTTCTCACACTCCTGTCGTGTCGAGTCCACGATGTGCCGTCTCGCAGACAACACAATGTTTAGAGTGAGCACCCGGTGAGGGGGAGGGGGAGAGAAAAGGTGAGCGTGGTTTCCTAAGAGCTGAACTTGCACCGAGGTGATATACTTGGCAACGGAATGTCAGAATCAAGTCTACCCTATGTGGTGGTCTCAGTTCCTGAGCCATGCAGGTCCGCATTATTCCAGGGCAGTGCTGAAGACAGCACATTGGCAGGACTTGGAAGGGCAGACCAAACACTGGGGACATGGAATCCTCTCACTCAGCTCCTGTTAACCCTACGAGCCAAGGTCCTAATGGGTAGGGTGGTCCTAGTTGGACAAACAGTGGGAAAGCTTGCTGGATAGAGCTCTCGATGGCAAGCTACTTGGCTTATATGTTGATGGGTTTCTGTGTTAGACACTCGGCTGACCAAAAAGAGGCAAGCAGAATAAAGATGATAAAGATTGTGAGCAAATACACAGAGCAAGTCACAGTAAACAGCAGAGACAGGGAGGGATTGGTGCTCACCACCAAACTGCTTGAGGCGATTTCCGGGAGAGTCATAGCAGCAGGCGTCGTCAATCTATTCCGAGCACGAGTCAACTGCAACATCACTGCATCCATCAGCTTAAAAAGAAAAGAGCCCATCTTTACTGTCAGGTGCAACAGCTGATGCCTCAACATCAGTGCCTTAAGGATCCATGTTTGGAATATTATAATAATAATAATCCTTGCATTTGATATAGCATCTTATTGTGTCTTTGTGACGTCTCACAGTGCTTCACAGAATATATTGTAAAGATGGGTTGACCGTGTATTTTGTGGATGAAATGTCTCAAAAGGTCTGTGAAGTGTAGTGACTGTGTATTTGTCTTGTGTAGGTAAGCAGAGCAGCCCATTTGCACACAACAATGTCCCATAAACAGCCATGAAGTTAAGCTGTTGTTGACAAAATACACCGTCACTGTCAAATTTGAAAAACTGCCACTTTGTGATGTTTTAAAGCACATTTCGAATTGAAAAACAAGCACCTGGGATCCTGATGAATGTTTCTCTACACAAATATTTGTTAATCTTTGTGGCTTCCTTCAGCAGTTAGCTTCCTTTCTTCAGTGGGAGATATGTGACTTGATTGTACGTGTGACTGATGTTGCAGGGAAGAGAAGACATGTTGCAATCAACCAGACCACATAGAATCATAGAATTATACAGCACAGAAGGAGGCCATTTGGCCCATCGTGTCCGTGCCGGCTCTTTGAAAAGAGCTATCCAAATCAATCCCACTCCCCCGTTCTCTCCCCATAGCCCTGCAAACTTGTCCTCCCCAAATAATTATCTACTTCTCTCTTAAAAGTTGTTATCGAATCGGCTTCCACCACTCTTTCAGGCAATGCATTGTAGACAACTCGCTGTGTGAAAAAAATTCTCACCTCCCCATTTGTTTCTTTTAACAACTATTTTAAATCGATGTCCCCGGGTTATCGACCCACCCGCCAATGGAAATAGTTTCTCCTTGTTCACCCTATTGAATCCCCTCATAATTTTTAAAACTTAACTATTAAGTCTCCTCTTAACCTTCTCTGCTCCAAAGAGAATAATCCCAGTTTCTCCAGCCTCTCCTCATAACTGAAGTCCTTCATTCCTGGTACCATCCTGGTAAATCTCCTTTGCACCCTCTCCAATACCTTGACATCCTTCCTGAAGTATAGTGCCAAGAACTGAATGGAGTACTCTAACTGAGGCCTAACCAGTGTTTTATAAAGGTTACACAATAATAATAATCCTTGCACTTCGTGTCTTTCAGACGTCTCAAAGCGCATCACAGAATATACTGTAAAGTGAATTTACTGTATTTGTGGGCGAAACTTGGCAGCCAATTGCGTACAGCAGTGTCCCACAAACAGTCGTGGATTGAAGCGACCAATTTATTATTGTTTTTTTTTCTTGAGGGATTATTATCAGGCGTGTGGAGTAAGGAAATGTGCCCAGGGTTTTGCCTTGCCGGGAATCTAACCCAGGTTTCTCGCTTGCAAGGCGAGTGCTCTAACCACTGAGCTACAGGACTCAGTGGTTAGAGCACTCGCTATATCTCTATAGCACAGCTGTCTCACAGCGAGTTGCTTTACCAGTGATGAGATATCAATCACATTTTATAACATCAAGGTTTTCAACTGGAAAAAATGCATTTTAAGTACGCTATCTTGTTGTATTACAATATTGTTAACTGTGTGCCTGTATTCCAATAACCTCTTGATAACTCGACCCTGGCTTAACTTGTCACCACCACTCAAGTTATCTTGCTGTCAATACCAACATTTATTTCTGTATTTTTTATATGTGCTCCTAACTCACCATTTCTGATAATTTGTTGCTGAGCCCTTTTCCCTTGGAGTGATGAGTTATCAGGATATCAATGTCTCTAAGCAATGTCTCTGTGTAGGTGTGTGTTGTGTGTATATGTGACAATGCCTGTGTATGTGGGTGTATATATGTGTGTCTATGTCACAATGTCTGTGTATGTGACTATGGATATATGTGTGTGTGTGTGTGTGTGATGACTCTTTCCTTTTGCATTGACTTGTAAATGTGAAACAGTTTGTCATTGACCTTTACTATTTGGTTGGAGAACATTAAAGAAATGAACTACTGACAACTAAACTGTACTGTTTAGTTGTCAGTAACAGTGCTGCAAGCTGACTGACCTTGTTGACTTCAGCCCCACTTTTAAACTGGTAGGTTTGATCTCGGCTATTCAGTAGGTACAATGCCTGGCTGACGTGGTTCCTGGCATCCTGAATCTGGAAGAGCGAAGAGAAAAGAAATCAAGAGATTGAACAGCTGTCAGAGAGAAAAACTAACCTACACACCCAGGGGAAAGCTGCCGATATAAAATGGTGCATGAGGACATCATGAGAACATAACCAGGCAGGGAACAATCAATCAGTCTGTGTACAATCTGTTCATTTGTGGACTGCGTACAACTTCAATCCACTGCTGTACTCAATTGGCTGCTACGTTTCACCCACAAAATACACAGTCAATCTACTTTACAGTATATTTTGTGTAACGCTTGGAGACATCTTAATGATGTGATCAGGTGCCATATTCTTATTATTGTTGTTATTATTATAACCAAACAATGAGTGACTAATTTTATTCGGGTAAACCTCCTAATTGAAGGGCGGCACATCTCCGTGACAATGCAGCACTACCCCAGCACTGCAGTCAGACTTATTTAAACATCTATTTGATTACAGAGGAAGCGGAATGGTTCCTCTGCGATCGATAACCATCAGGAGCAGAAACCCTGGCAGTTTTACACATCCGAGATGAAAACATCTGAACTTAATTAGCCATCATCTCTTTTTTCCGAATTGTTCTCAATGAATTAATTACCAGGGGTAAAAGCCTGTCTCTAGTCTGTATTGTTGCTTTCTCTCCCATCCATTGACTCTTTTGAGATGTGAAACTCCAATCACTGGTATGATCAGCACGTGTTGACCTCTGCTTGAATTGAGACCTCTAACTCACAGACTCGATATTCTTGTTATTGGCTTGCCACTGTACACTTGGCTTGCCACAGCCACTGGAGGTTGTGTAGTTGATGTGCTGTGTACTTGATGTTCTGCCTCAGTGTAATGAGTTAAGAACTCAGAATGTTCTTTAACTGTTTCCACACCAGCTGTTATTGGGATGTTGTGTTATTCAATCATACGGAAAACTGATATAAATAAAGGACTCAATCAACAGGAAATGAAATGAGAATAAAAGACAAGAACAGCTTACAGTTATATAGCACCCTTCACGCGAAGCAGTGTCTGGGAGCGCAGAGAGTGTGCGGGGGCCAACAGAGCCTTTACCTGCTGCATTTTCCACTGCTTGTCCTCCCTGAAGGCGCAATGCAGAACTTGGTTGTGTTTGGGCAGCTTGAGAGTAATGTCCTACAATAAAGAAGAAATTTACCTCATGTGACTAACAGCTAGCAATCTCCAAGGTACTACTGCCTATGTCCTTTGACATGTTTGTTTGGGTTAGCCAGGTGTCCGACACGTGCAGAAACTCATCACCGTGCTTAAGAGTATCCAAACCAAGCTGTAAATCCCAGAGATAGATTGTTGGAATGGAATGCGCTCTCTCTCCCTGGAGGGACGCTTCCTGCTTACCTAGTTCCGAAAAGTATTAGGAACAGGTTGGCAAAAGTCAAGGCTTGAGGACCCTAGAGTGTTGGGGTAACTGCTGGAGACTAACCAGTTAAACCACATAGCTTGTCATGGATATTGCTGTCTAGCAAGCTAGGACCTATATAATATATATAACTATATAACGTTAGGGTTTGGGCTTGCAACGTTAACAGGAGCTGAGTGGGATAACTCCCTGCCCCAGTGACTGGTCTGCCCTTCCATATCCTGCCAATAAGCCAGGTTGGCTGTGCTGTCATCAGCAGAGCCCTGGAATACTGCGGACCCGTCTGGTTCAGGAACCGGATTACTGAGACCACCGCAGAGGGAGGGCTGGCTCGATTTGTCTAACAATATTGGTCACAAATAATAATCAAAGATCTCCCGATCCACATACTCCATTATCCAATTTAGCTAACATTAAAGATCCTCGGTTACAGTACTTCATGTTTAAGAGCAGTGTTAGTCTTAATAAGCAAAACTTCCCAACTCTAAAGATAAACTTGGATCTCTCCACTGAACCATCCTGTGGACAGAGTGAACCTGGACTGCTTTGGCCGATGTGCTGTAGCAGGAAATTGGCAAATGTTGAAATGGGGTAAATTTAAATTCAGGGGGAACCAGAGCGAGCAAGGATAGAGTGAAAACAAATTTACTGTGAAAATTCCAACAGTCTTTTGTATACTCTGTGTGGTTGTTTAGCTCAGATCTGAGTATACTTGGTGAGTTTTACTGAACTTCTAACCATTTCAAACTCTCTCTCTCTCTTTCGTCTCCAAATTGAGGATTGTTTCAGTACACGATTTGCAGGTACTCACAGCCTGTGTCAGTGCATCTCCCTGCAGAGTGAGGACACCCTTCACTTGATCTGTGCTGGAAAAGAAGAAAATCATCCAGTGATTGAAATAGGAAACCTTCACAATTCATGTCAGCTCTGCGGCTGACATGAATTGTTTTTATTATTATTATTATTAATTGTGTTTGAAGAATTATGGGGCAGAAATTCCACCTGGGTCTAGATTGACTTATTTTGTTAGCATCTCGGCAAATCCTTAAAGCCTGAATTTTGAAGCCCTTTTACCTCGAGTTTCTTTTAACTAAAGAAAAACGACTTCAAAGTTGAGACTAAATTCACCAGTGTGCCAAATTATGAACGCTTTGAAATGCTACACTGATAAGAGTAAATCTAGACCCGGGTGGAATGTGTCCCCATATATGAACCATCCACACAGAATAAACTCAGATCATGCACACAGAGACAATGATAACAACAGCATTGTCAATTTATAAACGAGTGAGTCACGATGGACCGTTTTTATTCTGTGGTGACTCATTCTTTGTTTCATTCTGATTTACACAACAAACATTATTTAAATAGTTTAGTGATCAATAATCCTCCCCCCACCCCCCCGGGATGCTTTGTGGTCACCACCCTAACAACACAGTGCTCGCTGTGTGTGGTGAAAGGACAAAGAATTTCACAGGGTTACTGCTCAACTTTGGGATCTGATGGTGACTGAGATAAACTCTTCCATTTCTCACTGTAAGTCACACCAGTGTCTTACACTCCTAAATACCGAAATAATCATTTCCCCACATTGCTGTTTTTCCAACTTCTCTCTCTATGATGCAGGTACGTGACAAAAGTATAGAGTCAAAATAATCAAATGGTACAACTATAGCCCATGTTTTAAATATAGAATTGGTGTTTCCTGTGTGCTGGTAACCTCTCTTCACTGGGATGGGCCATTTACCTTTTGTTTATTGTTAGGGGGCCAGAATGTTTCAGTGATGTGAACAAATGATAGTGAAAGCAGTTGACTCACAAGAAGGTAGGTGTGGTTCCATGGGAATAAGATTGTAGGTCTCCAATGCCAGCAAAAGCATTCCCCCCTCCCTCTCCCCCTGGCTCGGGGTCACACTCTGACAAGCGCTCCAGGACTCTACCCCGCATGAAGGGCACTATATAAATGCAAGTTGTTGTTTATTGTGCTGTCCTCATCTGATGGCTATAGATATCTCAGGGGGGCCACTGGTTAACAAGCTGAGTTGTTCTAAGTTTTAGAGACTGGTTCAATGCCCAATGTGAAGTCTCTACACTGGTTTGATGAGATTACAGAAAATGTTTTTTCTATAAATCCATAATTGATCGGCAAGAGAGGTGTGTGTGTATGTTGGCAAATCGGTCGTCTCTATTACATTGAAACCCTGGACAGATCCTGAGATCGCGGCTTACTTTGAGCTGCCCAGCATGAAGTTTTCCTGCCGCACTTGGCTTTCGGGGCCGGAGGCCTGCACAGCAAAGCGTCTGGAGGTTTCCTGTGGAAGAGGAGTCCACGGTTAGTGAGGCAGCAACGATAGCCTTCATTACATCACGCTCCTTACAGAATTCAGCCCACCCTACCAGAGTCTACTGCTCCCCCCCACTCCTCTCAGCTCCACTCACTCCCAGGCCCCAGAAGATTCAATTGGAGATCCTTGTTCTCATATTCAGCGCTTTGAGACGTCTCGAAGATGTGATAAGGCTCTATATCAAATGCAAGGATTATTATTATTCAAATCCCCCCCCACCACAGTCTTGCCCCCACTCTACCTGTGACCTCCTGCAATAGCACTATCCCAGTTGCTCAGTGGACAAGGAGTGACTCATTCTCTTCCCCTGTCCATTTGGAGAATAAACATATGACGGGATGTAGCAGGAAGCTGGAATAGGGGGGGCTGCAGAGGGTGAGCTGTCAAATGGTTTATAATGGAGTGGGCCTGATGGGCAGAATGGACTTCTCGTGTTCCGAATTCTCTGTATACCGATTGACCTTAACATGACAGCAGCTGTAAACTGCTCTGATCCAGGCATGTTTAGCTGCTACTTAAGACTCTGGAGGTACATCACTGTGTCCCATCAAACACATGCACAACAATGAAACTCCTCAGGGCATATATCTGAGTGAAATGTGTGCAGTATCATGAGATGAGATTGCATGTAAATCCTTGTGAGTTGAAATACAACAACAACTTGCATTTATATAGCGCCTTTCACACACGGTAGCGGCTAGGGAGCTGCAGAGAAAAGGGAGGTGACTTAGGTACAGTGGAAGAGAAAGGTCTTCAGGTGTGATTTGATATGTTAGAAAGCACAGCAGCCTTGTTGCTGCACAGAGCTGCAATGATCTCTTTGGCAACTCACACAAGTTTTCTGGGTGGATTCCATTCTTACTGACAGTGAGTGAGTGCACAGAACATTGACTGCTCAACTGGAGAACGTGCAGACAATCCAATACTGACATGTGACTGTGTTACTCTTGTGAAAGCGTAACTCTTGTGTACTATCACACTAGTATTATGGTCAGATTCTTGATGGTGCAACAACGGACATGAATTTCCTGTTGCAGGCACAACAAGCTCTTTTGGTCTAGATTGGACAAAACCATTTGCGCTGAGCAGACATTCGGTTACCTTCATTCAAGAATTACCTTGAGAATATCCTTCAGCTGCTTAAGAACAGCATGAACTTCTTCCCGCAGTAACCATTTAAATTCTTCCTCCTGAAATATTAAAAATGCAATTCCAATTTCAATTTGCCAACACATATCTGTACAAATCTACATAATGATGTATTATTATTACTAATAACAGAATAGATGAGAGTGGCAGAAAAATTCTGAATGATCGGCTATGTTTGATGCAACACCCCTCCTCCCATTACAGCGGGGCGAGGGGGTGGGGGAAATGATGGGGAGCAACCAGGTCTCAGCCCCTGAATCAACCCTTTCCCACTGCTTGTCTAGCTAGGACCACCCTACGAGTCAGGGCTTTGGCTTGTAAGGTTAACAGGAGGTGAGTGGGATGACTCCTGCCCCCAGTGACTGGTCCTGGTATGTTTGATGCAATACCCCTCCTCCCAATGTACTCATCCTTATGTGTTTAAGTCACCCGTGAATGCTGAACCTCTGATTGATGGAACCATTTCTCTCAGGATGTGTGTCCGAGCTGTGGGCAGGAAGATGATGACAATGTTCCCACACATTTCATGCTGAATTTTGCTGCTGACCCCTGGTACCTGCTTTCCAGTGAGGGCTCAGACCTGTGCTTGTCGGATGTCAAATGACCAACTCTTGACTATTTTCCTGGGGGAGGGGAGTAAGTGGGGTCTCCTTAGAACTGAGTTGTCTCCAAGGTGACATGCTTGGCAGCAGAATGTCAGAATCACGTTAATCCTTTGTGCCGGTCTCTAGTCCATTTCCTGAGCCAGGCGGGTCCGCAGTGCTCCAGGGGACTGCAGATGACAGTACTGCTAGCCTGGCTCATCGGCAGGACTAGGAAGGACAGACCAGTCACTGGGGGCAGGGAGTCATCCCACTCAGCAACTGTTAACCCTGCAAGCCAAAGACCCAACAGGTAGGGTGGTCCTAGTGGGCAAGCAGTGGGAAGTTTGCCAGGCAGTACTTTCAATGGCAAGCTGTGTGGTTTTAGCTTGATAAACTCTAACAGTACCACAACACACACTCATCTGGAGTGGAGTCCTGTAGCTCAGTGGTTAGAGCACTCGCCTTGCAAGTGAGGTTCAATTCCAGGCAGAGCGAAACCTTGGGCAAGTTTCCTTACTCCTCACGCCTGATAATAATCACTCCAAAAAACCTAAATGAATTGGTCATTTTCAATCCACGACTGTTTGTGGGAGACTGCTGAGTGCAATTGGCGGCCGCGTTTCACCCACAAATATACGGTCAATTCACTTTATAGTCTATTCTGTGAAGCGCTTTGTGATGTCGAGAAGACGTGAAAAGCGCTATATCAAATGCAAGGATTATTATTATTATTATCTCATCCAAAGAACAGTGCTTCCAATAATGCAGCGCTCCCCCCACCCAGCACTGCATTGGAGTGTCAGCCTAGACTATGATCTCAAAGTCCTGGTATGGTTCTTTTGAAATCTCAACCTTCTGACTCAGAGGTCACAGGGCTTATCAACTGAACCAGGCCGTCACCTAATCAATCTAAAGTTGCTTGCAGTTGATGTCATTCATCTGGAATCTGCTGTACAAAACACATATTAATTTCCTAACACCATTGAGAGGTTACTTTGTTTGAAGCTCCACTCCACAATGTGAGTGTGCAATGGGATCTTTAACAAGCTCAGTCAGAATTAGCAGAGAATCATGCTGATCATTCTCCTGTGACACCGATACCCATGGTACTAAGTGACATGATCTGCAGCCTCTTGTCATCATCTGGAGACCATTCACACTGATAGCTGCAGAGGATTTCAATTCGCAAGGTTTACAAACCGCTCCTGATTGGTACAGCGTTCCCACCTGTCTAATTCTGTCCAGCGACTCCTATTAAGCGCTCTGGGACGCTGCCCTGCGTGAGGGGGGCCCTATATAGATGCAAGTTGTTGTTGTTGTTGCATCCTCCTACCCTGATAACCCTGGATGGTTTTTTTGGCCTCAAATACAGAACCACTTTAGGAAATCCTCAAGACATCTCAATTCCATGTTAAGTTGAGGTATGAAATGCGAGATTATCACTACAACTGTGGTTCAGCCCAGTGTGTTCGGGAGCGCTCTGGCTGCTGATTCAGAAGGTCGTGGGCTCAAACCCCACGCCGGGACTTGGAACTCCTGTAATCCAGGCTGACGCTCTTGGGCAATGCCGAGTTTTGCTGTGTTGCCTTTGGATGGGGTGTTAAATCGTGGCTTCACCTCGGTTTAACCCGTCGCCTGAAGGACAGCAGCTCCGACAGTACAGCATCGTCTGTGATTGTGTGATTAACCGTCTGAGATTCCTTCAGTGTCTCGGTCTGTGAATCCAGTGGCCTGAGCACAGGCGGTGACTGAGCTCCACTGTCTCTGCAGCAGCTGTGGGGGCGGTTTAGCCATTTTCTGCTGAAACACGGGAGCATCACAGTGGGGGGGAGGGGAGGGGGGTAATGAGGGGGAGTGGGGGGAGTGGGGAGGGGGGTAATGAGGGGGAGTGGGGAGAGGGGTAATGAGGGGGAGTGGGGGAGGGGGGTAATGAGGGGGAGTGGGGGAGGGGGGTAATGAGGGGGAGTGGGGAGGGGGGTAATGAGGGGAGGGGGGGGGTAATGAGGGGGAGTGGGGGAGGGGGGGGTAATGAGGGGGAGGGGGGGGGGTAATGAGGGGAGTGGGGGGAGGGAAGGGGGTAATGAGGGGGAGGGGGGGAGGGGGTAATGAGGGGGAGGGGGGAGGGGGTAATGAGGGGGAGGGGGGAGGGGGTAATGAGGGGGAGGGGGGAGGGGTAATGAGGGGAGGGGGGGAGGGGTAATGAGGGGAGGGGGGGGTAATGAGGGGGAGTGGGGAGGGGGGTAATGAGGGGGAGTGGGGGGGGGGGGTAATGAGGGGGAGTGGGGGAGGGGTAATGAGGGGGGTGGGGGGAGGGTAATGGGGGGAGTGGGGAGGGGAGGGGGTAATGAGGGGAGTGGGGGGGGGGGTAATGAGGGGGAGGGGGGAGGGGGGTAATGAGGGGGAGTGGGGGAGGGGGTAATGAGGGGGAGGGGGAGGGGGGGTAATGAGGGGAGTGGGGAGGGGGTAATGAGGGGAGGGGGGAGGGGGTAATGAGGGGGAGGGGGAGGGGGGTAATGAGGGGGGGGGGAGGGGGTAATGAGGGGGGGGAGGGGAGGGGTAATGAGGGGGAGGGGGAGTGGGGGGAGGGGGTAATGGGGGGAGTGGGGGGAATGGGGGGGGTTCCGCTCCAAGGAGACCCCCCCACACCCCCCCCCACAGGAGGGCGGACACTGGTGGGTCGTTTGACATCCATCAGTGGCGCCAGGAACAACAACAACAACAACAACAGTGCCGGGGGGGGGGGGGGGCAGTGAGCGGGAGGCGCCCTGACCTGACCTGACCTGTCCCCCTCTCTCTCGCTCTCTCTCTCGCTCTGTGTGTGACACTCACCAGTACCGCTCTCTCTGCCGCACTCGCCGCCGCCATCTTACTGCCTGAGCGAGCGCCACTTCCGGTGTGTGCAGTGGCGCTGTGTGTCCGGGGGGGGCGCTGTGTGTGTAGTGGCGCTGTGTGTCCGGGGGGCGCTGTGTATGTAGTGGCGCTGTGTGTCCGGGGGGGGCGCTGTGTGTGTCACTGCTGCTGTGATGGTGCAGGTGGGAGGGGCTGCACTGGGGGGGAGGGGTCACTGCTGTGATGGTGCAGGTGGGAGGGGCTGCACTGGGGGGAGGGGTCACTGCTGTGATGGTGCAGGTGGGAGGGGCTGCACTGGGGGGGAGGGGCTGCACTGGGGGGAAGGGGCTGCACTGGGGGGGAGGGGCTGCACTGGGGGGGAGGGGCTGCACTGGGGGGGAGGGGTCACTGGTGGGACACAAGGAAACAGCTAATGTAATATTGCAGACATAAACCGTTTGGAAAAACTGTTCTCCCCCACAGAGAGCATTGGGAAACACAGGTTAATATTATTAATATGTGAGGATTATTATTATTATAATAGCAATAATATGGCAAGGTTTATGGTTATTAATATGGCAAAGATTATTGTTGTTAATATGGCAAAGATTATTATTGTTAATATGGCAAAGATTATTGTTGTTAATATGACAAAGATTATTGTTGTTAATATGGCAAAGATTATTGTTGTTAATATGACAAAGATTATTATTGTTAATATGGCAAAGATTATTGTTGTTAATATGACAAGTGCAACTGGGTTCAAATGCTTTGGAACATCCTAATGACGTCAAAATCGATATAAATTGTGGGTCTGAATGAATGGCAAATCGGGTGCGGTAAAAGGAAACCCGTACGAGATGGCATAACTACTCTAAACGAAAACCTATTTAATCATCTCTCGCTGCCAGCTGGCACATACGTGTGCATTTACTCCATCACACGCCATGCCACGAGGAACACAGACCTCTTCACTGGTCAATGCGGGTACGGGTTTAACACCACACTGCCAACTTGGGGCAGATGTTACTTTATCAAAGTACTTTAGCAAAATAAGAAACTATTAAAAAGTGAGCACACGTATTACAAACATCACACCTGCGAGCATTTGTGCTGCAGCAGAAACGGTATCTGGTACAGTGTTATTATGGCATGTTATTATGATTAATGTGGCACATATGGAGGCTGCAACCAGAGACTAACACGTGTAGGGGTGGCTTCCAAAATTGACCCACTTTGCCATCTTTGATTCTGTCCGTCTGAATGCTCTCAGCCTTGTTCTTAATGGGTATACAGTAAAATTCACACAAGTCTGATCTGTCTAAATCGTACAATTGTCCAGGTCGTACATAAGACTCTCTGGCACCTCCCTACCTCTCCGACCTCCTCACTCCCCAATCCACCACCCGGCCCCTCTGCTTGACTGGCACCGGCCTCCTGCTCGTCTCTCGCCCACCATCGGAGGCTGCACCAGGTGGTGGATTGGGGTCAGTACACCCTGAAACTCAGGAACGCTCTCCCTCAGACCCTCCGCCTCGCCCCCTCTCCCCTTTTTTCAAGTCCCACCTGAAAACCTTGCTTACGGCCACCTCCCCCCCCCCGGTTCGGAGTCAGGCTCCTGCGCCACTGTTAAGTGTTCTGAGACGCTACCCTACGTGGAGGGCGCTATATAAGTGCAAGTTGTTGTGATAATGGGAAACAGTCAGCAAAATAGAATAAAATATAAATAAGTCACATTTCTCCCACAAAATATACATTCAATTCACCTTACAGTGTATTCTGTGAAGCGCTTTGAGACGTCTCAAAGACGTGATATATCAAATGCAAGTATTATTATATCTGAAATCAGTTCGAGGCAATGAGTTAACTTGTATCCAAGAAAGTTTATTGTGCACAAAGTAACTATCATTGCACAAAACAGTAATATTCAACAGTCACTCGGAACCCTGAAAACTTTACGTTTATGAACAATCCTTGAGATTAGGCCACAATCCTCCATCGAAGGATCAAATCTTTCCAATTAAATAAAAAGTATTGCTTCATTCCCAAGCGAACAAAAACATCACGAAGCTTAAGATGACATTTAAAATAGATAAAATTAACAGGAAGGATACAGAATAGACTTCAGTAGCAAACAATTACATTGTAATAAAGCATTCATAAAAACTTTGAATTATAACAGTGAGTTGTGTGGCACAGATAACAAACAGGCCTCATGAGTGTCATTGACTCGAGCACCATGCATGTAGATAGCAGTGAGCAAGACATCAAATAAACCAGCGTCATCAGTGAACTTGGATGTTGCTGCTTGTTGGTAAATTATTGTGAACATATTTTAAAATGGCAAGAACTACATTCGCTTCAGGAAATGGGAGGACACCTCTGCGTGATTTGTAAAACATCTTAACGAGAAATACATTGGATAACTGCGTTCAATGCAAAGATGGGCTTGATATAACCTCTTCCTTCATTTAAGGCAGAGTGGAGATATCTGCATTAAGATTTTCTTCTGGCTTCTTTCTGATGTGTTGCTAATAGCAGCCAGCTTATGTCTGAAGCTGATGTGCTGAGGCAAACAGTGCTTTAGGTTATAACGCTTAAGATTTAATAAGTTAGAATAGATGCTAAGAGTTTCTTCTTTAAAGCTCACAACAGTATATAAACACTTTTAAATTAAAGTCTGTCACCATTTTTTTTAAACAACCAAATGTTTACACAAACGTTGATTCTGGAGGCTACTTTAAATCTTAAATGAGGAGCAGCAACTAAGCTGGGCACTAGCTTGGCGTTAGCGAGCCAAGTTCACTGGACAGCCTTTTGAGTCAAGGTACAGCAGCAGAAGCCAATCCAGCCCCATTGTAGTCGGGCTGTCTCTCCCAAGTTGTGGTGACACCAGAAACATCAGTTTTAATTCTAGCAAAAAACATACTGCTCAATATTAACGTTTGTCGGTTGATCTGAATTTGGGATCATCAGGAGATGACTGTGACCCTTTACGCATAAAGCCAGTGGCAACAGAATGAACAGGTTACGTGAGCGAGCTGAAAAAGCTCCAGTGTACTGTTCTGTTGAGGCAGGAAAAGGACCACTTTCAGACCAAAACCAACAGCATACTGTACGTTTTACATTTGTCGTGAAAACTTGTAAACCCGGATTTACAAATTGTTCATCTTAAAACTGGAATTGTTCTGTGAAAACCAAAGGAAATTGACGCTGTCTGGTTTAATGTTCCACAATGAAACAAAATGCAAATTTTAAAACAATAAACAAAATTAGAACAACTTCCCGATCAGCAATTCCGCCGAGACTGGAATTCAATACATTTAAAACAAAGTCAAATGTATCCCACTACACTTCTCATATAGCATTTCACAAACTATACAAATTTGCACATAAAGTTTTCTTATAGATCCATAAAAATAGTGGCCAATTTTTTTTGCAATAATGCGATGTTAAAGCTTTGTATATTAAGCTGGACTTGCTGAAACCTCAAATTCAAGCTTTGCAGATCAAAAGAGGGTCACATTCACCCAAAATACCACAGGATGCATAGATTCACATGCACTCACACACAAAATACCCTTACAAGTTTACCTATAGCTATTTGCAGAAGGCTGGTCAGTGACTGACAGCATTTATGGTTAGAAAGGATGTTATTGTGAAAGCAAATCGCACTGCAAATGAATCCATAGACGAGCGTTAGTCTTACCATAATTGGATAGAGGGGAAGCAAACATATGGAATAACAGATGGACGGCAGTACTGTGGGTGGGAAGCATTAGCAGGAGTGTGTTTTCAGATAGGGATGTTTTGTTACAACTATTGTATATGTACTGGAGCTTGCAGGATATTTTGAGAAACTGTTGCACCATATAGGATGCATCACAGTTCAGATACAGAATACTCTGCATTGAAAGGCAGTCATTTAACTTGAACTAAAACAACTAACTCATCTCAGGCCGTTTGTCCCCAAATGGAAGCACAATGTAGAACGTGAAATCTCAGAACTGTGGAAATTAAATATTCTGGTTCTAATCGTGAATTCAACACCTGAGCACAGAAAAAGGCAGTTAGTGTTTAACCTTTGACTTATTCTGAGATCACCTTCTCTAGATTTAGAAATACTGAGTACAAGAATGAGTCCAAAACCTCAGCATTGAAAGCAGTAATTCTATTCACAATAAATTTCCTGTCAACATCCATCAGTCCCTTACACTGGGGATTTTACCCTAAGCTTTTGCAATCAGATGTTTTTCCACAAATAAGCTGCAACAATTCATCCGCACTCCCTGGCTCCACCCATCGTCACACTATATATATATAGCAGCAGCATCTTCCCGTATCTATAAAACCTCCTGACAGCTGTCAATTGCAATCTCTGACACCAGCATTAGCTTTTGTCTGAACAGCTGGAAAACGGAAATCCTCATCACTTTCCTGTACACCGTTTAACTCGTAAAATCTTCTAAATCCGTTTGATTGTTGCAATTAAAGCCTCTGCACAGATTCTCTTCTGAAGACTCGGTGTACCTTCGGATTAAACCACAACAAAGCAAAAATAACAAATAGGTTCAGTTTCCTATTGCACAGAACAGCTAAGAGCGTACAGCCTGGCACACAAAAGGCCGAGGTTCTCCTCGTCTGATTCCAGTCGTGGGTTTTACGGCTGGGAATGGAGATCTTTCTCACCACACATCTGACAATGAAAGAGTGGGCACACAGTTTATAGGTTGGCTTTGTTCCAGTTTTCACTTGTGTCTGGATCCAATCACTTCCAAGATTGCATCTTACATGTATGTTGGTCACTTTGCATTATATATATATATATGAAATTACTTTAAGGTGGCAGACATTTTTGTGGTTGACATAGTCAAGCTGAACCCAGTTGGTTTCGATGCAGCCATTTTACAGGGCAAAGTGACCAAAATTCGACAAACTCCACATCATAAAGTGGAGAAGTTGAAGTAACTGGTGTTGCACCCAATCTGTGTTCCCAAATAGCAAGCAGCAATAGGAGTCGACTTTACCCCCACTGCTCATTAAGAACAGAATAAAAGCTGTTTGACTGACGAAAATAAATGTTTTTAAGGTTTAGTTTGAGGATAGGTGGAGCAAGAAGGGATCAATACATTAACATATTGTTCAGGATTGTGTTGCATTAAAATCCCGAGCAAACTAAAGCGACTGCAGAGAGAGTGGTTTGCTTGCAACTCCGTCTGTTTTAATACTGTATTAAAGCCATGCTTTCAGGGCCCTTAAATGTTTTTTATTTTAAGATAAGGTCTTTCTCAATAGGGTAAGAAAACTTCTAATTTCACGAAAAGGTGTATTGTGTACACACTCCAAACCCACAAAACAAACAAAAGGATCAACAGGGTAACATCATCACCGGAGCAGAGCAACATCTCTTACACTTGGTTGATGTCTTACCTTCCCACTGATGGCATTTTGCCTGAATTAGTAAAAATCCCTTTTCCTTCTCGTGCAAACCACATGGGAAATATTACTCGGGGCGGCAGTAAATGCTTTATCCTGTGTAGATACCAGAATTGCTGGTAACACTACCAAGATTACCAGTGTACATCCACTATGTATCACTACAGTGCAGATTGGAGGTTCCTATATACCCTATTCTCCTCTCCCACAGCACCAAATAAGATGCTGGTCACTTCGCAGCTTGTAGTTTAAACCACCTATGACCTGACAAGTCGATTAGCGATACAGTCATGAACATCTGGTGACCGATGATGCCAGCACTGGGCTCATGTCATTAGGGGGTGGACAACAGGGCTGGTTTAACAAAACGTGTAAAGGACCATCATTGGCACTCGTTTACCAACAACCCATTCATTTTTCCATCATGTAAACTTCGACACCATCCTAACAAAACTACAACAAAGAAAGCAGCAGGCGTTCGGCACAGGTTCACTTCAGTCTCTAGGTTTGTGCCGCTTTTCAGTGCATCAATGGGATTTGGCTGGTTATGGATATTTCTCCTCAATCACCAGAGGAAAAAACAATTACAACTGCCAGCGCAGCAGGATGGAACAGATACTGATAAAACATAAAATTGAAACAATAGTCCAAAATTTAAAAGAAAATACTTAAAAAAAGACTGTAGCCATCACTGGTTGTAGGCCAAGTAAACTGCAGACATGTCATTCTCAGACTGCTCCAAGGCCTTTGCTTTCTTAAACACCTGGAGAGAAAACAAATTGGAAAAGTTAAGACACAACGAACCTCAAAACTGAAGAGTCACCAGATGATTTCTAATAGAGTGGAGCCTCGTTTGAAGGCGGTAAGATCACAATCTGCTTTATAACAGCAACTTGCATTTTTACAGCGTCTTCACACAGAGTAGCCTCATGGGAGTGCTTGTAACCAAGTTGTGATAGTCATTTTCTCTGCACATGCTGTCAGCGCCTTGGGACGTTCTCTTGACGTGAAAGGCGTTATACAAATATAATTTGTTTTTTGTTGTTAACGGCCTGTTCATCTCCTGCACCAACTGGCTCCCCCCCTCTACCAGCTTTGAACTTGCCGGCCACAATTATGCCGACTACAACAGTAGCCTAACAGCAGAGTGGCAGGGCATTTGCGTCAATCTTTCACAGGCTGAATTCCCAACCTCAGCCCAGAGACTGTGTACTTCCCACAGTACGGCTGAGGAGAAACTACCTTTGAGGTCTCTATGTCTCAAAGCCTCTCTTTCAAAGCAGCATGAATAGAAGTGAACAGAGGGAACGAATGGCATGATGAGAAAGACTACAGTATCTCAAGGCGGAGGTTTACTGTGTCACGTAAACAGAATTATACTTGCTGCTCATAGCTTGATCTATGGTTCAATTTGCAATGCCAGATCCTGCACATTGTCACCAGTTAGATTTGTTCAAAATTCAGGAAATAAACTATTGCAAATATTGCAATGACGACCCAAAGTTGTGAATTGTACTTTGTGTGCTCATTGTAACATCTGAAAGGAACGTCAAGACACAAACACATGCTTCAACTTGGGAACAATGGGATAAATCCAACAAAAGTATCTTCATTAGTAGATAAATACCTAAGTCACATGCAGCCAGGACAAGCGCTCCGAGACCCTACCCCATATGAAGGGCGCTAAATAATTACAAGTTGTTATTGTTGTCGACTCACCTCATTGGCCGTAGCAGCCATTGGAGTTGGCTGTTTGGCAGAATCGCCCATAGCAAGAGCTAACCTGAGGTCCTTTTGGATGTGTTTCAACAAGAAATCTGGATTGAAGATCCCCTGCAAAATATCTGACAACGAAAGAATCATTAGGGAAGTCAACAGAATAAAACACAGTCATCAACAAATCGCCCACTTCCCAAACTACATTGGAGCAGTAACAGCCGAGTTCTACAAAAATGAGACAATCACTTTGTTAGCCGCTGCAGATCAAAACCTCCGTATCAATCCCTCTTTTACAGCTACAATTTCATGCTTCTAATTTGCCCCAGTATGCAAGTCACAGCTATATATACATTACACATCAGAATACAGTAGATTTTGCAAAATGTAGTTTGTAGCCATTTATTATGGGAAGAACCTGCAGTCTTCCCCCTGCCTCTAAGATTAATTTTAGTCCACAAAGTACTAACTATTGATCCAAATTAAAAACATTCCTCGCTACAAGCCAGAAATTCCTTTCATTGCCTCTTTACTAAAGCTGAGCACCAGCTGCAAAACATCCCATTTGGTTTATGTGTAAGCTTTGGAAATCTATAACACACCCACTGCTTTGCCTATATTCACTGTGGCAGCTCATGCTTGACAAGCACTTCCGTTTTACCAAATGGCTTTGGTCAAGTGACCTGCGGTCGAATAATTTCTCCAACAGCAAGCAGTGCTGCCGCACAAAGCCATGCTTGCTGGTGGCAGCGGAGATTGTCAACCAGTGGATGGATAGCTCCTCGTCCTCTTCACTCCTTGTTTGAGACGTCAGCACTGATTGAGGATCAGGAGCCTCCACTGTGGAAGCTCTCTGCCCGCAGAGCTAATCAGTCTAATTGGAAGCCCAATAACACACAAAATTTAAAAACAATTCTGTGAAAGGAGCCTTGTATAAAAGACAAGTGCAGAAAAGATTGGACACACTCGTTACGATGGCACAATAGAGCTTCTTTGTTCAAGTAATAAGATCAGGATTCAACAGTTCTGGGTACAAAGGTTATTCAAAATTGGACTCTGCATTTAAAATGGCCACATCAAAGGTTAAAGGGAAGATCTGCAGGGGTACGGGGAAAGAGCGGAGGAGTGGGACTGATTGGGTAGCTCTTCCAAAGAGCCAAAACAGGCACGATCGGCTGAATGGCCTCCTTCTGTGCTGTAATATTCTACGATCAGTGTTGATACGGACAGGCAGCCCGATCGTGAAATAATTAGGGTTTTTGAAAATAAATTAGCTCTGTACATCTCTGGAGTCTGTATCCCGCATTGGGAATGATAATCCTTGCATTTGATATTAAGCTTCATCATGTCTTCTAGGCTTCTCAAAGTGCTTCACAGGATGTATTGTGAAGTGAATTGACTGTATATTCTGTGGGCAAAACGTGGCAGCCAATTGCGCACAACAGTGTCCCGCAAACAATCATGGATTGAGTGACCACATTATTATTATATTTTTTAAAGGAATTATTATCCCCGGAAAAGCGATCCACCAGTCGACTAATAACTGGGTTCCCACTTATTTCTAGGTAAACAGAGGTGTGTGGAGTAAGGAAACTTGCCCAACATTATGCCCTGCCGGGAATCAAACTCAGGTCTCTCGCTTGCGAGGCGAGTGCTCTAACCACTGAGCTACAGCATTCCACATGCCCCCAACGTCAAAATGGTAGAGAGTTACTTACTTTGGCACTTTTGGTCCAAGAAAGTGCTTGCCAAAGGTCCCTGACTCAAGATGTAAAACAACACTTCCTGGGATTGGTCGGCTATTTTAGCCAGTGTGAATCCTTCTGCCACAGAAGCCATGAAGCTGCCCAGAATCATATTCACAATCAGCATCATCTTTGAGGCATTGCCCACCTCACCTGGAAAAGAGCAGACAATACTTAGCTCAGCAGCCGACTAAAGCAGTGCTAAGGTAAAAAAGAAACCTTAAGGCCTTCAAATACTTACATCCAGCTACTGCATCAATGAGCAGAATCAGGGCCGACATTTTAAACACGAGATGTCACTGAAGAGTCTCCCCATTAGGTCCATAACTAATAAAAGCATTTATTCAATGCTTATTCTTATCTTATTCTCTTTCCCAGCCGAGTTATTTTTCTTAGTCCAAGTACTGCAGGGAAAGTTGTTGATTACTGTAGCATGAAGGATGATAATAATAATCGGCTGGGAAAGATAATAATAATCTCTACATTTGGTATAGCGCCTTTCAAGTTGAGAGGACATCTCAAAGTATTTCACAGGATTTAATGTATAGTGTATTTTGCAGGCTGAATATCGGCAGAGAATACAATTTACATTTATATAGCTTCTTTGATGTTGGGAGGATGTCTCCAAGAATTTGACGCTGCTGGGCACCCAAACCTGGCTGGGAACCAAATAATAATAATCCTTGCATTTGATATAGCGCTTTTCACGTCGGGCGGACGTCCAAAGCGCTTCACAGAACACACTGTAAAGTGAATTGACTGTATATTTGAGGGCGAACGCGGCAGCCAATTGCACACAGCAATGTCCCACAAACAGTCGTAGATTGAAAATAACCAATTTATTATTGTTTTTGGTTTTGGAGGGATTATTATTAGGCTCTGTGTGGAGTAAGGAAACTTGCCCAAGGTTTCGCCCTCTGCCTGGAACTGAACCCAGGTCTCTCGCTTGCAAAGCGAGTGCTCTAACCTCTGAGCTACAGGACTCCACTCCACTCCAAAGAGGGAGGGGAGGGGAAAGATGACCGAAAGCATAATCAGTGATCAACAACAACAAACTGCATTTATATAATAATAATCCTTGCATTTTATACAGCGCCTTTCACGTCGGGAGGAAGTCTCAAGGCACCAAGGTACGTCATGGCATGAATGTGGGGTAGAAAGGACAGTTAAGGATCAAACAGGATGCCAAAGTTCCTGGACTGGCTCAGTGAGGTGCAGTGTGCATCCCTGGATGGTGATACTGCCAGTGCCTGAGGTGTGGAGGCACTGATGAGAGCTAATCAGGAGATCCTCGGTCTTGTTGACGTTCAACTGGAGAAAGTTAGTTCTCATCCAGGACTTGATATCTGACAGACATTCCACCATGACAGCATTGGTCTTGGAGTCGAGGATGATCATAAAGGTTGAGTTTCATATGAAGCACTGGATCAGAAAGTCACAGTTAAGATAGATAGAAGCAAATCCTGGATTTTGTAAGTGCAGACTTACCCAAGTAAAAAGATTTCTTGCCCATGGCCTGAAAGCAGCTGCTGCACTCATCAAACAGTAGCTTGTCCCCTGCTGCCAGGATCACCAGCATTCCTTTCTCTGATATCTGACGATTCCCAGAGACCGGGGCTTCTAAAAAGCGTCCTCCTCTGGAAGTGATCACCTGTGAAGAGAGGAACAGTACAGATCAGCTGTTACAGTTTAGTTATTTACAAAATAGTCTCATATGCCTCATAACAGATCAGCCCCTACCTAAGCAATGTCATTGCTCAACTTCATTGAGTTGACTAACTTTATTGAGCAATTTTATTGAGTTACTTCATTCAATGATTTTCACCCATTGACTTTGAAATGGTAGGCCATTCTGAACCAAGGTTACATAAAAGTTACATTTCTTTCACATTATCAAACCTCAACTCTATTTGAATGGATTCAGATTCAGCCGTTGCAGATTTAAAAACATGTTTCAAAGAAAAAAGGATGGCCTCAAACCCACTGCAACCGCCCAGTAATCTAAAACAGCCTACATTCTCTGTAGAAATGCAATTGTGTGTTATATTGTTGAGTCCTGTGGCTCAGTGGTTAGAGCACTCGCCTCACAAGCTAGACTTGGGTTGGACTCCTGGCAGGGTGAAATATTGGGCAAGTTTCCTTACTCCCTAATAATAATCCCTCCAAAACCAAAAACAATAATAAAAAAAATTGTTCCATTTTCAATCTACGACTGTTTGTGGGACATTGCTGTGCGCAATTGGCTGCTGCGTTCGCCCACAAATATACAGTCAATTCACTTTACAGTGTGTTCTGTGAAGCGCTTTGGGACGTCCTCCCGACGTGAAAAGGATTATTGTTATTATTACTCCACACGTGTCTCGTTTGCCTAGCAGTAAGTACGAACCCAGTTGTTAGCCAATTGGCGGATTGCTTTTCCAGGGATAATAATCCCTCAAAAATAATAATAATGATTTGGTCACGACTGTTTGTGGGACACTGCTCTGTGCAATTGACTACCGTGATTCACCCACAAATATACAGTCAATTCACTTTACAGTATATTCTGTGAAGTGCTTTGAGATGTCTCAATGACGCGATAAGCGATATATCAAATGCAAGGATTATTATTACCTGTGAGATTTCTATGGATGTCTCAGGGTCCACAGTAGACATGTCGACATAACACTTGCCTGGTCGAATCCCTTGCAGCACTCCACTGGGGCCAAGTACAAGCTGAAAGCACAAACAGAACACAAAGCAATGTTTCTCTCAGCAGCAATTAACAGCAGCTGCTAAGTTTGCTGTTGTGCTGTACTGTAGCAGCTCAGGAAATGAATCCCTTCCAAAATAAAACGCTAAGAAACAACAGATGTACTTACATCTTTAGCTGCCTTTGGGTCAGAAATGCAGGAGAGTGTGATATCACACGTAGAAATCACCTCTGCTGGGGTTCGTCCTAACCGTGCCCCTTCCTGGATGAAAGGGTCACACTACCAAAAAGAAACAGAATGTACGAGACGCTTGGTAAACTATTACCAAAGAACAAACAGTGTGCCATTTATTGTTACAGAAGTTTCAAGAGGCAGATTTATATTTCTTCACATGCCAGATTTTGGATTCCATCAAGCTGTATTGAGTAGACACAGGACTGGTAGAAAACAGTGCTCTCAGACTAATGCCACATGTCCAGCACTAACTGAGCTCGACTTCTCAGCTAGAGATCGCAAATATCTCAACAGGTGATAGATAGTGAATATAACAAAATGGCTGACGGGTTTCTTCTGATTCCATGTGTTTAGCTCTACTTCAAACAATTGAAGAAAGGGTGAAGGGTTCCGCAGGTTGATAGCTCACCTTATCCCCTGTGCGATTCCACACCGTGACCGTGTGCCCCATCTTCAAGAGATTTGCGACAATTCCACTTCCCATTAAGCCAAGGCCAAGAAAGCCTATTCTGAAAAACAAAACAGTTTTGAAAGATATTAAACTCCCAGGAAATGCAATGCAAAGTAATTGCAATAGCAAACAGCTTCTCATAAGGAACATCAAGGGCCGGTTCAGAACACAGTGCCTGGAGCAACAACAACAAATTACATTTATATAGGCCTTTCACGTCAGGAGGACGTCCCAACAATTCACTCATGAATCCCCTAAAAACAAGCTCATATCGTGATCTTGATCAGGGTAGATTCCTTCTCAATGTATGCCACAAAACCTCCACTTAAAACTGTTCCTCCACATTTCCTAACGGCACTTTACAACCTGGAAAAGGTTTGATACCTGCCCCACCCCCAAGACATGGGATGTCATAAAAGTCACAGATATAAGGGAGGGAGAAGGGGTAAAGGTTAGTGGTTTCAGTCTTTCTGTTGCTGCTATTTGAGTATTGCTTCATTCCCACCCACTGGCAACTGACTGAAGTCTGAATGGGGTAAGTGACCTGGGCTAAATTATCTTGAAAACAGAAGTATCAAAGGACAGTGTGAAGGTTACTGAGTTCCACAAGGACTGCACAAGAGGCTGTCAAACTACACTACACTCAGCAGCTGCAGAAGAGGAAGCCTGTGGTTCCCAATCCGATTGGAGGATTACACAACAGATCCCAACTCCAAACGTTCAATTACCATTTCTCTATAATTAGAAAAACGGAGAGTTCACTCATGAAGAAAGGGTTTGCCCTAGAATTAATTCCTGATCCTCTTAGGATAAATAAGTGACGACAGACAAGTCCCTACCTTTTGTCTGTGGGCGACACACTGCCATTGTTTGCTGTGCTGTCTGCTGGCTGGATGGATGTGGACTCTGCTTCCTAGGGGGAGGAAGAAAGAACAAAAGTTACCCATTGGCTTTTGCAGATGTTACTTTGAACACCAAAACGCAATAATGGGGATTCAGTACTGCAGCAGATCAGATACGATCCATTTACCTACGGGATCTAGGCCTCATTGACTCAGAGCCAGAGTGCAATACAGGCCACAATTTAACAACTGCTATTAAATCTGTAACCTGATTGTGCAGGAAACAGAAAATGCACACCATGGCAGTGAGAGCAAGGTGAGCTTTACTTTGCGACTGACCTGCTTGATGCTAACACTCAAAAATAGCATTGCCCACCACTGACATCCCAGACAAGAAAACTGTAGCTCTGTGATTAGAGAACCCGGCAGGGCAAAACGTTGGGCAAGTTTCTGCACTTCACATGCCTCTGTTTGCCTAGCAGTAAGCAGGAACCAGGTTGTTAGTCGATTAGTGGATCGACTCTTCCGGGAGTAATAATCCTTCAAAAAAATTATAATTTGGTCGCTCAACTCATGACTGTTTGTAGGACACTGCTGTGCGCAATTGGCTGCCTTGACTCCCTTGGAGTGATGAGTTATCAGGAGTTGACTGTAGTTAATAAGCATATGGGAGGTGCTGATCAGGCATATACATTTAATGTAGACTAAATGGTTCAGTAGTTTGCTCATTCCAAAAACGTCTGCTGAGAAAAACCTATTGGGAACTTTACCATCAAACGGTTTTTTGAGGTTACAATCCCAGCGGGCAGAGCAGCCCTATACGTGAAACGGAGGGAACACTCACACTTGAAATCAGTCGTAAGACAATGCTCTAATGCAGTGAAGGAGGGGTTGCATTGTCAGAGTGCCATCCTTTGGATGAGGTTCCATTTGCCTGTTCAGGTGGACATTAAAGATACCAATGACACTAATCAAAAAGCGAAGGAAGTTTCTCTCTCCCGGTGTCCTGGGCCAACAAATCCCTCAAATAAAATTGGTCACTCGCTCCATGGCTATTTGTGGAACACCGCTATGCGTAAACTGGCTGCCATGTTTGCCCTCAACATGCAGTCCACTTTACAGTGTAATCTATGAAGCGCTTTGAGACGCCTCAATGACGTGAGAAAGCTCTAGATCGAATGCAAGGATTATTATGGTATTAAAATCCCAAATGCAACAACGGTTCACTGGCTCACAGAAATCATTAAAAAGCCTGCAAACTGAAAGCTTATCAAGTTATCAGTAATAACCTGCCATGCATACTTGACTTATCTACAGTACTGATTGTATTAAGCAGGTCTATAACACTAGGGTTCTCCACTAGGACTGGAAAATCCAGAACTTCGACAAGTTTCTCAGGCCAAACTTTTGTGAGACACCTAAAGCTCATCGCAATGGCTAGGTTTCAAAGCTAAGAGCAGTCACACGAGCCAGCAGCCAATTCTATTCAGTACTGTGCTGCTCTATCACCAGTTAAACTATCAGAAATAATAACAGGCATTAGAAGTATGAACAGAATTGAAACAGCATGCGCAGTTAATATTCAAAGCATTTTGGTAACTCGTGATAATCTGCAATGTTAAAAGTACAGAAATACTTTATCTGTAATTGTTGTTATGGATCATAGAATGGGGCAGAACTTCTAATGTACATACATCAATTAGAGTTTAATGAGAGACAATGGGGGAAAAACAATGAAGTGGTAATTTGCAGAGTGCGGTCACGTGGCCAAAAGGCAAGACACAGTCTTTCATTCCAAATGAATAACCTACCTCTTCTGCTGTGGTCTTTAGTGTCCGTGCACTTGCAGAAGATGCTCCCGACTGTTAATAAATAAAAATAGAGCCAATTACTTGCAATAAAGAGCACAAGACCAGAAAGAAAGTGAGCAACCCTATTCAGAGAATAACAGCTTTCAATCCCTGCCATCGTCGGTCAGACAGACCCAGCACAGCTTCGTGTCTATGCTGGTCTAGGTAGAGTTTGGGCAAATAGGTTACTAGATTGTCCGTTGTATTAACTGTAAAGAATGCTGCATTTTCTTTAACTGTTGAATCCCTGCTTTCAGAAGGAAAGACAGAAGTGCAGCTTGATTCAAAGTGTGGAGTCTTGTCAAACGCAAGTTGTTGTTTTGCTTTGAAAAGTTAGAATTCACTGTATGTAAATGTAAAGTCGTTTTGAGTCCTACAAAAAAACTTCTAATCTAACGCTACTTTGTAATAATAATCCTTGCATTTTATATAGTGCCTTATCACACCAGAAAGACGTTTCAAAGCACTTCACAGAAATTACTGTGAAATCATAGAATCATAGAATCGTATAGCACAAAAAGAGGCCATTCGGCCCACTGAGTTTGTGCTGGCTCTTTGAATAGAGCAAATGGAGTGACTGTCTAGGCAAAAGCAGCACCACGATTGCATACAGCAATGTCCCACAAACAGCCATGGAGCGAGTGACCAATTTTATTTGGGGGATTGTTGTAGAAAATAATTGCTGCCAGGCATATCTTTTACTCCTCACCCCCAAAAAAGTTTCTCAAAATAGTTGTCACATTTTCCAACCCTAAGATCCTTACTTAGCTACACAAAAGTTGTTGGTTGACACAGAAGAAACAGACACATCACCTCTGGCCAAACTCAATCTAGCCTGGTCCATGTTTTCACCACATGAGGCCACAAGCTTATGTTCCCCAAGTCAGCAATTGGTGGTTAATGATTCACTGTAATGTGAAAGACCATGTACAGGATCCAAAGTGACATTTACCAGACTGGGCAGCAGCATTTCAAAGCTAATTAAGATGGGCCTGTAGAAGAAATCAATAAACCAATGTTATCCTTACCCAGATGACTGGGTAATGAAAAGAGTTATCCTTTTAGGAAATTCCAAGAGAGCTTTTTATACAATCAGAATGAATGTTGAAGACAATATTTCTACATTTTACAAGCATACCTCAGTTTGGCAAACTAACAAATATCAAGAGAAAAAATGGTACAACTCAAAGCCTTTAGTATTTATTTACATGAACAAAGAATGACTAAAATTAGGAGATTTTGAAATGAAGACTAACATTTTATACTCTGGTTCCCATTTCTGGGACAGGAGAGCTAGTTCCCAGGCAAATTGACTTGAACCTTGATGGGTCTTGACAGGGTAATGATGCCGAATCCATCAAGGTACCCATGTTCTGGTTTGAGAGAATGGAGGGAAGACTAATGCTGTAAACTGCCTCACTCACCCATCGCACCTTCTGGTGCCTGAACACTCAGCAATCACAAAGGAATTTCCAATTACTTTCTGAGGTAAAGGGTTGGGAGTGGGGGGAGGAAGAACGGAGAGAAATAGGATAAGGAAGAAGTAGCTCCGGAAAAAAAAGGGAAATGGAAAAACAAAGCAGCATAAATTTATATTAAAAAAAACAATTTCCATCTACTTAATCCTCATCTTCTGAGTGGAAAAAAATGCACTACCAGACAACATTACACTAAAGGCATCATCTTACCTTCTCAGACTGACTGAGCAGAAAGTGATGGAAATGAGGGTCAGTCTTTACCTGCTGCAATTAGAAAAAAACAAATCTGAGACTGTGACTGCTTCACTTGGATTGTCTAACTCACCCCATTTCTACTGGTGAAATAGAAGAGACCTGAACAGGAGTTTGTGTAAAAATGACTGTGCTGGTTATGTTCTCTTTATTCTTTTAGGAGTTTATTGGGGATATTAGTGTAAAGTTACCGGATCCAATGGTCACAGGTCTGATTCGTGCTGACAGTTGTGTCATCTGAATTTAAACAATCTGGTCATTGGGACTATCACCAGATTTGCACTCCACTTTTCTGTGAAGCCCTCCCAACTTGAAAAATGTAAGGATTATTATATTATCTTAATACAACCTTGATGTTCAGTTTGATCTTTACATCAGGTTCCTGACCAAGAAAGCTTTTCTGCATCTCTGCCACAACACCCGCCATCTCAACGATGCCAAAATCCTTATCACAACTTTGTCATCTCCAGACTTCACATCACTGGTCTCCCCAGCAACACCCTCTGGAAACTCCAATTCACCCAAACTCCATTGCCCACACCCTTAACAACTAAATGATGCATACCTATCACATTACCCTGTCTTACTAAGCTATGCATCTCCCAGTAGATTGACTCAAAAGATCTTCCCTCACCTTCAAATCCATTTATATCTCCAACCTCACTCTTCCACTCGCCCTCCCTCTCTTAACTCAGACCTGCTGCACATCTCCCATCCAACGATTGGCAGCTATGCCTTTAGCCACTATGTGCACATCCTCTGGAACTCTCTCTTTGTCTTTGGTGCCTACAGTTACCTTACTACTACTCCTCCTCCACCCCACTATAATCCAGCATAATCTCAATGAAGCGCTCCAAGATATTACTTTATTTAGGTACCTTATGTTTCTATGTTGTCTGAACAACTACGTAAAGTAATGTCTTGGAGCGCTTTCGAGGTCTGCTCAACATGGCTCGGGCCTGCTGAGCACTGTCAGCATAAAATAACACCACCAAAATAAAGACCAGGAAATAAATCAGAAACTATAATAGCAAACAGGAAATAGCACTGGAAACTATAGTGAGCAGCTACAATAACATAAAAGTAAACATTAAACGGTAAGCACAGCATTTGGCCAGTGAGACTCAACTTACATTATGGCTTTACTCACAGGGCTGAGGGGATGTCTTCTCCTTTAGTCTCATTGATAAACCAGAGAAGCTGGTCAGCCAACCACAATGCCCCAAGAAACTGTGATCTGCTCGGCTATTGCCTCAGAGTCAGTTAGTCCTCTCTTCCCTCCTCCCCCAACCCAGGAGGGAAATATTATTCAGACATGAAACTCATTTCACAATCAATCTTGAAAGGGTGAGGGCTGAGTGGACCCACAGGGATTTACACTCATAACCTTTTTTCTGGTCCCAACTCTGTTGCTCAACTGACAGCCACCTGAGACGTTAACAGTATGGAGTGATCAGGAGAATAGCTATTAGTTTACAGGGCACTGAGTGAGTAAAACTGTAATCAATGTATTTGGATAAGGAATATTGGTGCAGTGGCAAATTCTAAAGAATTGCAGCTTGCTGCAAAGTACTCAGCACAGAATCGTGAGAAAGTCATGTCAGATGTCTCGAGTTCCTGTGACTTAATAGTAGATCAGACTGATCCTATACCAAATCCTGAAGACTCCTAATTAAAAGGAACCTAACCAACCATCCTCAGCTCAGAAATAATGCCACACCCACAGCAAATTCTGTCTCCAGCCTGAGCTGCCTGTAAGCTTCAATCTACTCTTATTACTACCCCTGCTCTCCCAATTTGACTACAAGCTCATGGTTAAAGAAACAATCACAGCTCCCAAGGAACTATGTTTGGCACCTGGATCTTGATTATTTGCACTCAACAACCTTTGGCTATCGTTAATATAATGCAGAATTGAAATAACTCCCCCTCCATGAAATAAATCTTGTGCGAGTACAAAGTGCTTGTTCAGTTCCAACATTCACATTAAACCATGGACACTCGCCTTCCATTCGAATCCCGATCCTGGCCCCGTGACCATCCTTTTCACTGTGGTCGACTCAGGCAGAGTGTCCTGGGGACAAAAAAAAGCAGAAATTTTTGCAATGGCAAATCTTCTGAACAAATTGTGCATTATCTCATGTGTGTTATTTTACTGCAAGTCAAAGCCCCAACGGGCAGGGTGATGCTAGGTGGGCAGCAGGAAGCTAGCGATACAGTGTTCTCAATGACTGGTCTGCGGTTTTTGCCAGTTAAAACTCCATCAGTTATCCCATGGTACACACTGATGACTGACACACACTGAAACCCATCACCTTGCTTAAGAGTATCCAACCAGACAAAGAGTCCCAACGCTTTGGGACGTCCTCCCAACGTGAAAGGTGCTTTGCAAATGTAATTTTGTATATATATGCCACATAGAAATGAAAATATCCCTGTATATGGAATGGAATATGCACTCTCTCCCTGTAAGGACGCATACCCTACTCTCTCAACTCCAGAGCATGAGGTGCAGATTGGCTAAAGCTAATGTTTGGGATCCCTAGAATACGTGTTGGGAGTAAATGCTGGAGCTCAAGCAGCTGAAGCTAAGCAGCTTTGCAATTGAGAGCACTATCTGACAAGCTTCAGGCTACCAATGATGGGACCACCCTACCAGTTAGACTTTAGCTTGCAGGTTAAGAGGAGACAAGTGGAAAGAATGCCTGCCTCCAAGTGCTGCTGATGATCCAGAACAGCTCGTCTGTCATCAACAGGGCCCTGGAGCAATGCGGACCCGCCTGGATCAGAAACAAGATTCTAGAGACAGTCACAGAGGATTCACTTGATACTGACTGATCTGCATTCCTTGTCAATCTTCAAGTTGCCCCTGTAGTTTCTATGTTTATACAGTTTTTTTAAAAAATCTAAAATTAATGCTGTTTTCTTCCACTTCTTTAAGGTCATATTTTATTCCAAATGCTATAGGTATCAGAGGTCAATGCTGCTCTGGAAAATACAATATTTTAATTTTAAATAAAATTTAAAGACACCAAAACCACTGTAATTTCACCTTGTGCTTAAAATACTGACAGTTACAACAACAAGATTACATTTGCATGAACAAGAGTTTCAGCGGCCTGAGGGGTGAGGTAGTGGCGGAGTCGGGCGATGTTACAGAGCTGAGGGAAGGCAGAGCGGATCATGTGGGGAAGAACAGACAGTTGAAGCTCAAACAAGACACCTCGGTTCCTGACTGGCTTTGGTGAGTTGTAGTGTGCGACCATGGAGGTTGATGCTCCCAGAGCCTGAGGTGCTGAGGCGCTGACACGAGCCAATCAGGAGAGCCTCAGTCTTGTTCACTTTCAACTGAAGGAAATTTGCCCTCATCCAGGACTTGATGTCCGACAGGCAGTCTGACAGGATAGCAGTGGTCCTGGAGTTGAGGATGGAGGCAGAAAGATAGAGTTGGGTGTCATCCACATACATATGGAAGCTGACCCCATGTCTGCAGATGATATCACCAAGAGGGAGCATGTAGATATTAAAGAGGAGAGGGCCCAGGACAGAGCCCTGGGGGACGTCAGACGTGACAGCGCCGGGGCTGGAGGAGAAACCGTTAGAGGCAACAAAGTGGAAACGGTGAGAGAGAGAGAATTCGATCCAGGCAAGGGCAGGTCCGTGAAGGTTAAGTAAAGAGAGGCGGCGTATGAGGATGGAGTGGTCGACAAGTATCGAAGGCAAGTTAATTGTAATTCTGCATTATAAAAGCAAAAATAAGAAAAACCAAGAGCAACTGACACAGATTTGCAGTAATTACATGATAAAAGTTGCAGAAAGTATATTACATTTGTTGGCAAAGTTCAGACTAAATATTACCAGCTGACTAAAATTCTCAAGGCAATTTTGAACCACTATTGAAAACTTTGCCAGCATGCTGCGACTGGAAGTAATCTACTTTTTGTACCCAGTATTTGTTTAAAAGAACACTGGTACCTGAATAAGTTAGAATTCAAAATGGTCTTGTAATAGCAGTTAATGGTCTTTTAGACTCCTGAAGAAATGTTCCCATTAAAGTGAGATCCCCAAAATTGCAAACTTTGTTACTTGCAAAAATACATGCAACTAAGTCCAAACAAAGAGTTCCATTTACTTTTTTTTAATTACTTTTTNAATGTTATTACTGCTCCATTGCACTTTTCAAGAACATTTAAGGGGCCAGGGTTTAGGTGGAGATTTAATTGATTCACACCCATAGCTATAATTGTCCTGTAGTTCTGTGAATTCACCTCCTCATGAAATCACATTGTCAAGACATTACCATGAGCACAAATTGCTTTGCAAATCAACACAAAAGACATGGTAAACCAGGCAATATATTGTCCACTTACTCTACAAGTCTATCCCCTTTGTTTAAAAGTATTTCCTTCTTACACAAAGCGCATTTTTTTGCCTCTGTATTTGAACTCTTTGTCACAGTGAACTATTTTTCTGGATCACCTTCGTCAATACATTCCCCTCTTCATAACCTTGAAAACATTAATTAAATCACCTTAAAGTCTCCTTTTTTCCATTACACAAGTGTACCCTACAGACAAGTCTCAGATCCTAAAGGCCATATATGCTCATGTAATAGGGCTTATACTGTACAGTAATAATATCTCCCACACCCATCAAATGCCTTTGTGAATATAGCAGATGCTACTCATCTCCACAATCCATATTGTCTTTTGAGAGCAGCCTGGTTTAGTAATGCTCCAAATGACCATTGTGGTAATTCCTTTCCATTTGTACTATCTTCATTAAAATGAAGAGTCATACAATTCCCTGGCCAATTCCCTTGCAAAAATCGCAGCACCACTGAAAACAGATGGTGGATGTTGAAACAGCAGCGAGCATACTGGGACTTGCCATATTCACAATCACTAGTAAACCCAATTAGGCGAAATTTACATATCACATCTATCGTATTCCTTTCAGAGTAAAGAGGTATGGCAGCGGAAAGCACCAAATTGACAATCAGCAAAACCTGAGTGCTGACACCCAGGCTGACTGCTGTCACTGGGGAGAGATGCCATGTGGACACTAGACAATTTCCCACAGGAAAATGGCATATACACAAATAAGAGATTTCTCCTTAGCACCTATTATACAGATTTATACAGCACAGAAACAGACCATTAGATCAGTACCAGTGTTTATACTCCACACAAGTCTTCACCCCTCCTAATCTCCTCTTCTTTTCCCACCCCTCTAGTACAGGGCAACATTGTTTGAAGCCTGGAAGCAGGTCACCTGCCAGCTTAACAAAACTGGTATCCAACCCAAGGAAAAAGATAAAGCACTGCCCTATTCTGGTGAAAAAGCGGCCACTTCAGCACAAAGAGCTTCTAAGTTTACTTTAAAAATTCTTTGCATTCTGAACAATCAATTGAGCAATGACTGCAAAGTTTAGATACATATTGCTGCTGAACTTTGCAGATTTAAGGGAACCCACTGCTTATTTTCTTGCTAATTTATTATAAACACAAAATGTATCTGGTGAAGATGCTGCGCACAAATGATATGTACGATAATAATGATCAGTGAGTACGAAAAGGTTAAACCTCCTTATCCAAACAACTGTTGTCTCCCTAAAACCAACCTTTTCATCCTTTGCTGGCCGGCCCCTCTTCCTTGTAATGTATTCTGAAATTTCTGTGACTGATGAATTTTGTTTTCTGTCTTCTGTTGATTTATGTTTGTTTTTGTCTTCTAATAAGGTGGGGGCAGGTACCTTAAAAAACAAGTCATGAGGCTGTAATTTGTTATAAATACTATATTGGTCTCCTCCCTCCCAAGATTCCAGAAACATATTAATATTCCTGGTACTTGAAGTAGCTCCAATAATGTCAAAACATAACAAAGCACTTCACCTAATTTTATTGTTGAGGAAATGACGATTTGCAGGTAAAGGTGAACCGCTTTGAGATATTTTAACATTATCTGAGCTACATCAAATACAAAAAATGAGTTGAGACAATATCATGACACTACATCAACAACTTGCATTTCATAAAGCACCGACTCATGTGGGTCATGTCAGAGCGCTCAACACTGACATTGAATTGAATGCTCATTGTTTGGAGTGGATGCACCAAGCTCTGTGGAGTGTGAGGAGCCTGGTGTTCTCTAACCCCAAAATATCTTAAGACACGCTTCCAAAATGCACAAACTAATGCATCAGTCACTCTTTCTCTGTGAGGCTGCCAATGTCAGTGGTAATATGCCACAAGGCCATTCGCACGAGGAACTAGGGTGAGATCAAACATTTCATGTAGGGTATTAACTGTCAAAATAAATGGGCTTTCAAACCATAGGTTTTGTTTGAGTCTCCAGAGGTAAATCGTCACAAACGCATGCCATCATATCACATAGATTTTGGATTAACAGGAGCCAAGTATGAAAAATCCCCGCTCCCACTCCTGGTATGTTCCTCCAAGCTGCCAATGAGCCAGAATGGTTGGTCTGTCATCAACTTGAACCCTATCATTGAGCCTCCTGCCTAGTCATGTTCTTGGCCAATTCCGTATCAAACTGTCCAATGAGAGCTTCAGTCCTTTCTTCTTACCTTGGATTTTTTAATGAATTCCTCAACTGCATCCACTGCTTGCTGGAAACGTTTCCCTTTATTAATTTTGATCATTTCCTCCTTGTGAATATGATAGGATTTGAGCTGGTCCACTTTGATCCATGCACTGCAACCAACCAAACAAAAGGAAATCAATCCTTTCTGGATTGCTCTGTGTTCAGACAGAACCATTTACAAAACAATATTTACGTAACTGAAGTATACTTACTGGTCTTCGGTCCCAAAGAATTTCACAAAGAAGCATTTCTTTCCTCGTGGTTTCTTTAGATCTTTGGGTGGATTAACAATCTTCAAGGAAAGAAAGTTTAATGCTTAGAGGCAAGCAACTATATACACGCACACATGCAGAAAGACATTTCAATGTCAAAAGGCATGTGATGGTCCAAAGCGATGAAAAAAGCAACACAGCACACGATCTCCCATCTTCCTACAAGTCTTCCTTTAAGACTCTACCCTGTGTTGAAGAGTGTTATACAAATCGTTGCTCTTGTCACCATTGTAACAAGTTACTCCCAATTAATACTGTAGTAAAAGTGGTCAATTTGTGAGCTCCATTAGTGATGCTGCTGACAACCACCTAATGATAAACTGCTCTGCACCAATAGTTACTTGCAGTCAAGTAAAACATTCAACATGAAGTGTTTTTACGCAATTGGCTGCCAAGCTCCACCAACAAAATACAACAACTTGTATTTATATAGTGCCCTTCACGAGCGGCAGCATCCCAGATTGCTTAATACAGTCAACACATTTTACAATATATTCTGTGAAGGGCTTTGAGACGTCTCAACGATGTGATAAGGCACTATATCAAATTCAAGAATTATTATTATTGTCCTTTACCGAGAAAGTGGATGAAGGGCTAAGGCTCATATAGCAACATACTGTGAAGTTTGACAAGAATATTAGAGGTGATTAGACAACTTCAAAATCTTATAGATTGATGAGGAAGGTAAGACTGAGGGAGGTAAGGGGTTCATTAGTCAAGTTTCAAGAAAAGATAGGCAAATAAGTTTTAACAGTGAGGATGTTGGGGAGGACAACCCATTGGAGTTCAGATGTAATAAGGGATAGATCAGCTCTCAGATGACAAGTTCTTCTTACACTGTCAAAAAAACAAGAGGTCAATTGGGAAGAGTCTTGTATGAACTGGGCTTTACAAATAAAAGCCATTGAAAGGTAAAGAAACATTTCGCAATGTGAACATTGCTGTCCCTTATGTCTGTGAAGATTTTGCAACAGGAAATATTTGCTCATGCCATGATTACATCATCTCAATATAAATTTTACACATTTCATTTCACACACACACATTATTTTAACTACTTTCTCAAAGAGTCCAATGCTCACTAGGAGGTCATTGGATGTAACTTATGTTCTGCAAAAACTTTAGATAATAGTCTAAATATCTTCACAACATGATGTTTAGTAGGCCAAATGAAAAACTTTACACTTTCAAAGAAAATGAAGTGTTTTAGTTTTACTTAAGATCATTCTGTTATTGTGAAATAGAATGACTGTGTACTTATAGGCAAACATGGCTGCCAGTTGCACACAGCAATGTCTCACAAACAGCCATGAAATGAGTAACCGTTTTTATTTGGAGGATTGTTGGCCAGGACCTTGCAAGAGATTCTAAGCGCTCTGAGATGCTACCTGCTTGGAGGGAACTATACAAGTGCAGGTTGTTGTTGATGAGAGAAACTCCCTTCTCTTTTCGAATAGTCTGGAACTCCATCCCACGGTCCCTTCGCCTCGCTTCCTCCCTTGCCTCCTTCAAGGCCGGTCTCAAGACTCTTCTCTTCGACCGTGCCTTCCCTCACCCCTACACCACTCCTCCCCCATACTCGGGCCCCGACACATGACTGTTCAGCGCTTTGGGACGTCCTCCTGACGTGAAAGGCGCTCTACAAATGTAATTGTTGTTGTTGTTGTAATATCATCTTAAAAAAAACTCCAGTTATATCTCATCAATGGACTGATCGGCATAATGGGACATTTCATAAAGGAATGAATGGAACCAAAGATGTTTGATCAGAACCATCTGAATATACAGCCAATCCAATATACAACAACAGTATCCTTTGCGAAGCGCTTCGACACATCTCCGCGACGTGATCAGGCGATTTATCAAACGCAAAGCTTATTATTATTATTAGTAGTAGTATTATTATTATTATGATCATCATTATTATCTGTGCCACCACGAACAGGTTCCGGGCACAAGTGACACCCATCCAATCTGCCTCCAGCTGTTCTTGGTGCTGTTTGAAGTGTCAGTTGCAGGTTCCTCCCGTGTGTCACACACTCCCTCCCTCCCTCCCCATCCCACCTAAACACCACATCAATCGCAAACAAGATCGTTCTGGATGACGAAGGTCCTCCGTTCAGCGCCCTCTGATGTCACCCCCACCGCCCCCTCCCCATCACAGCCGCCGGGGCTCAGGCTCAACCGGGGTGGGTGGGTGGGGGGGGAGATCCAGTCCGGGCCCTGGCGCGGACGGGGCATTGCTGCCCACCTCTCCCGCGCTCTCTCTCTCTCTCTCGCTCTCTGGTGGACTGTGCTCCCTCCCGGAGGCGGGAGCGGGAGGGACGGTGACCGCCGAGGCGCCCGCCGCTCGCGCTAGTCACTCACCTTGCCCGGCCAGGGCGGGTACCTCCCCAGCTTGCCCCTGAGGAGGAGAACACAAAGCACACACACACACGCCGGTTAGCGCGCCACACCAGAACACACGGCGGTACCCGTAACACAAGGCGAGCGGAAGGGTTGCGGAGCGTAGCGGAGCGGGCGGGCGAGCGAGCGAGTGAGTGCGTGAGGGGCGCCTCACCAGACCAGATCTCCGACCCGCAAACCGCCCGCCGCCGCCATCTTGCTCTCGCCCCTCCCCACTCCCTCCCTCCCGCCCGCCCAGCACAACCCACGTGACCCGCGGCCCCACGTGACCCGTGCCCAGCCAAAGGTCAACGTTCACAGTCCATTCGGAGGGGGAAAAAAATAAAAACCTAAACTACATTTTAAATACAATAACCGGGGACCCATATGTGGACTTTTTTTTATTGACATAACAACCCCGCCCCCCCCCCCTCCCGCTGCTCACATTACAAAAAAATAAAGGTCCTTCAGGCACCGCGCTGACGGCCGCGCCGCGAGGAGCCCGGGGGGAGTGGATGTGCGCGCGCAGGGCGGCGACATGGCGGCGGCCGAAGTTTGTGCGGTTTGTTTTTGTGGCTGTTGTTGTCGCTGTTGCCGCCGACTGAGGGGCTGCTGATTGTTCCCGAGCCCCCGCGAGCAGGCGGGCAAACCGGGGCCGTGAGAGACGCGCGCACACCCCCAGAGAGAGAGAGAGAGAGAGAGACCGAGAGAAAGGAAGCGGAGAGAAGCGGCGGCGCGGGCCGAGCCGGGCCGGGACCGGGGAGCAGGAACATGGCCGAGCCGCGCCGAGTGTCGCTCACGACGCTCCCTCTGTCCGCTCCTGTCCGAAAGAAGAAGAAAGAGGAGAAGGAGGATGAGGAGGGCGAGGGGGAGGAAGAGGACCGGGACCAGGCGGCCGCCACATCCCGCTTCAGACTCGCTCTCTTCGAGTCGAGCGAGAAGAACTGCCCCGAGTTTTACTACCCGGAGTTAATCCGCGCCCGAAAGGTGAGACTGTCGCCTTTGAGCTGTGGAGGGGGAGGGGAGAGAGAGAGGGGGGGAGAGAGGGGGGGGGGGTGGACCCCGCAGACCTCAGCCGAGGAACACTTCATTCTCGGGCTGACTTGCCTCCAGGAGATCAAAGTTAATTGCTGAGCCGAGGCTCTTGTCAGCTCCCCGACCCCCCGCCACATAGCAACGGCCACAGAGCCGTGTCTGCCGTGTTATGGCTCGCAAATCCAGGTCAGTCAGTGCCCTGTGCGCCCTGGAAGATCGTGTCTCCCGCAGACACCCGCCCGAGCGTGCGACACCACCATCGCAATTGCCGGTTGAGAGCCACCGCACTTTACTGCACGTAACACGTACACACAGTCACACAGTCACAGTAAGTTTGCTTCTCATTGCACTCGATTTGAGCGCAGGCTGTGTGTGTGTGTGTGTGTGTGGGGGGGGAGGGTGCAAAGCGTCGTTAGGTTTCGGTGAGGATTAGATGATGAAGTGAATGAAACGAAGAAGGGACGGGGAACAGAGCTCGGGTGGGTTTGATTTGGGTATAAAATGGGCACTGTGAGTGCGATGTGGGTCTCCAGATCACAATCGGAAACTTGCTGAGAAGTACAAAAGGCCCTAACATTTCAGGATACGAAAATGATTTCTCAGTTACTGTTTTTTTTTAAAATAAGCAAATTGCGGGTCTGTCCGTGCTTCTGTATTCAGAAAATCCACACTTTTATGACTGAAGACTGCAAGTAATGAATGTGTAGTGAAAATGGAAAGCATACATGTAAACAGCTGAATTGGAGTCCTGACCTCTAATGAAGGCTGTTGTTTATGTGGGGGGAAAAAACTAGAGAACTCAATTCTGGTTACAGTTCCAGAACAGCTTTAACTCTGTTAACTGTCAATACTGTTCATGCAGATCCTGTGAGAATTATTAAGGCTGTGAATTTGTCTCTGAATATTATGGTCAAACTGCAGCCTTTCAAGTGAGAAAGCAATTGCAAGGAGTTGGTCAATTATCCAATGATCATATCGAGTGGGTGGACTTAGGGGCATAATAACATGTACACCAACAACAACAAATTGCATGTGTATAGCGCCCCTCACCCGCGGTAGTGTCTATGATAATAAAGATAATGTTCACATACTTTCTTTGCTGGAGATCAGTATAAAATCCTGTTGCTTTGCGGGCTGTCGACTTGGATGTAACGTTTGTCTCTGTGGTTTGGAACATTGGGGACGTTGAGCTCATGTTCTAAAATGACACTTCATTGTAGCGTTGGGGCTCCATTGTCAGAGGTGCCATCTTTTGGGTGAGACCTTAAACCAAGGTATCCTATTGTGTTTGTTCAGATGGATATAAATAGCACAATGATAAAGAGAAGCAAGTTACTCCCAGTGTTCTGTCTGATAATCCACCTCATACTTGCTTATTCACCTGATATTCAACATCACTATGCACAAATTAACTGCGGCATTTGCCTACAAATAGTCACTACACTTAGCTATAATTACCATAAAAAGACATTTGAGGTGACATTATAGATGCTGTATCAAATGTGACATTTATTATTGATTGAAATGAATGCTTGAAATATTTCAAGAAAGGACAATTTTTGTTTTCAAGCTGATCTTAATTCTCGCTTCCTGTAACGTTTTACCTTCATTCTTCTAATCGGCCCCACATTTGATATAGTGTCTTACATGTCAATTGAGACGACTCAAAACTGCACAGGATTTTACTATGAAATGTAGTGACTGTGTATTTGTAGTCGAATTTCATGATGCTGACCATGCAAATCAATCAATCCTCTCCATTCAGAGTAGAAAGGTTCCAGGCCCGTAATATGCAGTACAATATCAATTCTGCAGAAAAACTACAGTAATTGTTGTTAAATTCAATTAAGATAACTTTCCATAGTAGTGTCTCTTGTACTGTATTGATCTGAGCTGTTATCTCAGTGTTGAAACACGTTGGGTAATGAATGGGGTGGCATGTGTACATTTGTGCCTTGGTTCCCCTAATGGTGAGTTACTGACTTCAGCTGTGTAATCCTGGAAACTGCCAAGCAGAGTTGAGGGGAATCGATTGAAAACTTAATGAGGGATGGGAAAGCACTTGGACAAAACAAAAATTAAATTAATAGAATTTTCTGCATTCTCCCTTGTTCCAGCAAAATCATGAGTCGATGAGTGAACTGAGAGAGATTTCATTGTTATTTTAAACTTAACTGAGTCTTGCAATGCAGATATTTAATTTATGAAGTTTTACAATGCAGCTGTTAATATTTAGGGCTGGTTGCAGATCTTTCACAGTGTTAATTGAACTATTGGTAAGATGGTGCTGTGATGATTTTCAGCAGTGAGCAACACCAGGGTTTCTAAGTAACTTTGTTTATATAAAACAATGTTTGCTTACAGATGGAGTAAGAAATTAAGTTATATTTCATTTCAGGATATTTGAAATTCTGTGCAATATCTACTTAAATGCCAAAGTCTATACTTTTGCCATAAACATGTAACTTATTGTGATCATCCTTTTGCCCAAGTAGTAGGATTATAAAGAGAGACATTGTCAGTGGTGTGATTTACCATTTATTTGTGGGTTACGTCTCAAGCATGTTGTCGTAAGGAATCATTAGCAATGGTACTAATGATTAATAATTGCTGCACAGAATTTTTATTTTTATTGCACTTATAAAATAAATTATAATCCTTGCATTTGACATAACGCTTTCACGTCGTCTAGATGTCTCAAAGCTCATCACAGAATATACTGTAAAGTGAATTGGCTGTATATTTGTGGGCGAAACGCAGCAGCCAATTGCATGTAGCAGTGTCCCACAAACACTCGAGGATTGAAGTCACCAATTTCTTATTGTGGTTTTTTTTCTTGAGGGATTATTATCAGGGTGTGGAGTAAGGAAATTTGCCCAAGGTTTCGCCCTGCCAGGAATTGAACTCAGGTCTCTCGTTTGCGAGGCGACTGCTCTAACCACTGAGCTACAGGGCTCCATGCTTAATTATAACGCTTGCAGCCTGTTGATAGCACAGTACAGAATAAGCCTGTGCAGGGATTCAAGTGGACAGAATGTGTATTAATTAGAAATCTGTTTAGTACAACACAATTTTAACCCTTTTATTGGAGTAGCCCAAATTAAATGCCAGCCATTAAGGTGTTTTTCTGTTTGTGAATGTTTGCTTCAATTCTTTGCACTGGAATAATGTGCCCCTTCCTCTTACACTCTGCAAGTTTTTAAAACCCAGGCATGGCATTGCCCAACTACTGTACCACTTATTTAATTTACTGTCTTCTACCCAGCTTTTCCTCAGATTGTGCACTAAATAATAATAAATAATAATTCTTGCATTTGATATAGCACCTTATCACGTTGTTTGAATCTAATGGAATAAGAATAGGAAAATGGGGGAAAAACTTCCTGGGGTAAACAGGAAATAAAGTAACAGTCAGAGATAAATTTACATCAAGAGACAGAATGTAGTGCTGTTCTTAGAGCAACTGCATGACCAGAATAAAATGCCAATGTGATTTCTTGGGATGTCCTCCTAAAGTGAAAGGTGCTAATACAAATGTAATTTGTTGTTGTTGAAAGGGTTACACATTTGCAGATTTCATTTCTGTGACTCCAAAATTTTATTGCAGTAATTCACAAGTGAACTTTGGGAATAGGAACACACAACAGTTTCCATTGTAACTTGTAACTGCAAGGTTTTTTTTATTTGGAGATGGATTCATGTATTACTGAGATATTAATACTCATTTATTTAGTTTTTATCATTTGACATATGACCAGAGAAGCTCTGGAGCCTGTAGTCAATGTCATCATGACCCACACAGACTTCATCTGAAAGCAGTGTGAGCCTTGGCGTGCCTACATGGTTGACTTCTCAAGTAAACAATTACAAGAAGTTAATGCTTCTATCAAATTAACTGTAATTGAAAAAAGACTCCTTGCCTTTTCCTGATCATTTTTATAATTCCAAATGTACTTTAGAATTTCTTGGCATAAACTCGTGCTGGTTAGATTATGTGTTTTGTAATGTTTTTTGATCATTTTTTTAAAAAAAAATGTTTTGCAATATTGTGTACCATAATCGAAGTATGCCTACAGGTAAAACAACAAAATAAGAGCAATATTACATTTGTATAGCGCCTTTCACATCAGGAGTCACTGCACTTCACAGAACAACAACAAATTGCATTCATATAGCACCTTTCACTTTGGGAGGACGTCCCAAGGCGCTGGGGAAATCTTGTGAAGCACTTTGAGACGTTTCATCAACGTGATAAAATGCTTATCCATGCTTTCATCGCGTTCAGGCTTGACTATGTCAACTCTATGCTCGCCAGAGTTGCAACTCTTCCCACCACAAGTTGCAGATTATTTCACGACTCTATTCTGTTCAAGTCTCTTGCAACTTTGGGGTGCGTTTTTACTGTTACTGCACGATAAGTTGTAGGAAGCTTCAGATCTGGGACCAGATGCTGCATTGTTTGAAGATCATTCACCCTGAGTGATTTTTACAGAACTATGTTTGTTCCTTATATGGGCACAAACAAATGTACTTCATGTTTAAATCTTTGTTTCTCTTTCTTTAGTACGCTACAGAAAATCCCATGCACAACACATATCCCACTGCAACCAATGAACATGAGGCTTAAAGTGGAGATTTACATTAAAAGTTAATTTTGTTCTTTCATGGAAACCTTTTGTGTGCTGCTTTGAGAAGACATTTGATACCACAGTATGCTGCCTACCTTATGACCAAACCACTTTTGCTTATTTTCTCATATCTATTTTCTAACCTCTTCTAACGGATGGAGCTAATCTATATTTAGTTCCATTTATATCCACAAAAAATTCAGGACCAATTTGATGATTTTGTAATAATCCTTGTATTTGATACAGTGCTTTTCTTTTGAGAAGATGTCTTAAAGCACTTTATATGAGAGTATTGTGGTCCAAGAGCATCCTGTTTGCTTATTTTTTTTACCCAAGGAATGGTGTTTGGAATGAGGGAGAAAGCTAGACATCTTTCCATTCCTTTTTACTTCTATACTTTACATGCTTTTTTAAATTTTTGCAGAAAGCTGCGAATAAACATTCTGATGATCCTTTTAATGATGAGAAAAAGGAAGAAGAAAAAATCGAAGCCTTGGCTAAGAAATTTGAAGAAAAATACGTGAGTGCCATTTGTGTCCATAATTTTTTATTGAAATCTTATTTTCTTATATGCTTTTTTATCAAATAAACAAACCCCTTGGTACAACAGGACTTAGTTTTACTTGTAATTTTATTTTGTAAAATATCTAACATCTTACAGTGAGGTGCTTGTACTATAGCTAGAACTACAGGACGCAAAGCTCCTAGTTGAAATGATTCATAGAATTATACAGCACAGAAAGAGACCATTTGGCCCATCGTGTCTGCTGGCTCTCTGAAAAGAGCTATCCAAATCAATCCCACTGCCCCGCTCTCTCCCCATAGCCCTGCAAACTTGTCCTCCCCAAATAATGATGTAATTAACTAATATATGCAATCAACAATTATATTGATTGCAGTGTTTTGTATCTAGGCTAATTTCTAAACTTCACTTTAATAATAAACGTGTGCTGAAAATCACGTCAAATGAAATTGGTTTTCAACATCTGAATCTCACACTTACGAGATGCTCCAATCGATGTAGGATTCGTATTATGAAGCTTGCGGATCAACTTGTCATCTGCGTAATTTCAATACTTCACAATAAGCTATTGTGACAGTACAAGTTGATAAAGCTGTTTTTTTAAAAAAAATGGCATCCTTGGCTTTATAAATAGTGGCACAAGTGCAAAAGCAAGGAAGTTATGCTAAACCTTTATAAATCACTGATTCAGCCTCAGCTGGAGTGTTGTGTCGAATTCTGGGCACCACACTTTAGGAAGGATGCCAAGGCCTTGGAGAGGATACAAAGGAGATTTATCAGAATGATACCAGGAATGAGGGACTTCAGTTATGTAGAGAGAGTAGAGAAGCTGTGATATTTCCCCTTAGAGCAGAGAAGGTTATAGGGAGATTTAATAGTGGTGTTCAAAATCATGAGACATTGATAGAGTAGATAAAGAGAAACGTTTCTCTGCCAGGTCAGTAACTAGAGGACTTCAAGATAATTGTCAAAAGAACCAGAGGGACACGGGGAGTATTTTTTTTATGCAGCGAGTTGTTACCATCGGGAATGCACTTCCTGAAAAGGTGGTGGAAGCAGATTCAATGATAACTTTCAAAAGGGAATTGGATATGTATTTGAAAAGAAAAAGGATTGCGAGGCTATGGGCAAAGAAGGGGGTTAGGACTAGTTGGGTAGCTTTTTCAAAGAGCCGGCACAGGTATGATGGGCTGAATGGCCTCCTTCTGTACTGTAAGACTCTATAATTTTCTAGGTTCCTTCCTGTTATCAGAATGGAGTTCTTTTGAAAGGAGCAGACTGAACTGTTCACTTATCCTTTTTGCACATCTAATTCGTTTTTCAACGCTAGAAACCTGTTTTAACTTTTTTCAAGTTTTTTTTACCCAGTCTGAATATTAATGTCGATATAAGAACATATGAAACTTTCCTTAATTGTAATTATCAGCTAATTCTTCCTATTTTTACTAAGTCGAATATTTAACATTGTATAATAATAATTAATAATTCTGGCATTTGATATAGTTTTCACTTTGTCAAAACATCTCAAAGTGCCTTACCGTATATTGTAGAGTGTACAGGCTGCGTATTTGTAGGCAGCAAAAACATTGCACAGCAATGTCCAACAAAAGGCCAAAAGTAAAATGATCAATTTTATCTGGAGGATAAAATTGGCCAGGACCCTGGGAGAAATTCCCTTTTGTTTTCATACAGTGCCATGGGATCTTTGACATCTGAACAGATTTAATATCTCATGCAAAGGACGGCACATCAGACAATGTAGTGCTTCTCCAGCACTGCACTGGAGTGTCAACTTAGACTGAGCTCAGAGTCAAGGTATTGGATATGTAGGTGTATCAGAGGTGAAAGTGCTTCCAACTGAATCAGACTGACATCTGCTTGTATTTAGATACATACAGGAACAGTATTTTGTTAGTTACTTTTTGTCAGCAATTTTCTTCTCTCGAATCTCTCCAGAAGGCATTTGATTCTTTGAAATGTGGCAGTTTGCTGGTTACCCTGACTAACTTTCTCTTCCCTGATCCAGAGTGAATTGGTCATTTCTATCCTTCTGCATGCAATCCCAACTGAGACCATTTATCTCAGTGTAGACCAGCATTGTACCTGGATCTTTCTTTGGCTGTACGTCATTTGCTGAAGAATCTGTCAAGCCAAACATTTTATTTTAGAGGTATTAAGTTTGTTAGAGAGGCAATGATACTACACTCCTGGATGTGTCTCATTGTTCGAGTGCCTGTCAGTGTGAGTGGGACCCGACAGTGAATTCTAAGTGAACTTGTTTGGTACAAGTTAATATCTCTTTAGATCTTGGATTTTTCACCCACAAAATGCACAGTCAATCCACTTTACAGTATAAACAAAACACAAAATACTGTAGATGCTGGAAATCTGAAACAAAAACAGAAGTCGCTGCCTGGCCTGCAGAGTGTTCCCAGCGACTTCTGTTTTGTTCCACTTTACGTTATGTCCTGTGAAGCGTTTTGAGATGTCTTGGCAACGTGGTAAGGCGCTATTATCAAATGCAAGGATTATTACATAACAGGAATGATCTGTTTTCTGAATCTAATCAATGCTGCTTAGATTTACATCTAAAGACATCTATGGAACAATTTCTTTATAATCCTTGTTCGCATTAATTAAAGCCCAATTGTGTATCTGGCCTACCATTCTAATTCTTTACAATTTAGATTTTTGTTAGAATATTATATTTGGACCACACTGAAGAGCTTCATAATGCAGATGATAGTTGTTTATACTTATAATATAATAATCTGTGCATTTGATATAGCATCTTATGTCATAGAGATGTCTCAAAGCATTGCACAGGATTTATTGTAAAGTGTAGTAACTATTTATAAGGAAACGCGGCAGCCAATTTGCACACAGCAATGTCCCACGAAGAGCCACGAATTGAGTGACCAGTTTTATTTTTCTATTATTATATTTAAAAGGACATCAAACACTGCATTTCTGGTGTCCTTGGAGGTTCCCATGACTGGTTCTGTTCATCGTGCCTTGCCTTGTCGACCAGTACTGGCACGGATTGTTTGCATGCAATAAAAATGGTGTTGACCTCTCTCTTTGCCTTTAGTCTCTGCCTGTATGATTGGCAGAAACAGAGGGAGTGATGAGTGAAACTCGCGCCATTTATAAAACCAAAGGCATAACGTGAGTTCAGATGTTTGGAAGTCAGATGGTGGAAGAGAATAAATGGCTTTAAACCCACACATGTTATCGAACATGTAAAATTCTTCTGTAGTGGATTATTTTTGAAACCGCCACATTTTTGATTCAGCAAATTGCTTGATGCAAAACAAGTACATTGATCAATATTGGCAGCCTTTTTAAAAGAGTCCTCCCTAATGCCGACACTTATTCTAGTTGCCATTACTTAATATTTTTTACATCAATTTCTTTACGATTATTTGTTACTATGATAAAAACGAGAAATGTTTCCACTATTTTCTTCCACTTTACAATGTGCACCCCAGCCAGCCCGCCTCCACTCTGCACTCACCAACTGCCATGTGACTGTCAAAAGTACAGCAACTCTGTATCGTGGAGCATGCAGCAACCATCCACCATGGTAAGTCCCCACAGAGTTCAATTTCTGCTACAAATATATTTTAACCAAACGGCCTCTGAAACCTGCCCTGTTTTAAACACCAGTTTTGGTAAACAGCCCGTTGACACCATCTGGTTGTGGGGCACTCTGGCTGTAAGGGTGGTGTATTTCTTTCCACCAATCCACATCATTGGTTGCTCCCAATTGCTCTCTCACAACAACCAAAAGTGCAGTAAAGTCTTCATTGCCACTCGCACGGCAACTTTTGTTACGGAGTTAATTGACATGAATTCAACTCCCAAATAAAAGTGGTGCAAATGTGGCAACGGTAGTGTTTCAATCGGGACAGAAGTCAGTCTTCTTCGTCCAATGATGCCTGAAACGGATTAGTTCTACGGCATATTCTATAATCATTAGACCTGCTGCTGATCCTCAACTTAGGCGAGAGGGGAGGGTCAGAGATGGAGCAGTACCTCAATCAGAATTTAGTCAGGAAAGGTGAGATGATTTCATGGAACAACAATGAGGATCCATTAAATATTTCTGCAGATGATGTTTGTTCACGCAGAGTTTTTACTTTTCAGGGCTCTAAAAAGCGCAGAAAGGATCGTGTCCAAGACTTGATCGACATGGGTTATGGATATGATGAAACTGATCCATTTATTGATAATTCTGAGGCTGTAAGTAAAATTATTAATTAAGCTTAGGTGCCTGTAATGAAAATTCAGTACCGTAGATTTAATATCAATGTAACGGTTGCCTTGCTTGCTTGTAAATCGATGAGATATAATGATACAATGCACTCTTTCCTTTCCAACCCGCACGCTGACTTTATTTGAAGTTGATGAAACAAAACAGTTGATTGCTTTCTGCTGTATTTTGTGAATATGGTTAGCGGGTGTGTGAAGCAAGAGAAATTGTCTGGAAGAGTCTTCAGATGTTGCAACGAGACCTGCTCTTTGAAAGACATCAGTCTCTCCATGTAGTTAGTTGTCGGTTTGTAAACTTGATGCTGTAACTAACATTTCTAAAAATGCATAGGAACATCTCAGTGCCATTAAAATAAAGTGGGGGAGGGGGTAGTACAGCATTTGGGATTTAGGAAATAAAAATAGATCAAGTTACATATGATAAAGTCTTGCTCGAATCGAATCGACATTAGCAAGGAAGAACACTGAAGTGTTACGAAATGTGTGAAGCCAGTGTTAGGGTGAAACAGATGGTACTAGAGAACAAATGGCTTTGTAAGAAGAAACCTGGGTTCAGACATATTTGCTACACAACGGTAATAGCTTTCTTCTCAGTGCTATTTTTTTTTAAAAAATTCACCCAAATTGCTTTAAAAAGTATATCCTGTAGAATGGTAGGGGAAATGTACTATTTAACCACTTACCATTGAATGCTGGGGAGCTGATCAGCTGATATTAACAGCAATTTGATAGCTCCTCTGAAGAACTCTCCAGATAGATATAATGGTTTAAATAGCTTCCTTGTTTTGAAATGTCTTAGTTCTATCAGTGAGCAGCTCAATAGAAGCAACAGGGATCACTAACAGTTATGGTTTTGAATGTCAATCCCATAAAGCTGAACATTCTGAAATCCAACACTATCTTAGCACATAGTGATATTCCAACAGGACTGAAATTTAAGGTGATTTAAGTGCTTAAGATTCGAATCCTGGACCGTAAAGAATACTGACCTAATTGATTTAATTATTTACAGAGTGCTTTTCCATGTCAAAAATATGAAGTATCCATGATTCTGTGGAAAGATGAATAACAGATGTTATTCTTGCCAGGAAGGATTTTTAAAAATGTATATATTTTGTTGAAATAACAAAAAGGGAAATATGCAGGTGGACCTCATTTTAATGCAGTTCTCTGGGTCTAGTTGCTCAGAGGCTGTGTTCTAAACAAACCATTGGCTAACTGCCTGGTTGTTGGTTGTTACTAATATTACTTCCTATACACTGTGCAAAATAAGTGAGACATACCATGGTGCTGTAATAATAAAAATGGTAATCCTTGCATTTGATATAGTGCCTTATCACATCTTTGAGATGTTTCAAAGCAGTATACAGAATATACTGTAAATGAATTGACTGTATGTTTTATGGGCTAAACACGGCAGCCAATTGTGCACAAGTGTCCCACCAACAGTTGTTGACTGAGTGGCCAAATTTTTATTTTTTTTTTTTTTGAAGGAATTATTATTTCCCGGAAAAGCGATCCGCCAATTGACTAACAACCGGGTTCCTAATTACTGCTAGGTAAACAGGGGCGTGTGGAGTAAGGAAACTTGCCCAACGTTTCGCCCTGCCCTGGAATCAAACCCAGGTCTATCGCTTGCGAGATGAGTGCTCAAACCACTGAGCTACAGGACTCCACAAAGTACAGATCAGGGATTATCTGCACTTTCCCCTGCTGTCACAAGTACCATATCTTTGAAAACAACTGGTGTTTCTTCTGATAGTGGGCGGTCCATTTAAGAAAAACAATTGTATGCAAAATGAGAATTATCCTTGTATCGAGCTACAAAACTAATTCCCTGTGTCATTGTCATGTGATCGTAGCACACCATGCAAATTTTCATCACAATACAAATTACGTTTGTATAGTGCCTTTCACGTCGGGAGGACATCCCAAGGCGCAGTCAGGGAATGGGCAGGGTGGAGGGTAAGAGGGTGACCGGAGGTGTGGTCGAAGAGGAGGTCTTTGAGACACCTCTTGAAGGAGGAAAGGGAGGGAGCGACGCAAAGGAAATGTGGGATGGAGTTCCAGAGGGTGGGGGCAGAAAGGCCGAAGGCCTGGCTGCCGATGGTGGAGCGTCCTGGGCAGGGGACGTGGAGCAGGCCAAGCCTGCTGAGCGGAGGGAATGGACAGGTTGATATAGGATCAGCAGGTCACAGAGGTAGGGAGGGCTAAGGCTGTGAAGGGCCTTTAAGGCAAGGATGAGGATTTTGAACTCTATCCTCTGGAGGTTGGGGAGCCAGCGAGTTCTGGATGATCTGCAGCTTGTGGAGGGAAGAGTTGGGAAGGCTGGTGAGCAGGGAGTTGGCGTAGTTGAGCCTAAATGTGATGAATGCGTGGATGAGGGTTTTGGCAGCCTAAGACATCCTAGAATTTGAATTTGTATCACAAAGCTTTATACAGAAGGTATGAACTAAATGGGAAAACTTGTGTTGAAAGCAGAAGATACAAATCCAGACAGTAAAATGGCTGCAGCAAAGTCTCAAATAACGTCTTCAGCTTCATTGTCACGGTATGTGATTTCATCAGTAACTTTTAAGAATATAACAAACTCCAGCCGTTCGAATGTAGCAAGAAGTGTTAATGACAGTGGGGCTTCTCTCTTGTGAACTTTGGTTCATTTGTTATAAATAAAGTGGTGTGTTTTGCCAGTAAACCAGCCATTAGTCCCTGCAGTAGCTCATCCTGACTTGGTTCTGCTTCCCATTAATGCTGGGTCCTTGTTTTGTATTGTTCTAGTATGATGAGCTTGTTCCAGCCTCCCTGACGACTAAGCTTGGCGGCTTTTACATCAATAGCGGAACTTTGCAATTCCGGCAGGCGTCTGATTCTGAAGTGGATGATGACTATTTAAAAGAGAAAAAAAAGTTAAAATCTCCAAAGGTGAGTAAAGAATCATGATGGGCTATTGACTTTCTCAGGATCTGGGGACAATAGCTTAATTTGTTAATCTACAATTTTAAACTCTCATGCTTCTTCCCCAACTGTAAAGGTTGAGTTTGGCCCACTCGCAAGCTTCAATACTCTCAGTCTATACTCATTGTTAGTAAATGTATGATTCTGTCCATCAAGGGTTATGTTACAATCCTGATGGGAATATGTTGTATTAGCACAGTATTAATAGCAACTCTGTCTTGTGCTGTGGCCATGATGGTTGAACACAAGGATCCTCCACAATTGAGCCACCAAAGACTTTACAATAGGCTAGCAGCCTCTTGTGGCAAAAACAGTGTTGAAGTATGCAATAATGCAACAACAACAATAAACTTACATTTGTATAGCGCCTTTCACGTCCAAGGCGCTGGACAGACAGAGTTACGGAACCAAGTTGGTGGTCAGGGACTGTGGGATGGAGTTTCAGAGTGCGGGGGCAGAGAGGCTGAAAGCCCGGCCACCAATGGTAGGACGGGTCGGGTGGGAGACATGGAGCAGGCCGGAGCCCGCTGAACGGAGGGAGTAGGCAGTATGGTAGGGAGTCAGCAGGTCAGAGAGGTAGGAGGGGACAAGGCCATGGATGGCCTTGAAAGTGAGGATGAGGATCTTGAACTCAATTATCTGGGGGATGGGAAGCCAGTGGAGTTAGGCGAGGGTGGGAGTGATGGGGTCGCGGAGCCTGGGGCGCGAGAGTACACGCGCTGCAGTGTTCTCGATAATCTGCAGCTTGTGAAGGGAAGAGTTGGGAAGGCTGATGAAGAGGGAGTTCCCATAGTCAAACCTTGAGGTGATGAATGCGTGGGTGAGAGTTTTGGCAGCCTGAGGGCTGAGGCAGTGGCGGAGTCTGGCAATGCTGCAGAGGTGGTGTTAGGCAGTGCCGGTCATGGCGCGGATGTGGGGGAGAAAGGGCAATTCAGGGTCGAACAAGATACCCAGGTTCCTGACTTGCTTAGTGAGGTTGAGTGTGCAGCTGTGGAGGCTGATGCTGCCGGTGTTTGAGGTGCGGAGGCGTTGGCGCGAGCCAATCAGGAGGGCCTTGGTCTTGCTGACGTTGAGTTGGAGAAAGTTATCCCTCGTCCAAGACTTGATGTTGGACAGGCAGTCGGTCAGGACACCAGTAGTCCTGGAGTTCAGGGTGGAGGCAGAGAGGTAGAGTTGGGTGTCATCCGCATACATGTGGAAATTTACCCTATGTCTGCGGCTGATGTCACCAAGGGGTAGCATGCAGAAAGTGAAGAGGAGGGGACCGAGGACAGAGCCCTGAGGCACACCGCATGAGACGGTGCGGGGCTGGAGGAGAAGCCGTTTGCCGCAACGAAATGGAGGCGGTGTGAAAGGGAGGACCTGAATCAGTCAAGGACAGAACCTTGAAGGTTGAGGTGGGAGGAGAGGCGGTGGAGGAGGATTGAGTGGTCCACGCTGTCAAAGGCGGCAGAGAGGTCGAGGAGGCAGAGGGAGCCCTGGTCACACATGGTAGAGATGTCGTTTGTGACCTTGACCAGAGCAGTTTCCGGGCAGCACGGAAACCCGATTGGAGGGTTTCATGAAGGGAGTGAGAGGAGAGGGAAGAGTGAAACTGGGAGGCAACAGTTCTCTCAAGGACCTTGTTTAGGAAAGGGAGATTTGAGATGGGCTGGTAGCTAGATAGCTGTGCTGGATCAAGGGAAGGTTTCTTCAAGTGGGGTGATAGTAGCTGTTTTAAAGGTGACAGGTTCAAAGGTGTGGAAGGAGGGATAGGTAGTTGTCGGATGGGTAGTTGTGTGGGATGAGGGTAGGGAGGGGGTGGAAGTTGTGAGGGCAGTGGCAGCTGAGCGGATTCCCTCGATTTTGGACTTGAAATCCAGCATTTTCTCGCAGTGAGAGTCAGAGGAAAGAACTCGCGAGGCCCCAAGATTCTGGACTGGCTTGGCAAGGTGGAGTGTGCAATCGTGGGTAGTGATGCTGTCAGCGCCTGAGGTGAGGAGGCGCTGACAGGAGCCAATCAGGAGAGCCTCGTTCCCTTTAGTTTTAATTAATTGGTCTAATTTCATCACAGTTCAAAGAATCCTATTTTCTTCTGGTCAGTCAGGTGTCTTGACACTTCAGAAACCCATCGCCATACTTAACCAGAGTTTTCAAACCAGACTGAGAGTTCCATATTTTTGCCAACTACACATGGAAATTTCCCCATGACTAGAGTAGAATGTGCACTCTCCGTGGAGGGACACACCCGCTTATCTAATTCAGGAGGGTATCGGGCGCAGGTTGGCAAGAGCCAAAGCTTGGGGACGCCAGAGTATGTGTTGGATACTCTGGAGTCTAATCAGCTAAACTTGCAAAACTTGTCATTGAGTGCACTGTCTGGCAAAGCTTCCCCGAAGCCTGTCCAGCTACAACCATCTTATCCTTTAGAGCTTTGCCTTGCAGGGTTAACAGGAGCTGAGTGGAAGGATTCCCTTCCACCAGTGACTGGTCTGCCTCTCTAACTCCAGCCAATGGGCTAGGCTGACAGGTCTGTTCATGAACCTGTGCTCCCAAGACTTTGTGGGCCTGCACTGTGGGCCTGCCTGGCTACCAAGACCACCACAGAGAGTTGACCCTATTTTGAATCTGTTGCCAAGCACATCACCTAGGAGCCAGCTTAAACCCCCTAAGGAAATTCAGATGGAATCCTAAATACTAATTGCATGTAATGAATTGATCTAATTGCATGCTGTGTTCAATTTATATTAAATTCACAAAGTGTATCTTATGATTATAATACGTCTTGCATTTGATATAATGCTTTTCATGTTGATAGGATGTTTTAAAGCATTTCACACAATTTTATTGTGAAATGTAGTGACTGCATTTTGCAGGCGAACATTATTGTACAGTCCTCGCCATTGGCAGAGTTGAAAAGGCAAAATGGTACATATGGTTAATAAATAAATGTAAATTGAGAACTGCAGTGTTTTAGTAGTTCATCTTGATACACCTCATGGGTCACATTCGGGTGAAACATTAGCAGAGGCGATTTCTGAAGTAGGTTAGCTGTCAAAGTTGGAAAGAAACCTCTGTTTTGGGGAGGAGGGGACTTAAATGCCTAACAAATTTTGCACAATTGCACGTGAACACTGTCTGTAGCAGTCTCACTGCATCTTCCCAAATCCTTGTATTTTTGTCCACAGCAAAGGATTGGATTCAATTATTTTTTTTCCTTAAACCAGTAAAGATGCCAATATGTTGGATAATCTCTTGTGTTTCCTGGTACTTTAGGTTTTTCTCTACTGTGATTATTTCACTGGCTCTACTCCAGCTATGTACAATTTGTGCAGAACTTGTATTTGATGTGCAATTTCACAATAAGAATAATAATAATAATAATCCTTGCATTTGATATAGCGCTTTTCACGTCGGGAGGACGTCCCAAAGCGCTTCACAGAACACACTGTAAAGTGAATTGACTGTATATTTGTGGGCGAACGCGGCAGCCAATTGCGCACAGCAATGTCCCACAAACAGTTGTAGATTGAAAATGACCAATTTATTATTGTTTTTGTTTTGGAGGGATTATTGCGATACAACAAAATAACAACCGATCTAAAATGGAGTAGTTTATCACTGTGAGAGAGAATAACACTGCACAATAATAGCACTGCCAATAGTGAACACTACACAATGTTTACCCTATTTGAGAAGGATACAGTGCATGTTGGAGCTGTGGTGATGACTGGTCTGTGTGTGACTGCCTCAATTTAGCTGCGATACTTTAATGATTTTTTTTTTCAAGAAACGAAAATTAAAAGATGGGAGTGAAAAGATGAAGAAAAAAAGAAAAGAAGATGGACACGAGAAAGAGAAGAAATCTCAAAAATCTAAAATTTCCAAACAGGCTGGGTAAGTCGAATTGAGAAGCAGTGCTGATTAATCCCAAGCAAGTTAATTTGAAGGAGTTTAGCTTCAACTCTGTGCGCTCTTTGTTTATTTCTCATTCCTGTTTTTTGGTGCGTTTATCAATCGCAGGTTCATGCCACTGAACAGCCACAAAGAGGAGAAAAAGAAAAAGAAAAAATACATGGGAGCTTTGGGTGTGAGAGAAATGCTGAAGCAATTTGAGAAGGAGAAAGAAGCTTTGAAGAAACGAGAAGACCAATGGAACTTGCCTACCTTACAGACTGTGGCTCGCATCCCTCACGAGGCTAACAGCGGCTCCATTAACATCAGTGTTTCCGACCCTCTGCTGTCACTTATTGGCTCTGCTAACGAGAGCGATCTCCTACAGGTGGCCAGTACTGTAGATCTAGAAATCGATCTCGATCAGTTTCTGAACGATTCTTCTCCAGAGAGTCCCCTTAATGATTTTGATGAAAGCAGCGATCCTTTGCCTGCATTCCAATGCTCATTAGAGGGGCAAACATCCAGACCGGTTCCCACGCTTCCTGATCGACTGCCAGCAGTACTCGAAAAACGCATTAAAGATCTGACACAGGTAAGAAAGTAGACAACAACTAACCCATGGAGGCACAGAAACCAAGTCATAGATGATGTGGTGTAATGCCGTTGTTATGTTGCTTGTGTTAGCTGTCACTTATCTTTTGTCTACTTTTACCACGTTTCGCTTGTACAATTATCAGAATTTTTATGCAAGTAAGTTGCTTGCCTCCAAAATACACCTTACATTAAAACCTTGTGAAGCACTTTGAGGCACCCTGACATGAAAGGCACCATATCAAATTCAAGGATTTTTAAAAAAATATTATCAGAAGGGCCTGATTTTTAGTTTGTAACGAGCTCAGGGCAACCAGCAGATTTACAAACCTTGACTGTGTGACTAAAACAATGAAGGAGGGTAAAGGATCTTAAAATAAAACTTCTGATCATGAGGTATCACTTGTATTTTGATGGGCAGATATTTCCATTCTTTTATGTAAAGCAGTTAATGACATGCTTGTTGTTTTATAGGCTGCCAAAGCCTCAGGAGAAGGGAAGCAGAAATTTTTCACACAAGACATTAACAATATTCTGTTGGAGTAAGTACAACTAATCTCACATCTTGTTAGAATTCTGTGTCTAAGTGGACTGCATTTAAAAACTATCTTGTGATTATATTTTCCATCGGTGGAGTGGAGAGTGAGCAACGCAAATGCTTCTTGTGTAAAGTATACCCGTGCTTTGTTTCGAATTAGAACCGTTACTGAAGGATTTTTTAAAAAAAATTTAGTCAAAGGAAATTAGCAAAAGGTTAGAATGCCATTATACCAAGTAGTACAGGGCAACATTGATACCACATCGTGATATGGAAGCTTCACTTGTAGCATTGGACACCACGCTACTGATTTCCATTGATGACTAGCTAGTTTACCACACCAAAAATGGCCAACTTCCATTTGTTTGTTTGCCGCTGACATCACTTTCTGAATGAAGGAAGACCTGTCGGTAGCACTTCTTTTACTTTTGCAGTGCACAGGATGTGAAATCCGCATTTTTGTGCTTTGCTTGTACCTCAATACAAGAACGACAACTTGCACTTGTATCGCGCCCTCCGTGATTTGAAAAAGGGGAACGAGGGGGTAAGGTGGAGGAATTGAGGGAGAGTGTTCCCGAGTTTCAGGGCATAGTGGCTGAATGTGCGACCTCCAATGGTGGACCGGAAGACATAAGGGAGAAGCAGGAGGCCAGTACCAGCGGAGTCTCCGAGTGGTGGATTGGGGAGTGAGGAGGTCAGAGAGGTAGGGAGATTCCAGGGAGTGAAGACTTTTGAAAATGAGTGCGAGGATCTCAAAGTAAATCCGTTTGATGATGGGGAGTGAGTGGAACCTGGCCAGAACTGGTGTGACAAGAGTTTGGTCCGAGTAAGTATGCGGGCGGCAGAGATCTGAATGAGCTGGATTTTTTGATCAGTGGAGCTGGGGGTGCGTTTGAGTAGTCCAGGCGGGAGGTGACAAACCCATGCATGATCGTTCCAGCTGCATTTAGGGTATGGAGGCAGGAAATGTGGCGGAGGTGGAGGAAAACGGTACTGGTCAGGGACCGAATGTGGGGAAGGAAGGACAGCTGAGGGTCGAACTGGACGCTTAGATTGCACACAGGTTCGGTGAGTCTGAGGGAGAGTCCAGGGAGGTTGAGGAATTCAGATCCGCAGGAGTGAAGACTTTGACGGGAGCCAGGAATATGGCTTCTGTCGTGTCCACATTCAGCTGCAGGAAGTTTGCACTCATCCAGGCCCTGATGTCTGCCAGACAAGCTGATAGAACATCGGCGAACCTGGAGTTCGTACTGGAGGAGGCAAAGTAGATTTGTGTGTTATCCACATACATGTGGAAGTTTACCCCATATCTGCAGATGACATCGCCAAGAGGGAGAATGTAGATGAGGCAAAGAAGGGGGCCAAGGATGGAGCCCTGGGGTACCCAGCTGGTGACTGCGGGAGAAACCATTTGCTGAGATGAAGTGGAGGCGGTTGGTTAAGTAGGACTCAAACCATGCGAGTGTGGTCCCACTAAGATGGATAAGGGAGGCGAGGCGGTAAAGGAGAATGGTGTAGTCAACTGTCGAGGAATATTGGACCCATTTGGCTAATCGCATCTCTTCTGAGCAATTCCATTTCAGAAAGCTGGTCTTGTCCAAGCAGAAGTACATTGCCTTCTCACGAGAACATGTGGATTGGGAGTGGAGGGGGGAAGGGGGCAAATATGTCTTACAAGGGGGCAGCCAAATAGGACGACCAGAGAAAATCAGTTATTTAAACTTTATTCCAGCTATAGTGCATTTCAGACTCCAAGGTAACACATTGCATACTTCTGAGTCCATTCCCGGGCTATTCTGTTGTACTTTTCCCTATCTGTTTTGTAGATGTGTGCAATTTCTGGAACTAGGTGGTATTGGTATTTATGCTCCGCGCAAGCCTACAACCCTTGTAATCCCCTCTTCTATAAGTCCTCCTCTATTCTCCCTCGTGTATGCCATAGAATTTACCAACTTTTATATTCACTGTCTAATTAATAAATATATTGTAAGTTTTTGAGTTTCTCACAATGTAATACAAGGAGGCTGATCAGCCTTCCGCAGAATGACGTTAGCATTTTAATAAAACCAAAGTGACATTGATAAGCTGTTACACCTTACATATAACTGGGGGTGTGTAGTTCGGATTCAAAGGTGATCAAATTCTTCTTCCCGGAGAGATGGTGACCGCTTATAGTGTATGTCGATCCTTGGCCAGCCCCTGACCAGGTTTCACCAGTGGTTTCACTGAATACTCCTGACCAGTTCATACTGGTTCTTTCTTTGTTTTACATTTGCATTCCTTCAGGCCTTCTAATAACTTTTCACATCCTCTTATCAACGAGGATGTCTTTGTTCATGCTGCCTCCAAGAGCAACTTGTGTCTGCCACCATTACATTCTCCTTCGGAATACACATAAGGCTGAAGAACAAAGTCTCTCTCTCTCTCGCTCATGGAAACCAGCCTGCTTGAGATGAGAGGGTGGGTGGGGGAGTGGGCAGCTGTACTCTTTTTGTCAGGATACACTAATTGTGAGCACTAAGCGCACCTAGCAAAAATCATCAGCTTACAATATTTATAAATAAATGCCTTTTATTTGCCTTGATATTAAGATATAATTCATATTTAATTATTAATTTCACCCACAAATATACAGTCAATTCACTTTACAGTATATTCTGTGAAGCGCTTTGAGACATCAAGAAGATATGAAAAGCGCTATATCAAATGCAAGGATTACTATTACATTTATCTACAGTTATTGTTAGTAGTTTCATTGTTCTGCTATAGTTCTTTGTTGTTCTTTGCATGTTAACTTTTTATCAATGATTTCAAAAAAAGTAATGATACGAAAGGTAGTAATGTAAATTATGCTTCTTACACGATGGTGCTTTAGTGTCAATTATGAGGATCTGTGTGGAAGTTGCTGTACAGTCTCTATAGTTGTGACGTTTGTATTTCCAGTATTGAGCTACAATCCCGTGTGCTGAACAGCCAGGCTCGCTCAGGCGTTTATGCCCACTTGGCATCCTTCTTACCATGCAGTAAGGACACTCTGGTCAAAAGAGCAAAGAAACTGCATCTGAATGAGCAGGTAACTGAAATGGAAGCCAGTGTTCTAGTGATGATAAGGTCCAGCGGCGCTGCTTTCACTCATTTCTTGTTTGTAAGATAATTGTCTCAGCACAAGTTTAGAAGCTGTCTAGACGGTGGGCTACAATACAATTCCACTTGGGTCTACATTTATTCTGTTGACGTAGAATTTCAGAGGATCCGGAATTTGCCAAGTTCTTAATTCAGCTTTAATGTGAGGTTAGTTTTCTGTTCAGTTCAGAATTACATGAAACAAGCTTCAAAGTTAAGGCGGAATTTAACAATTGGCCAGATTCTGGAAGCTACATAAATCTAGATTTCAGTGGAATTTCAGAACCCGCTGAGAGTGTGTTTTGCCAGCTACAATAACAACAACTTGCACTTATGTAGTGCCCTCCACACAGGGTAGCGTCTCAGAGTGCTTAGAATCTAACAGTGCTAGCTAATAGGATGAGTTCTTATTGCTAGTTTTTTGTTACGGCAGTACATTTCAGACCCAGAAGCTTAAAAAATAACTATTCTGTTGAAACAATTGTTTGATTGTGGATTATTTTCTTTTAAGAAGTAAATTACTTGAAGATTTCAATCATCTGAAATTACTTGAATAAAATGCCTCCTTGATGCAAGCTCTTTAGCAGTAGTTTTCTAAATATTGAAACATGTACCGCCGCTCACACTTTACAGCAGTTCATTTGAACTAAATTAAGCATTTACTTTATGCTTTAATACATGTTTATTACATTCCTGTTTAGTTGTATGGCTAGCATATGACCAGGTCCATTGCATCAATTATTTTTTACATACATCACATGATCAGGGCTTCAACAGCATTTCTCCGTGTCTCCATGTCTTACCTTAGCAGATAATCCTGGGTCTCCCATAATCTCATCCATTTGTCTCGCTTGTTTAAAAAAAAGGCTGGGTCTACTATAATAATTAACAGGACATAATTGGTAAATATGATACTAATTATCCAATAATAATAATCCTTGCATTTGCTATAGCGCTTTATCATGTTGTTGACACATCTCAAAACGCTTCACAGAAGATACTGTGAAGATAAGTGAATTGACTTTATATTTTGTGGACCCGACGCCCACACCATAAATTCTAACGCTGTCCTTCTTGGTTATTATCAGATTAATATCTGATCCGTATAATAAGCAAGAAAATCAAAAAGATACCTAACTTTCTACTACTGTACAAGGCCAAATCACACCTGATGCTAGAGTCCTGCTATCTGGGCATTCCTGTGTGAGATTTGCACCATTTTTTTCCTGACTGAACGGGAGCTGCCAGTGAGATCCACAAAGCTCAAGGCATAACTTACACTAAGGTCATATGTTTTGAAAAATATTATTTCAGCAAGATGAAAGTGAAGATTTATGGACGTTTGGCAGTGAGTAGGTAATATACTGTAGTAAACGGCTGGAACAAAGCGCCACTGTTGTGCATGTCCTTTATTGCAGAGATTACATTTTAGCTTTAACCTTGCCAGCCATAACTTGTTTATGATTACATACTGTATTTTCAACACATTATAACCTATGAGACGACTGTTAAAATTAGAGCCAAAAGGAGATTGGGTACTGGATCAGACTGCTGTGATTGCGTTGCTACAGAATAATATATTGCATGGATATATAGATACAGGGTGTACTATTCCCTTGACATATACAGTGGAATAAAACTTAATAGAACGCCAGTTCAAATCTCATGATATGATTCTAATTTAGTTCATATCTCATCACTGTTGTGGGAAGCTGTTATCTGTCACTGTCTGCACCGATTTCTGCTGCCAGCAAAATAAAACTGCCCCCTTACAAGTATAACGTGTATTGAAGAATAACTTTTTAACAAGTCATCAGTGTGTTTCGAGGATTTAAATATCTTGGGTTCAAAAACATTGATAAACTATTTGAACTTCACTGACCCTTCTAAGCTCAAACACTTAAATCCGATCTCATTTTGTAACAGCCTGATCTATGTTACTTTATATATTAATAATGAATTAACAGAAGAGTTAATAAATACTTCTCTTCAATCTGTTATATAATGCAGTCTACTTAAATGTATAGCATTCATTTAAATGTAAATCTGCCGCTTTTTTGTGTATCTGCTCAAGATACACTAGTATCTGCTCAAGACACACTAGCATTAGTCTAAAATTGATCTTGTTACTGCAGGCACAAAACCCAAGTTTATTTTTCCATAATAGCTTCAATCTACATTTGAATGTAAACTGATAAATAACTGGCAATACAGGTGGCCTTGAGCAATTTGCTTTTTCTCCAGTGCAGCTGTAAATATTGAAACTCTGTACTTCAATTGTCATTTTTTTATGTTGTGAATTTTGCAATTGTAGAAATGGCCATTCACTGCACTAGTTCTTGGAGTGCTTTAAGAAGTGGCGTCTGTGTTAACCAGTCAACAGCCGATTGACAACAATTGACTTTGGAAAATTAACCTGGAGAATTGTTGGCTAGGACTTCAAGAGAAATCCCCTCTCTTTCCAAATGGTGAAATGGGATTTTTAACGTCCACCTGAACAGGCCGATGGGACCTCGGTTTAACAACTCATTTGAAAGATGGCACTTCCCCACCGGAGATTGTTAGGCATTCATTTTATTGACTTTGAAAGGATAAAGCACTGAATGTAACCACCAGGCTTTAAACCCAGAATTTTCTGGGCCCAAAGTAAAATCGACTCTCAATCTTTATTTTAGACGAAATTTAGATGAATACGTTCTGCGCGTTCTCAATGCTTAGCAGTTCTTGGAAGTAATTTGGTCCTATATGATTTTAGTTTGTTGTGCCACTTTAGAAAGTGTTGAAGGGAATGACTTTATCTTTAATCTTAAGATAAAAAGAACAAGGGCATGCACATTTCATTTATACATTTGACTTGTGAAACCCCAACTCATCAGGATAAAACTGACAGTACAATAGAGTTCTATAATAGCCAGGAGTTAATCAAAGCCTGACCACAATAGAATGTAGTTTTCTACAAAACAAAGAGCAGCACATCCTGGTTCCTGACAGTATTTTTTTAAACAAACCCAAGGAGATGGATGAAAGAGCGCAGGGGGTGGGATTGATGTTCTTCCCTGATGCAGGAGCTCTGTTAAGCAACTAATTATTTGTTTCCCCTTAAAAATCATTACCAACTGGGGGGAAGTGGGTGGTAAAGGCAGGTGAATGCTTAATGCTGGTGAGCATTAATGTGGGTTTTGTTGTGTATAGAAATTTAAAATTAATTTAAGGATACAGGAAAAAACATTTTATTAATAAAGGCTATTATGCATATCGTGTTCTATGTTTTTGTCAACTTTTTAAGTAGAACTTTTTTCTACTTAAAAAAAAATTGATGCATTTGATATAGAGCCTTAGCACGTCATCGAGACGTCTCAAAAATAGACAGTGACAATCAGCTGTGGGTAGTTTTATCAAGTCAATCTGACCAAATTTGTCAAATTAAATAGTTGATTGAATTGTGTTCTGTTAAAGATTCCTAGTATATTTTAGCTAATGAAATACAGGCCAATTATTTTATGATAAGAAATTCTTTCTTGCTTGAGTTTGTTGTAATAATAATAATCCTTGCATTTGATATAGCGCTTTTCACGTCTTCTCGACGTCTCAAAGCGCTTCACAGAATAGACTGTAAAGCGAATTGACTGTATATTTGTGGGTGAGACGCGGCAGCCAATTGCGCACAGCAGTGTCCCACAAACAGTCGTGGATTGAAAATGACCAATTTATTATTGTTTTTCTTTCGGAGGGATTATTAGTAGTATGAAAGATTTTATCATTCAAGATTCTATTTGAATTGAAGCTATGTGAGCTTTCACAGCAGAAAGGTCTTTGAGAACATGACTTATGTTGTTGATTTCCATTCTTTGTCTCTGAAAGTGGTTCGATTTGCACAAACTGGGAGTGAAGGTGACACTCTGGGGCTAATAATCCCTCCTCCCCCCCCATAATAATTTGATCACTCGATCCACAATTGGCTGTCACGTTTTTCCCACAAAATACACTGTCAATTCACTTTACAGTATATTATGTGAGGTGCTTTGAGACGTCTCGAAGACGTGATAAGGTGTTGTATCAAATGCCAGGATTATTATTATTACAACTACAAATCCTCGACCTCGGAACTAAATATATTAGCTAGATTGCTGCAACTGTCTTGTTCGAATTTGTACTGTAAAACTTCAAGCTCTTTGTTTTAATTTGGTCGGGGAGAGGGAATAGGCTATTGTGTTGTGCAGTTTTCAACCAGAAAGAAATGTCAATGTTGTTATTGCTTTCTCACAGGATGGCCGGCTGAAGGAACCCCTGCAGAGGCTTCAAGAAGCGATTGCCAGAGCAATGCCATACCAGGTGGCAAAGTACCAGGATGAATGCCAGGCACACAGCCAAGCCAGAATGGCCAAGTATGCGCCATATAACCTATTCCACTAGCGGCTATAATCACTTTGAAGCACAAATAACTTCCATCAGATCTCATTTTTTAAGAGAAGTAATAGCGTACATTGTCACAGATGCAACAAAATCGTTTTTAGGAATATTTTCCTTTGTTCTTATCTCTGAGTTGCTAATAGTTCTCCAGAGCCAATCTTGTACCTTGTGAACTTGGAGGCCATGCTGAACGGGCAACTCTACCATACCCTGAGCCCACTGCGGTCCGCATGTGCACTTTCCAGAAGAGATCACCAGATAGTGATCGCAAGCCTCTGATTTTGTTTTTCCACTCTCTAGCCCAGGGGCATTGAATTTAATTGGAACCTCCCAATTGCTGCCTTGGCTGAGATTAGCTAAATCAGCACTTGATACAGAACCAGGAGGCTGGTTAGTGCTGCGTGGGCAATGTCTTTACCTTGTAATGTGCCGTACAACAAGCTTTAGGCAAAATTCTCTGTTACTTTATGACATTTGATTTACTCTGTGACTAGAATTCCCCAAAAAGTTCCATCAATTCCCAAATAGTGAATGAGAGAAATGTAAGAATGCTAAATAAAAGCGACTATATCAGGCAGTAAAGTGGAATAAAAGATTGGTCACATTAGAGCTTTTCACTCTGGAGTTGAGACAAGTGAGAGAGGACTTGATAGAGGTGTTTTTTAAGATTATGAAACTATTTGATAAGATGGATATAAATAAGCTGATTCCACTTGCTGGTGAGTCCAAAACCAAATATAAACATAAGCTAGCCAGTAACTGATCTGAGGGGGCTTTTAGAAGGGACTTTTTTATGCAGAGAATAGTGAGAAAGTGAAACTTGCTGCCAGATGTTGTGGTTGAAGCAGAAAGCTTTAAATGTATTTAAGGGAAACTTGATACACGAGGATGAATGGAATAGAGGAGTATGAAGCAGCGATGAGGTGGAGTGGAGGCTCACGCTATTTAAAAACACATTCTGCGTAAAAGCTAATAAACTAATTTACAACACATTATCTTCACTTGTGAATGTGCTTATTTGTAGTCTGTTAAATGAAAATTGTATGGGTTTGCTTCATTGATTCTTTTTAGATGCAAGTCATTTACAAGTGATGCATTTTCACATAATCCTTTTAAGGTAATTGAGATTTTATTTGTTCGTGTTCTTAGGAAACACGACTTGTTGTAAATGATAGGGATCTACCAGTCAGAGCTGATACTGCCTAATGAGCTGGTAATTGTGTTGATTTTGTTTTCAATTTCTGCTCTCCACAGGATGCTTGGAGAAGATAAAGACCAGAAGGAGCGAACATATTCTGATGAGGATGATGACGACGAGAAGATGGGAAAACGAGTCATGGGACCCCGTAAGAAGTTTCACTGGAACGATGGCATCAGGTCTGTTGTGCATTTGTTGTGGCTCTTACGTGAAGCACTGACTATATTGATTGTTAGTTGATTGGCGGATCGCTTTTCTGGGGGTAATAATTCCTTGAAAAAAAATTGGTCACTCAATCCACGATTTTTTTGTGGGACACTGCTGTGCACAATTGGCTGCTGCGTTTCGCCCTCAAAGTATATTCACTTTACAATATATTCTGTGAAGCGCTTTGAGACGTCTCGAAGATGTGATAAGGCGCTGTATTAAATGCAAGGATTATTATATAAGGCCCTTCCCTTTCATTCAAACGGTTATAACAACCTAATCCAAGAGATTGTCCTGGAAACTTTCTCTCCATTTATTAAATTATCCCCCATCGTGGGTATGCTCCATCTGGTGGGTATTTGAGATTTCACTAGTTTGTGCTTGGACTAGGAATTTTACACAATGTAAGGATTACTTAATAGGGTGTGTCCAAGTACTAATTCTGTAATCCTCAGAATACCAATGCACTAAACCATCTCCCAGTTGATTTAAAACTCTTTATTGTATTGTACAGAGACTTGCTGTGCAATGTGGTGAGAATAAAGATGGCTTCCTATGAACCGGAGAGAAACCAGTTGCAGGCGGCAGAAGACTTCCTAAAGGCTTTCCTTGAATCTGAGGTCAAACCACTTTGGCCTAAAGGATGGATGCAAGCGAGGTACATGGCAAAGGACTAGTAGGGCTTAGTATTACTGAATTAAGTAATGTTAAACAAATATTGAATGTTATTCAAATCATCCTTGAAGCTTTTTTCTGCTCCCTCTCCAATTATGCCTTTTTGAAGGTTTTGATGGAACACTACACAGATATTTTAAATATAATCTCACCAGTGACCTGTGCGTACTGTTAGAATAACATCTTATGTAACTTTGTATTTCATTCACTTCGCTGATTGGAGCTTCTCGTGGACTTGAAACCTGGGCGAATGAACCATCAACACCCCAAAATTATTTTCCTTCCCACCAATTGCTAAATGGAGATCCTTCTATTTTATAAACCCTTTTACTATTTTTGTTCAAATATGCATTTACTTGCTTTCATCTACATTGAAATTCATTTGCCATTCTTTGGCCCATCTGCTGAATTAGTCCTGATCTTCTATCTTATTTATCCTGGTCCGATTATTATTTTCATCTAAAGACACAGTGGCCTGTCTAGTTCAACGTATTTTGATGTTTTCTTTCCCTGCAGGATGTTGTTCAAAGAAAGTCGGAAAGTACATGCACATATCACTTCCATCCCGTGAGTATTTGTATTCTGTTCTGTACACTCATTTTGTTTGCATTCATCTCTAGAAATGGTGTGACCCTGCATTATTGCTTTTGTCAAAGTTACTGATTGGTAACACTGGTCCAATGAGACTCAATGCTTTAACCCTGCAACTTGTTCTCTATACTGCAGTTGGGGCTCCCAGGACAGCATTAGGAGGGGTCCCAGATAGCACAAGGGGTGGTCGCGGGTTAACACCAGGCAATATCATTGACGGGCGGTGGCAACAACAAGATTACATTTGTATAGCGCCTTTCACGTTGGGAGGACGTCTCAAAGCGCTGGACAGTGTACAGCATTTCAGACCCGAGCTGGGGTCGGGGAGGGGAAGGGGGGTGGCCGATGGCATGGTCAAAGAGGAGGGTCTTGAGGCGGGACTTGAAGGAGGCTAAGGAGGGGGCGAGGCGGAGTGATTGGGGATGAAATTCCAGAGATTGGGGGCAGAGTGGCTGAAGGCTCTCCCGCCAATGGTGGGGCGGTGGGTTGGGGGACATGGAGCAGCCAGAGCTGGCTGAATGGAGGGAGCGGGTGGGTTGGTAGGGGGTTAGGAGGTCACAGAGGTAGGGTTGGGCGAGGCCATGGAGGGATTTGTAGGTGAGGACCAGGATCTTGAACTAGATCCTCTGAACTATAGGGAGCCACTGGAGTCGGGTGAAAATGGGGGAGATGGGGGTCTCGGGAGTTTGGTGCAGGAGAGGACACGGGCTGCAGAGTTCTGGATTATCTGTGGAGGGAGGAGTTGGGAAGGCCAACACGCAGGGCGTTTGCATATTCGAGTCTGGAGGTGATGAAGGCATGAACAAGAGTTTCAGCGGCCTGAGGGGTGAGGTAGTGGCGGAGTCGGGTGATGTTACGGAGGTGAGGGAAGGCAGAGCGGGTCATGGCTTGGAATGTGGGGAAGAAAAGACAATTGAGGGTTGAACAAGACACCTCGGTTCCTGACTGGCTTCGGTGAGTTGTAGAGTGCGACCATGGAGGTTGATGCTGCCAGAGCCTGAGGTGTAGAGGTACTAATGTGAGCCAATCAGGAGGGCCTCAGAGCAAAGTCAACAAGACCCCTACTTCTCCTGATCACTGTCCACACCTTTAGTTATGTATGTGGAGAGACTGTTAGCCATTTTACAGCATAAAAGACCATCCTTCTCTGGGCCATCATCTTTAAACGTTTTAGAATTAAAGTGGTTAAATACATCATTTCGAATCTAGCAGAATTTAGCAGTGGGACACAACATCTTTTTTTTGCAAATGAAGATGATTTGAATTTTTTAAATTTTATTTCAGCACCAAGAAAAAGATCATTCCTGCACCAAAGGCTAAGGTGAAGGTGAGTACTGTTAAACACTGATAGAAGAGCTTCTCAAGGGTGTTTATAGTGGACACAAATTAAGAGTTTATGGGTTTAACCCTTTTGTACAGTTTGTGAGGTCTGCTCCTTTCCACGACATGTGCAGAACACCAATGTGGAGTGGGGGTGTGACCACAATTTGTAGTGGACAAATTACACCCTGCCTCTCACTGTGCAATGCTAGGCAGCTGGAAGTGAAGTGTCTTTATGGCTCACAGTAAAACTGCAGTACGACAACTACTTGTGTTTATATAGTGCCTTGATGCAGGATAGAGTCTTGGGAGTGCTACAAATCTCTTGCATTGCTTCAAACATTTTCAGCACAGCGTAAATATTGTCTATAAGTCACTTGGTTTCCAATTAGTGCTATTCGAAATGGAGTATGTATTCTAAGCATTTAATTTGAAAAATAACTCGTCATAAAAATGGTGAGTTTGCAAGATTTTGCAGTGAAATGGGTTGGAATAAAACCAGAAATACAATGGAGTACCAGTCTTGCTTTCGCAAGAGTAAAATATTTAGGTTTTTTTCTTCTTTCTCTGGTAGGATCAGATACTAAAGACTGAACGGAAATTTGTATCCAGTACGCCAGTTAATTCTGGGAGTGCAACCTGCGCCACCCAGGGACTTGGCAACATATCTGTGACCCCAATCAATGTGTCCATTTCCTCCAATGCTGCTCAGAGTTCCAGCAGCACCACAACCCCTCAGTCTTTCAGTTTAGACGATTCTCTTGACGGGGACGTGACCAATAACCACCCTTCTCTGGAAGACGTCTCTGAAGCATTAGCTGCTCTCAATGATGCTGCAGGAGGTAGCAAGGACTTCAGTTCAATAGTCTCTAATTCAATGAGTGACAAAATCCCTGCCGTGGTATCATCAGAAGAAAAGAAAACTGTACAGAAATCCCTGCCTCCCTCTTCTGCTCCTTCACCCGTGCAGTCACACTCGTCTCTCAATCTTCTAGCTGAGCAGGCATTGGCTTTGGGACAGCTCTCTCAGGAAAGGACTTCAGACAGCATCACTACTGGTCTTGTATCTGGGTTTAAAAGCCATTCTTCTCCAGCAAACAGCAAAAGTCTGACAGAAACTCTCCAAACGAAGCAGAAACACCTTTGCTTGCAGCGTACACCTCCGCTTCAAGTTCAAAGCCACATGCAGAGCCATGCTGCCAAGCAGTACCACCCCACCTCCCAACCCCAGAAAAGTTACTCCTCCTCGCCCTCCTACAGCATCAGCAAACTGCAGAGCAGTTCACAGACTAAAACTACCAGCCAAGTACAACAGCGTCCATTAATCCAACACTTAAAAANCCCAGCAAAGACCCACAGCTTCTATTCTGTCTCATCATCTTTATCAACCAGCATGCAGACTTCTCCTAGTTCACAACGAACGCTTGGCACTTCAACACTTTCTGCCAGTTATACAGCAAAGCATGCCAACTCACTGAGTTCCTCAAACCAGACCTTCAAGTCTCCAATGACAATTGTCGCAACAAAACATTCTGCCCCCTCGGGTAACCCTATTCAAAGTGCATCCAGTGTTCACAGCTCAATCTCCAGCAGTTCTCATCTAAACAGTCTAAATAGACGCTCTTCAACTCCTAGTCAAGCCACAAATCGTCAGTCCCCCAACATCAGTATAAAAAAGCCCTCCATTTCTCAGAAACTTACTCTGGTGGCTCCCCCTGGTGGAAGCAATGGAGATTCAAGTAGTGGGACGCAGGGAGTGGCTAAACTGCTAACCTCTTCTCTTAAACCTTCAGTTACTGCTTCAACGGCTACAGGAGCAATGCTGGTGAGTGTGTTCAAGAATGTGCGATTGTCCAAGGGAGGGAAGTGGGTGTCTGTTATTTTTCTTTTTAAATGAATAATTTTTGCACAACTTCAGTAAATTTTGTTCCAGATCTCAGTACTGTGCATTGAATGACAAGCTCTACACACGACACTTAGCTCTCCATCTTACAGTACCACGCTTTATCAGTGCAGGTTTGTAAGACATAGAGCCTTGGGTTAACTGAGGAGGAAGTTCAGAAGATAATGAAAGCTGTTACTGTTTACTGTTGGAGTCCTGTAGCTCAGTGGTTAGGGACCTCGCAAGCGAGAGACCTGGTAGGGCGAAACCTTGGGCAAGTTTCCTTACTCCACATGCCTGATAATAATCCCTCCAGAAAAAAAAACAACAATAAATTGGTCACTTCAATCCACGACTGTTTGTGAGACACTGCTGTGCGCAATTGGTTGCTGGGTTTCACCTACAAATATACAGTTAATTTACTTTACAGTATATTCTGTGAAGCGCTTCGAGACGTCGAGAAGACGCAAAAAGCGCTATATTAAATGCAAGGATTATTATATTATAATTGCACGAGATTTTCTGGCTGTTTATTCCAATAATTGTTAAAAAACAAAATCAAAGTAACCTAACAAAACTGTCCAATACCATTTTATCTGTCTTTCTTCTCCACAACGTAACCCAGTGCCCCTTAAATAGCCCTGGGTTAGGCTGATTTATTAGGCTTATTGTTTAACTAGATTCTTGTCTCCTTAAAGGGTGACAGTTTACCAACCCAAGTAGGTTTACCCTGCCATGGGGAGGAGAGACACAGGAAGTAAAATAGCCTCCTGCTGGGTGAGGACACAGGTGTTTGCCCACAAAACACCCAGTCACTGCACTTTACAGTTTATCCTGTGAAGAGCTTTGGGATGCCCTCCCAGCATGAATGGTGCGAAACCAAATGTAAGGAATATTATTATTTTTATGAAATATTATTATTTTTATGAAGTACATTTTAGCTGCAGCTTTGGTGTTCAGGAGCCGGAAGAAAAGAAATCATCACATACGTCATTGACGTCAATCTTTTTCTTTTGAAAGAAACAAAGTGACAGTTTGTCAGGAAGCAAAATAAATCTGTGTTCTCTGGAATGTCGTGCGCTCTCTATAGATCTCATTCCTAACACATGTAGGTGGGATGTATGGAACTCTTGTCTGATTTAGATAGTGTTGAGCACGGTGATGGGTTCCATTCCTCCACACAGCGTGTAGGGGATGTACATCTGTTGAACACTGTCTGCTTTGGGTACTCCTAAGTATGGTGATGGGTTCCACATATTTCAGACACCCAGCTGACCCCCAAAATACCCACAATCTCCTCCTGGTATTTTGATGACTGATTGTCAGGGTAATCTATATTCTGTAGGCTTTGGTATTGGATTTCAATGGACTTATTTTGAATAAGGTGTAAATGTATCTTTAGGAGTTTTGCCACAGGTAAGAAAATTTTCTTGTGTGAAGATGTAGAATAATATAACAATAGTGAAAATACACCAAGAACATTTTAAGGGTTATGTCTGTCAGAATTTGAGTCCATGTCCCATTCAAGACTTTTTTTTAAAACAAGTGTTTCTTTAGAAAGTAAAGGGACATTCCAACGTAAAGCTAGCTCTTAAAATGTTCTATTTTCACATTCTCATGAATGCTATAGAGTAAAACTTGTGGAGCTTTTTCAATCTCATGCTCTGAAATGTATAAATCTTATGCGATTGACAGCTATCATTTTCTAAAGGGACCGAGAGCCATTTTTGCTGTAGGTATATTCATACTGAGAAACGGCTTCAGAGATGCAATATTGCTGCTCCTGAAGTGAGGCTACGCTATGTTGCCCAAGAATTTTCTTCTGTTCGGGTTTTCCTCATTATTGGGTGAAACTGTTAGTCCTCAATGACCAATTTGGGTAACGTAGCATCAAACCTTAAAAAAAATCCAAGAACAAGCCTGAAGAGCAGGCAAGCTTTAAACCTAGAAGCTTCAAACATTGTTTTGATGCACAGAATAGATGCAGTTTCATTTTAATGGTCTTGATCTATGTAAACAGAGTAAGTGTATGTGGGTGGGCGTGTGGGGAGAGTTGAAATATTAATATGGGACGAGTCATTAAAGCGATTGCCAAACTGAATTACAAATACACCCTGAATCCTCGTCGTTGATATTAATCCTGGAATAAATGTGGTGAGGAATGCTTACTCTAGCACTGTTCTAGAGTTGCCACTTTATGCTGCAGGTCAGTTGACTAACTTCTTTATTCCAAAAAACATTCTTCCGGTCCCTGAGGAATGATGCCTTCTTACTGTGCTAGGAAAAACATAGCCATAAATATCAATTGTCTTCATGATTGTCTTCAGCTGGTTTTTGTCGATTATTCCAGTGTCTGATGAACCATTCTCAGCAATTTGCTTGTACTGCCTTTCCAACAAAGTGCCGTTCTACTGTTATCTTTTCAAACTGTTCTTGTGTAATTCATCTTTATTTTAACTTTTATGCTGAAGTTTTAGGTTTATTAAGGTCCTAAATACTGTTTTAAATTGTGCTTTAATGCTGTTGTTTCTGCCTTAGTCTCTGCAGGCAGCCACAGGAACAGGGCTACTTGCCAACTCTCCGTCTTTGAACCTTCTGTCAACTTCTTTTAATACAGCAAACCCGAAAATAACAACCGCAGCACTGAGCCAAGCCTCACTCGGGATGATGCCGGGCATTGTTCCTATGCACTTTACATTCCCTACTGTTCTAATAGGCTCAGATTCTACATCAAAAGCAGGTGTATCAACAGATGCAATAGTCACGGGACCTGCACCAGGGACATTCCACCATGGCCTTGCACATAGTAAGTCCTACATCTTATAAATGTTGGAAGAGTGAACTATGTATCTACTGGGCTGTTTATCATCACATTATAGCACATTGATTTTGATCACTGTGTTTATGATGGCCAGGACACAGAAATAGTGTTTGCTTCCAGCTTTTATGGTATGTTAAGGAATGAGTTTTACCATCATTATCCCCAAAAAGTGTTAAAACAAGATCTTAATATTCTTTTGCTGCTTTTATTTGGGAAATGTGCTGCTTTTATTTGGGAAATATCGTGTCTCATATTGACTAAAATAAAGTTTCAAAAGTGTGCAAAAGCTAAATTAATATCCAGCATTCGTTGATGCAAAGTGTTTTAGTGATCATATAATATTGGTTTCAGGAGAAACGTGCTGTCATTCCTCCTTGAAATTTTCTTTCAGAAATCTTATCAAGAATGTTTCTGAACCACACCACAAAGTTCAAATGATGAATGATAATGCCCCTCCCGGCTGTTATCTTAGCGTTAGTCATCACATGAAGCTTCTGAACTATTGTAACATAGAATCTAAGAAAGTTACAGCACGCACAAGGCCATTGTGACCATGTTGTCGCTTTGAAAGTCAGCTCTGTTTACTTGCTTTTTCCCCAACCCCCTGCAACTAACTCCCTTATTAGATATCTATCTCCTTCTTTCTTGAAAGCCTCGACCACCACTCCACTCCTGCCTGGCAGGGCATTAACTTAACTAACTCGGTGTGAAGATTTTCTTCCTAATCTCCACCTGTGCTCCATTGTTAACGATCTTAAATTGATGCCCTCTAGTCACTCACTGATTCACCAACCAATAATTTCTCCCTCTCTACTCTCTCAAAACTCCTCATAATATTAAAGACCTCTTATCAGATCTCCCCTCAGGCATCTTGCTAGCTTCAGGGTTTTCTATTCAAAATCATTTTGGTGGGGTTTCCAGAGTATTGTAGATTATAGCAAAATGGAATTTTACGCACAGAAGGATATCTAGCTTCACTTCTGTGCCAGATCTCTGAAAGTTATCTATTTAGTCTCATTCCTCTGAACCCTTCCTGATTGTGTTGTTTTATGTTAAAATGTGAATATATAAAACATTGCATTACTAAAAGCAGGGATTTGTCTCACCATATAAGGAAAAGCCCTCACGGGTAGGGTGGTCCTAGTTGGACAAGCAGTGGTGGGAAGCTTGCCAGACATTGCTCTCAGTGGCAAGCTATGTGATTTCAGCTGGTTAAACTACAGCAGTTTCCACAACGCTCACTCTGGGGACCCCAAGCTTTGGCTCTTGCCAAACTGCGCCTAATACTCTCCAGATTTAGGTAAGGAGGATGCGACTCTCCAGGGAGAGAGAGTGCGCAGTCCATTCCAGACACTGGGAAATTTCAATGTGAAGGTGGCATGTGTCGTTGGGTCTCTCAAACTGCCTTGGATGCTCTTAATCACGGTGCTGGCTTTGCGCATGTCAGACACCCGGCTGACCAAAAAATATATATTTTGCATTTTCAATTATTTGTCCAATTCTCTTTTAAACGTTATTCGGGATTCACCATTAGTTGCAAACATCAGTTTCAACTCCTCAGCTCAATAGCCCGTCACATCCAGGCCCTGCTTGATAGATCTATTGCTGTATGATTCATTGGTCAGAAATACTGACCACAAAGACATTGTAAATGTATTAACACAATCTACAGAAATAATGTAGAGTTCAGATTGTTGTATGATGATTATTTTCTTAAATGGTTGCTGCATTAATGTACCTTTGCTGCTGCCTGCTGATGTCTTGGTTTCATTTAGAGCTAGATATGCAATCCATTTTCCAAACTTTTGACTTTGAGCAACCACTGGTATGTTGAATAATCTATAATGCTAAATTACTGAACTTATTTTGTTGCAGATAGCTATTCTGAATAATCAATCACTGAATTGCATGCTTTGCTATGGCTTTCTGCTCTCACTTATTGGCTTTTATCTTTTTCTCTGTCTCTTTCTTTAGGCATTTTCGCTGGCTTACACTCTACTCCTCATCATGCAGTGCAACTTCCACACCCAGTACTGCCCACCCATATACAGCAGTCTCTTCAAGGTAATAGAGCATGTCATTCCGTGTGGCTGTGTGTTTTGAGTACAAATATTGAAGCAAATAAATTACCTAACAAGCAGCATTGAGATTGCAATACTGAGTACAAAATGTCCTGTAATAATACTGAGTACTATCCCCCTACCTACCTGCCCGTACCCTCCGTTCCTCTGGCTCCAGTCTGCTCCACATGCCCCGCCCCAACCGCCCTACCATCGGTGGCCGGGCTTTCAGCCTCTCAGCCCCGAGGCTCTGGAACTCTATCCCCCAGTGCCTTTGCCGCCTCCTCCCTTTCCTCCTTCAAGGCCGGTCTCAAGACCTTTCTCTTTGACCGTGCCTTCAGCTCCCCTCTCGACTCTCTACCCCCTCCTCGCTCCCTCCCTTCCCTCCCCTCACCCTGACCATTTCCCCCCTGCTCGGATCCTGACCCAACTGTACAGCGCCTTGGGACGTCCTCCCGACGTGAAAGGCGCTCTATAAATGGAATCTTGTTGTTGTCCTCGGTTTAATATCTCATCCAAAGGTCAGCACCTCAAACAATGCAGCACACACCCCGCAGACTGCACTGGAGTGTCAGCCTAGAGACCATGATCTCAATGTCTTAATTTGGACTTGAACCCACAACTTTCTCATTCATTTTCTGACAGTTGAATGGAGCTTTATTCAACAACTTGACAAGTTATGCGATTTGCCCTTATTAATGTTATCAAAGGGTGAGAGTGGTCTAATGTCCTGTCCAGGAACTCCAAGCAGCAGCCAGTGCAGAGTGCTTCAGAATTGCAATCTCAATGCTGCTTCTTAAGGACAGCACAGCAATAACGGCCGCCTTGCTTAGAGAGGTGTAAAGATTGATGCCTGGTGTAAGCAAGGAAATGAGTAATTGTTCCAGTAATTGGCTGGCTTGTGGAATTTTAACTGAAGACCAAATATGTTAATTTAACCCATAAATTATACACCTCCTGGGAGTGCTTGACAATTGCACCAGGTATAACAATGTGAGAAAGTGCTGTTTTTCACACCTTGAAGAGCATTATGTCATCTCCGTACCAATCATTGCTCTTTGTGATATTAGTGTTATTTTATCTTCACATGCAGATGGCAACCAAATCCATGGTGAGACTTCTAACATGCAGCGTAAAATACAATGACCTCTGGCACAAACAACAGCTGAATGAAATGTGCTGCTGTGGGAGCTTTAGTCCATGTTGGAGGAAAGAGCTGAGCTGATGGGCTGGATACCCAACACTGGAAGTGTTCTGTGAAACTTCTGCCCTTCCATTTCTAGGGCAAGGAGAATCTGCTGTGTGTGTATGAGACTGATGACCAGAAAGGCCTTGGACCAGCAGAAGCAATGCTTGAACAAGTGGGAAGAGAGAGCTTCACGTGGGCTGGCATACATCATAGCGTCAAAGTGTACAGAATGATTCTTCCACTGAAAGTCTGCGTGGGAAGAGTTGCTTTCAGCTAGGGTAGTGCTGGTCATTAGAGGAAAACGTGCAGTGATTTTTCAGAGATTTAGGAGCTAAAAAGAGTTTAGGTTTCTTTCAGTATTCTGCTCTTTCCATTAAGATTAATCCTACATGCAAGAGTAGGCCTTAATTAAAGCTTTTAATTTCTCTTCAGGCAACAATGTTGAGTACAGACGGGCGAGCATTGTCTGGGATGGTGGCATTATGACACATTTGTTCACACACTGTCTGAAGCAGTGCGTGTGTCTGGCCTGATTTCAAGCCAACTATTGGGGTTGGAGGGTCAGGGGAGCTAGTGAGAAATGGCGTTAACCACACAGGGCCTGACAAAAAGCCATCAGTCTGCTAGAATTTGCTGCTTAATAGTGTCAAAGTTCTAGCTAGTCTTGATTTCTTAGGAACACTGTGTAGTGGATATAAATTTACGGGCGTCGATCAGATCAATTATGAAAATCAGTGTACATTAAGTTTCTATTTATTGCTGTAATGGCGAGCTGTTTCCAGGAACATTTGCAGTGTTAGTGTTCTTGCACTTCTGGTGCACTGTGAACAGGTCCACAACTCCTAGAGCATTGGTGTGAACATTGTGTGCAAGTGGTTAGACACACAACTCAAATGAATTTGAACTGTGATAAGATAATTAGGGATTTAAGGGTTAATGAATCAAAGACTGGCATTGATTCATTTCCTTTAGAAGTTGATCAAACCAACCTCTGTTGCCATCTGCAATGTATGTCAGCAGCAATCAGGCCAGCCTCCAATCCAGTAGTCAACACAAAGCCATTTATCTCAGAGGTTTGTACTCTTACAGCTCCTTGGAGGTGCAGATCCAGAAATAGGTTGGAGCTATTGGGGCTCATGCCTTTGGCTTTAACCCCTAAACTACCATGTGGTCTGTAATAATGATATCCAGTATTGTAAAATGTACTGGTGGTAGGAGTAATACAATTACAGTGCCTTTCCTGTAGCAGAGAAAATGGAAAGAGTGAGCTGTGCTGAGATTTCATGCAGCCTTAGTCCCTGTATAACACTGGAAACTGAATGATAATAATAAACTACAAGATGTGTTTTTTTAGACGGAAAGAAAAGACCCGTAGTTCATAATTTGACACAATTGAGTTGATCAGCAAGGATATGGCACCGAGTCGGCAGAAAAGCCAAAGATTTTTTTACGTCAGATGTGTGTGGAAAGTGGCCATGGGTGGATCATTTGAAAGGGGGTTTTTGACATTTTCACAGACTTTTTAACATTTAATTGCTGGAGTGCTGCAGTTTTATTTGATACTACGAAGAGTGACTCCGAGGCATGATAAATGTTCTACAGAAACTCAGGACTTGAACATTGCTGGAACTGTTTTTTGTTAATGAAGTTTAGCTGTCTACTTGAAATTGTATAATCATTCTGAAACTGTAAATTATGATGTACTAGGAACTGCAATTTGTTTTAATTAAAAGACATTACTTTGAACAAAGGTGCTTCATTGTATATGGTTTTATTTGGACTTGTCTTTGTACTTGTTGCAGGATGAAGAGATGGCTGTTCATGTTACACAAAGGGATGTCAATAAACTATAGAAACTTTTGGATAAAATGGTACCCAGAGTTTGCCTCTTTGTTTACAAAAGAATTTGTCTTTTTGCCATGGGATCTTTAACATCCATCTAAACAGGCAGATGGGACCTCGGTTTAATTTCTCATCCAAAGAAATTGTGATGGGTGGGGGTGGTTTAGTGACTGTGGAGTTTCACTCCCAATGCCATTTTAGGAGTTGCACTTTGCACAGGTGGTCCTTTGGTGAGTTGAAAGCTGTCAGCACAAACCTTTCAAATGGTTAATATAAGAGCCAATCACACAAACCTTAGATGAAGTAATAACCTGTATTTAATATCACACCATCAATGTCTCAAAAGTGTTTCAATTGGTTTACTGGAAAGTTAGATGGCAATGCTGTAGGTGATGGCGGCAGCCAATTTGTGCACAGCAACGTCCCCACAAACAGCCATCAAATGAGGGGGATTGTTGACCAGGACAGAGCAAGAAGTATATACTAATGAGTCACACATAAGTCAGCGAGCATATTTTATAATCACAACAGATTTATTTTTTTATTTCTGTACCGAGAACAAATAGAACCCTTGAAAATAATCCAGTCCCTTAAAAGGTGAGATACCATAAATGTAAGTTAAACATGTGGGAATGCAGATTAAACATAGGAAACATGCAATATATTTTTATAAATGCTTTAAACAGCTCAATTGTTTTTAAAAGAGCTGTGATACAGTATCGCCTAAACAAAAGGACTATAACACTGACCTGTTTACAGGTTACTGTGAGTTATTTGGAGTAGTTAATGTCAGCTATATACCCTTCACTGGCCAATGAAAGTCAGAGTTTAGGGCCTGTCAGTCAGATTTTGAGGATTGTGTGAGGTGGGGGTGGGGGGGCAGAAGAATCATGAGAACACATTCCGCTTCCTAAATGATAACTGACTCACCCCAGCATGTGTTTGGTTATGACCACTTAACAGTGGAACAAACCAACGATTGGTGTGTGTCCCTTCCTCCACCCCCAGCAATGTTAGCTGACTTTTCTTTCGCTACAGGCCCTGAGATATCAATAACCATATTTACATGTCTTCAAAACACCTTTTCTTGACTTGTTCTGATACTGTGAACATTTGCAGCACTGAGGAGTCAAAGCATGAATGAGGTATTGAGACTGCAGGTTCCACTGACTAAAGTGGTTTTCAGTGGTATTCCTTAAATATCTTTAATACCTTTCAAATGATGACACGATACAATGGAAACTAGACTTGAGAGATGCGAGGTAAAAGAAACCATAACCTTGAAGCAGCAGTTGCAGATATATTCATTTATATTCAGGTAGCTTCCCCCTCCTACCCCAATGAGTTCAAGTTCTTTCATCCAACTTTTCTAATGCAGCTTTCTTTCATTTCCCAGATAACGTGAAAGATAGTCAGAGAGTTGTTCTGGGGAATCCTTTGTAAGAGACCAAACGCTTTATGAATAAGCTGATGAGACAGGAAACAGCAGCAGCCCCGATTCCTGGTCACTGATGGATATATCCATAGCATCCTTGTAGGTAATCTTGCGGTGGCTTATGGGATCATTCAGATCCTTAGGGTGTGAGATGTGATCTTTGAGTGTGTTGACCATATCTTCATCTATTAGACCAGCTGCCTTTGCTCTTGGTAGGGATTTTCTCTCGCCTGTAACTGGGTCAACCACACCCCCAGTTAAGTACTGTGCCAACAGGTACCGTTCTGCAGCGTCAGTGTATAGCAAATGGTGCTGAGCAGCATTGGCAGCTGAAAGAAGTTCTTTGGTTCTGGGGTCTTCTATCCCAGTGTAGGCACTTTCAGCGTTGCTGAGCTTCTGTACCATTTCATCGTCAATCAAACCAAGGTCCGCTGCCCTCCTCACTTTGTACCGCGAGCCATTGTTCACGTTGACAATCCCACCAGTGGCTGCTTGTGCTTCCAGCAGCATCACCGCAGTATGTGGGTCAATGAGATTTCGGTGGACTGCGCTAGTGACGGATATTTTAGAATCTGTGTCCACATCATACACCCCTCCAATGGTTTGTGTTTCATCTGGCTTGGACTGTTTGGGAGGGAGAGCTTGTAGACTGGAACTTGTGGAAGAGACTTGATCATAATCCTTAATGCTGCTGCTGTTGGAAGCGATTGAACCACTAAGTTGGTCCTTCCCTGACACTAGAACTGCAAATTCTTGGATAGACATGCCCTTATTCAGGTACTGTTTAAGTTGCTCATTGGTAATCTTGCCCTTTGCTAAGGCCTCATCCACAGAAAATCTCTTCCCAGATTTGCGGTCGTGGAGGATGGATGAATTGCCTCCTGGTCCTTTTACTGAGACTTCTTCCCAGTCACATTCCTGGCTCCGAAGATTCACAAACATTTCCCAGTTGATGAAGCCGAACTTGTGGGCTTCCTCGGGAGACATTTCTTTGCCTGTGTCGGGATCTATAATCACAATGTCTCGGCGCAAGCTGTTCTCCCTCTGTTCCCTCTTTATTTTCAATGTGTCGAGAACCTTCTGTAGCTCTTTGATTTCCTTATCTTTGCTTGCCGTCTTCTTCTTTAAATCATCCAGCTCTCGCTCTAGGGAAGAAGATCGAACTTCCATTCCTTCTATATTTGCAAAAGTGTCAAATGGCTTTTCTGCCTTCATCTGGTGGGTCTGTTGGATGGTCGACTGGATGTCATATTGCATTCTTCTTGCTTCATTGACCAGATTCTGGTTTTCCCTCTGTACTTTGGCATTCTCCTCCCTCAGGTTGTCCAATTCCTTCAATGCCTTGTTGTTGTTGAACTCTGCGTCCGACAGTTCAGAACTCAGACGGTTGAGTTCCTTCAAAAGGTCATGTTTAAGCTTTCCTTCTTCCTCCAAATTCTTTCGAAGACGCTCAATCTCCAATTCGGTCTCAGGATCTTTCTCCACTTGAAATTTCTCTGTGAAAACAAGATTTTCCTTGACTTTGGTTGTATCAAGTTCAATCTCTTTAAGCTTCAGTTTGTGAAGGTCTTGTTCAAGCAACTTTCGATTGGCTTTGGCATCTTCCAAGTTCATTTTAAGGAGCGACTTCTCTTTCTCCTGTTGGGGGTCTTGTTGAAGCACAACCTTCTGTTTCACCACCACTTTATCTCTGATCTCACGTTCTTTCTCCTCGAGATCATTGACTTTTATCCTTAATCTCTTGATCTCCAGTTCGGCATCACGCCGAGCCCTTCTCTCTGCCTCCAGTTCCTCCAGCTGTTCATCCAGTTCAGCCTTCCGGAGATTTAGAGTTTGTAACTGAGCTTTCAAATGCTCTTGCTTGCGTTTTTCTTGCTCGATTTCTTTTCCGAATGAAACACATTCTGACTTCAGGACAGGGTCTTCTTCAAGCTTCACCACTTCTTGTTGCACTACTTTCTCTCTTATGTGGGCCAGATCTCTCTCTTTCCGTAGGATATCTTCTTCAACTTGCATCCTATCTCGGTCTTGCTCCACATATTTTTTCTGCTCTTCTGCTAATTTTTCTTTCAGGAACTCCACCTCTTCCTTGGTCTTTGGATCTTCCCGGTACTGGGTGAGCTCATTTACCACTTCCTTGGTTTCGGTTTGAGGTTTAGTGTTCTTCAAGATCTCAATCTCCTTCAGCAGCTGTTGTTTTTCCACCTCAGCCCTGTCCATCCCTCTCTTTGAGTCAATAACCTTTTCCATTAGATTCTCCAGTTCTCGTTGAGTTTCGGGATCTGGTTTGTATTTGATGACCTCTTTTACTTTGTTTTTGATCTCAATTTTCGGGCCTCGGTTTTTCAGATCATCTATTTCATCTTGGATGCTCGAGACTTGGTCCTCGATTTCATTGTATTTTCTCTGATGATTCAGTAGATCGTGCCTGAGATTACCCACCTCGGTCTCAGCCTTGGGGTCCGGCCGGACAATCTCCCGCAGCTTTTCCTGAACGACAACTTTGGATTTTTCCGCTTCCAGCTGCTGGATCTTTCTCTGGAGATCCGCCTTCTCTCGTTCCTGTGAGCGTTTCTTGGCTATTTCGTTCTCATGTTGCTGTTGGAGAGATGTCAGCTCTCTCTCGGAAGCACTGTCTTTTCCCACCTTCAGCACCTCTTTGACGATGGCTCTCTCCTCGGCCTTGACCTTCTCCTTTTCCAGCCGTTTCAGCTGTTCCTGCAGCGAGTTCAGCTCCTCTTCCTTCTGCTGCCGCAAGTGGCTTTCATGTTTCTTGTTCTCAGTCAGACGTTTCACCTCCTCCTCCAGCTTGGGATCATTCTTAACCTTGACCACCTCTTGCTTGGTGATCTTCTCTTGATCCTTGTTCTTCTCTGCTTTCAAAAGCTGCAGGCGTTTCTGAAGCCGGCCAATGTCATTCTCGTTTGTCGCCTTCTGTCTTTTGACCTCCTCAAGGTCCTCCTTGAGCTGTCGGACCATGTTTTCCTGTTCCCTGTCAGGCTCGATACGAAGTACCTCTTTGGTGACATACTCCACCGCAGGCTCCTTACCTAACTTGTCCAGAACTCCCAACTTGTGCTTGACGGTCTCCATTTCATCCTGCAATGCCTTGCTCTGCCTTTCCTCATCCGCTAAGCATTCCTGAACCTTGTACAGTTCATCTAACAGGTGAGGATCAGGTACCTTTTTGATGACCTCGGTTAAAATCTGTTGATCTTTGAGTTTCTGAGACTCCATGAGTGAGATTTCTTTCTTGACTTCCTTCAGTTCCTTCTCCACCTCTTGCCGTCTCTTTATCCCCTCCTGCAGTTGCCAGGCCTCGTCAGGGGCCGAGGAGTAATTGCGGGACTGATTTTGCTGCTGCACTATTTCAGTCTCTGGCATCTACGTTTCAACAGAAAGAAAGAGCCACGTTTAGATCTTACTGCAAGCCTGCTCACCGCGATTTGTTTGTGTCGAGTGTAATCATATGGCTGGTTAAAAGAGAAGAGACATCCAGAGGACTACTTTCTGTCTGAGTGCGATGGCAGCTGTATTGGAAAATACTACAGTTATTGCTATGTTTGGTACTCCAGCAAAAATATACATGCGTTTTGAGGATCATTGTAACTCTGTTGTGCAGCCGACTGATGACTGACACCTGTGATAAGCTATATTCTAAGCCATGTTCTACGTTGAACATTACAGTATGGTCAACAGACCTAACTATAATGTGGTGGGGGGTTATACTCCACACAAGCCTCCACCCCTCCTATTCTCTCTTATCTCCCTTCTCCCTCGTGTTACGCAACGAGTTTCCTCTTAAACACACTGATACTTTCTGCTTCCACCAGGGACATCCACACTCTTGCCACCCTCTACCTGAGGAAGTTCCTCCTAAACTCCCTGTTAAACTTACTATTGCCTGTTGTATACTTATGCCCAGTTGTTTTGGACTAACGACCAAGTGGAAACAGTCTATTAACATTCACCTTTCGAATCCTTTCGTAATCTTAAACACGCCCAGGCTCACACACTGCCACTGATGGACAACTATCAAAGCTCAAATATTTGCCCATCAGCAACGAACAGTCATTATTGTATTTCTCTGTCTGACTTTCCACTGCGCTGAACAGAGGCTCCTCAAGTTGCCGTGCAGGCAACAGAGACTGGCACCGTTCTCGCTCGGTGTATGAAAAGGCGATTGAAATTGTTCAATCACATTGATGCCAAGTTCCTGGTTGCTGTCAGATCCACTCAAGCAGTTTGCTAGTTGCTAACCCAAGCAACAGACACTGTCAGGAGAGGGTGGGTAACTTGTTTTCCAGCAGCTTTAAGTTTAGTGATTACAGACACGGGATGGGGTTTGTTACCTGTTTCAACAAGCTGTGTGCAAACTGCAGGTTCTGCAGCCGCTGGTTATTCACCGCTTTCACTTCCACAAACTTGGTGGCCAGAGCAGCTTCCTGTGGAATGACGATAATAATCAATCAATAAATAATAATAATGCTTCCAATGTGACACAGCACCTTTCTTGTCAGAAGGACATCTCAAAGGGCTTCCCAGGATCCAGTGGAGTGACTTTATTTGTAGGTGAACGCGGCAGTCAATTTGGGCACAGCAACTCCCACAAACGTCCCTAAAGTGACTGATTTTATCTGGGGGATTGTTGGCCAGGAGACCGGGAGAAATGGCTGTACAACATGTCTGCTGTCCCCTAATGCCTCTAATAAACAAGATTAATAGTTGAGAATACTCGACAATTATTACACAAATAATAATGCATTACCTCATCTTTGTTCTTTTCAGCCGGGGATGGAATTCGGGGCTTTTTGGCCGCAGTTTCGGTATTGTCGGGGTTGACTCTTGACCTGAACCTCTCGGTTTCCAGCTCATAGTCCTGTAACACAGCAGACAGGAGTCCTGAAACTATGGAACTCTCTTCCTCTATCCTTCTACCGTTCCCCCTCCTTCTCCATCTTCAGGTCGCGCCTGAAGACCTTCCTTTTCGACCGTGCTTACGGCAACGCCCGTAAGAGTCACAGCAACGTCCGTTCATTCATTCAAACCTCGGGTTGCTTTCCATCTGCTATTAATCGAGCCACGCACAAACACGCACCAAACATGGGAAGGGTTACAACAGAGGCCGCTGTGCTCTCACCATGCGAGCACGTGGCTTTTGCTGATGTTATTATGATTTGCAATGACTCTCGTCACCTGTGACCCACAGTTACAAACCCGCTCTGCCCCCTGGCTGGTTTCACACTTACCGTGGACGAATATTTCAGCAACTCACTCTGCAATTATAACAATCCGTGCCTTTGATACAGCGCCTCATCACTCACTAAAGCATCACTGAGGGCTCCACAGGGTTCACTGTAAAATGCAGTCACTGCAGTCAATTCACGCACAGCAATGTCCCACGAACAGTCACGGAGTGAATGAGTGTATCTTATCTGGGGGATTGTTGGCTCGGTCACAGAGGGAAACTCGTCTCTTTTCAAGTAGATTCACAGGAACATCCAGTGGAACAGGCAGACGGGGCCTCGGTTTAACATCTCATCCGAAGGACGCCACCTCCGACAACACAGAGCTCCCACCAGCATTGTACTGGAGTGTCATTGTGCGAGCTCAAAGTCCTGACGTGGGGTTTGAACTCCCAACCTTGTGAGTCAGAGCCGACAGTGCTGCCTACCTACTGCGAACTGGAGGGAAGTGAAGCACTTGCCAACAGCCTCCCCAGTCAGTGCTGTATGTAACTTATCACTTTACACTGATTGAGAAACTTAAGAGCAGTGTTCACTTTGTTTTGCCGTTGTAAAGACACAGTGTCACAGTATTCACTATCCAGCATAAACCACTCCCAGGTCTCACCTTGACCGCCTGCTGGTATTTCTCCGCATCTCTGATTGTCTTCTTAAGCTCAGGCTCCTTGTTGGAAATATCTGCCAGCACACGCTACAGGAGGGGAAAGAAAGCTACAGTTACAGGCCTGTCACTGGCCCTGAGTCCTCTCTGGAGACTCGCGTTGTCATTAAACACGTTCTATCGGGCTCGCGTTGTATGATAATGAGCGTCAGGCAGAGTGGGGTGTGGGGGCGGAGGGCGAGAGTACCTTCTGGTTGGCGAGTTTACTTTCGATAGCCCTGATTGTGTCGTGGGGCTGGGGTTCGTAGACTGGGATGTTGGCCAGAAAGGCGTGCAGAGTGTCCGATTCGGAGCGGAAATCATCGTACGTCTCCTTGATGGGTTGTAGATTTTTTGACCTGTTTAATTAACGCAGAGTGAAAAGCTGGTCGTTTTGCAGAGACAACAGCGTCGCTCTTGTCCGTTGACTCCACAATACCCTGAACCTGTTTGTCGACGAGTCCAAGGCAAGGCCGACATGAATATACGAAAGCCGTGAGTTTAGGAGGAACTCCTTCACTCGGGAGAGAGCGGTGAGAGCGTTGGAAGTGGGTTCTGAACTTACCTGTCGGTTATTTGCTTGTTCAGATCATCAAATCTCTTGTTGAGTTTTTTCATGTCGGAGTCCTGGTGTTCAATGTCGGGGCAATGCTCCTGGAAGCTGTTGGCCAGAGCCTGGCAGTTCTTCTTCACTGCGTTCACGTTTTGCTCGGCTTCCTGCAGGATCGGCTTCTTAGACATCAGCTCGGATTTCATGGCCTGGAGATGGGAGATAATAATGGGCTCCTGTCAACAACGCAAATCTGCCTCACACGTGTAGAGTAACAGCAACAAAACTGGCGTCCCTCACGCAGGGCAGCATCCCAGAGCGCTCGACAGTGGCGGAGCACGCCGCCGAGCCAGGGGGGAGGTGACCGTAAGCACGGTTGAGAAGGAAGATCTTCAGGCACAACCTGAAGATGGGGAAGGAGGGAGAAAGGTGGAAGGATAGAGGAAGAGCGCCATAGAGTTTCAGGGCGTAGTGGCTGAAAGCACGGCTGCTGGTGGTGGAGCGGAGGGCACGAGGGGCAAGCAGGAAGCCGGAGCCAGTCGAGCCGAGGCAGTGGGTAGTAGACTGGGGAGTAAGCAGGTCGGTTGCTGAGTATCTAGGATCTAAGATTCTGTGTAGAGTAATACGGAGAAGGGTCCAGATTTTCTCAGTCTTCTCTGTGGTACTCACATCGAGCTCCTTCTGCCTGCTGTCCAGGCCCCATTTGCCCTCTGGCACCGTCCGCTCTGTAGCCAACTTCTTTTCGTACTCTGAGATCATGGTCTTCCCTTTCCGCAGACTGTTCACTGCGCGGTTCGCAGCCTTAACCCTGCAGAGGTCACATTTTGGGACATCATTCACAGTTCATGTTTCACCAGCCATCCGTCAAATCGAACGGTGAAACCGATACAATACAAAATGAAATTTGTGTAGCGCCTTTCACGTCTGGAGGACATCCCCAAGGCCACAGAACGCCCGGTGTCGAGCACAGTGTAGGTACGAACACAGAGAAAACAAAGGGCCCTTTGCTTCGAAGGACAGATCGCTTTGACGACACATACACTGTCACTACACTTAATAATAATAATCCTTGCATTTGATATAGCGCTTTTCACGTCGAGAGGACGTCCCAAAGCGCTTCACAGAATATACTGTAAAGTGAATTGACTGTATATTTGTGGGCGAAACGCGGCAGCCAATTGCGCACAGCAATGTCCCACAAACAGTCGCGGATTGAAAATGACCAATTTATTATTGTTTTGTTTTGGAGGGATTATTATTAGGCTCTGTGTGGAGTAAGGAAACTTGCCCAAGGTTTCGCCCTCTGCCTGGAATTGAACTCAGGTCTCTCACTTACAAAGCGAGTGCTCTAACCATTGAGCTACAGGACTCCACTTGACAACAATTCCCTGTAGAGCCCTCTGAGACTCATCTCAAAACCAAGCCAGCTTGGCTCAGTGGTAGCGCTCTGACCTCCGAGTCAGAAGCACGTGGGTTCAAATCCCTCACGTCGGGATTGAAGAGTAAATCCCGCTCTATGCTTTACATTAACGCTGGGATTTTCCTCCCTCCCAACGGGAGATGCGGTGACTTACTTCTCCTCGGAGCAGTTGAGCAGCAGGCTGACGTCCTCGAAGGTCTGGTTGGTGTTGTCCAAGCCCTCACGGAGCTGCGGAGCGCTGCTGTTCTGAGGCTTCTGTGCCAGGAAAGCCTGGACCTGACGCTCTTTGGACATCTTCTCGATCTCGAGCTTACCAATGTCCGTGCTGATGTTCTACACACAAACACAAACCATTTCCCGATCAATCAGCAGAGTCCAAATTACTCGTATTCTGTAACTGAACCCGGGGCCATAGCTTCAAGAGAATTGGCAAAAGAACCAGAGGGGAGATGAGAAGAATTTATTATTTTTTTTACTCAGAGAGTTGTTACGGTCTACGTTGCACCGTCTGAAAGATTGACGGAAACAGGTTCAGTAATAACTTTCAAAAGGGCATTGGATAGAAACTTTTGCAAGGATATGGGGAAAGAGTAGAGGGAGTGGGACTGATTGGGTAGCTCTTCCAAAGAGCCAGCACAGACGTGATGAGCCGAATGGCCTCCTTCTGTGCTGTAATATTCTATAAACATCCACAGGTGAGGATCCCCATATTTCCCCTCATCTCACAATTCCCCCCCACATCCCCCAAAAACAAACACCGTCTCCCCACAACACCCCGCCTCCCCCACACACACACACACGTCCTGCCCCTCCGTACGTATCCATGTGCACACACACACACAGAGGTTTGAGTGCTCAGCAGTAACCCCTGACAGAATGGGGCTGTGTAGCTGCCTTTCCCTCACCGCCAGGTCCTGGATGCGGTTGTTGCTGTCCTGTAGAGGTTTGCTGTTATCCAGGGGGGGGCGGATGGTGCTCTGGATGGTGCTGCGCTGTTTATTCAGGTCCTCATTGATCTTGTTCAGATCTGCCACCAGTTTCGCCCCCTGCTTGTCCTCAACACCTGTGACAGACACCAAACACAGCACAGCCAGTCAGCGACACGCACACGCGCACGCACACACACACACACACACACACACAGCAGCAACAAGCAAAACAGTGGACGGAATTGTGTGTAATTGACTTCGACGGAAAGAAAATGTTATTACTTGACACGGGCTGGAGAGCTGGGCTCTTTGTGGCTGTGAAAAGATGAGAGAGAGAGAATACAATGAGATGACATCAGGAAACACAGACGGGATACAACAATTACAACAGTCCTGATTCTTTCTCCCCACCCCCCCCGCACCCCCATTTCCCCCAACCCCATCCCCAAACCCACCCTCTCTGTCTCAGCCCCTCTCCCTCCATCTCTGAGACAAACCCAAGCCTGGTGAGTTCTGGAGAGGGGGCGAGTGGGGGGGGGCGAGGGGTGGGGGGTGCTTGAGGGAGGGAATTCCAGGCAGTGGGGGCGGGGGCACAATAGTTGAAATCTCTTCTTGGCTTGCGAGAGGGTGGGGGGGGTGGGGGGGGGGAGATAATGGATGCACAACACTGCCGTCCCTGCCCTCCCCGCACCACCATGACCTCCCCCTGAGCCCCTCTCCCTCAATCTCAGCCCCTCCTCCTCCCCCTCAGGCCCTCCCCTTCAGTCTCAGCCCCTCCTCCTCCATCTCAGCCCCTCCCCCTCACTTCCAAGGGGTCCGATGAAGGGCTCCGAGCCGCAAGATGAATGGTATAACGGTTTAACGTCTCACCTCCAACAATGCAACCCCCACCCAGCGCTGCTTTAGAGTTCAGCTTAGACTATGTGAGTTCCAGACCTGATCTGGGACTTGAGCCCATAACCTTCTGACTCAGAGGCGAGAGCGCTACCACTGAGCCAAGTGTCGTTGTTGGGCTATAATCCCAATCGCTGTCACTCCCTCTCGCCCTCGGGGTGTATATATCTCAGAACCTGTCTCTCTCTCTTTCTCTGACCCTCATTAGGGCAGTTAGAACACAAACCTGACTGGATGCCCGGCTTCAGCTCATTTAATCGTTTCTGGAGGCCGTTTTTGACTCTGTTCATCTTCTGTTTGATGTCCTTGTATTGGTTGGCAATTCTGGCAACGGAAACGTCAGGAATGAGACAAATGGCAGGAATGGGGGGGAAATGAACACGTTCACATTCCGGTCAAAAAATGACTCGTCAAGTCATCGTGTGTGAAAATCAATACATATGAAGCCAGTCCCCAATCAACCTGTCTCAACATTTTATAATAATAATAATCCTTGCATTTGATATAGCGCTTTTCACTTCTTCTCGACATCTCAAAGCGCTTCGCAGAATAGACTGTAAAGTGAATTGACTGTATATTTGTGGGTGAAACGCGGCAGCCAATTGCGCGCAGCAGCGTCCCACAAACAGTCGTGGGTTGAAAATGATCAATTTATTATTGTTTTTGGAGGGATTAGTTGATAAACATCTTCCTGACTCAGCGGCCTTTAAAAACATGGCGATCCATTTTTGTGTTGGTCAGCCGTGTGTCTGACACATGCAGAAACCCATCACCGTTGCTTAAGAGTATCCAAACTAGACTGAGAATTCCACACATCCCACCTACACATGGAAATCCCAGAGATAAGATTGTTGGAATGGAATTCCTCTCTCTCTCTCTCTCTCTCTCCCCCTGGAGGGACACATCCTGTTTACCTAATTCCAGAAAGTATTAGGCGCAGGTTGGCAAGACCCAAGGATTGGGGACCCCAGAGTGTGCGTTGGGGTAACTGCTGGAGTCTAACCAGCTAAACCCACAGAGCTCGCCATTGAGAGCACTGTCTGGAGAATGAAGGAAACAGCAAATCTTTTGCCAAATGTAAATTCTGTTCAGGGGATGATAATTTGATGGATATAAATTACCTTTATGATAAAGAGCACAGATACCATCTGATGGACTGTGATAAACATGGATTTGCTCCCATAAGTGAGGACAATAATACTACAATAATAATCCTTGTATTATATATAGCATCTTATCACGTAGTTGAGGCATCTCAAAGCACTTCACAGAATATACTGCAAAGTGGAGTGACTGTGTATTTTGTGTGCGAAACGTGGCAGCAAATTGGGCGGTGTAAAGTCAGGGTCAGGAGCCCAGCAATTTGAGCTGCGATTAGACGAGCCAGGGCTCTTCAGTCTCCAGAGAAAACAATTCCCAGACAGAGGGGAACTCCTGGAGGTGTGTAACATTTTAAAAGGGATTGAAAGAATAAACCCAGATCAATACTTCAGGATGCACCGAGACAGTAGAACAAGAGGACATTGGTTTAGAGTTGCAAAGTTTAGAGTCGCCACTGTTAAGCCTTTCGAGACGCTGCCTTGTGTGAAGGCCGCTGTATAAATGCAAGTTGTTGTTTTTGCGGGAGTAAAGGGGGCAATTTCAGGACAGGAAGCGTCCTTTACCCAGAGGGTAATTAACAACTGGAACCAGGAAGGGTGATTGAGGACAGGGCATTGGGTGGGACTCGTTGAAAAAGTTGCTTGATGCTGTCATGGGTTTGGGGGTGGGGGTGGGAGGAGAGCGGGGAGAGGATGGAGGAATGGGGGAAATGGGTATTCTGGAGGAATCCTTCAATTGCTAAGAGATGCTGCCCTGCCTGAAGGGTGCAATCTAAAACATACAATGCAAGTTGTTGTTGTTATTGTTATGAGATGGAATGAGCCAAAGAGCCTCCCTCATCCAGACCGACTCGCGATCCTGTGACTTACTCGTCTGCGTTGGCCACAGCCTCCTGGTCAGTGGGTGGGATGACAAAGCAGACAGATGGAGCGTTGAGCTTGCGGGCAGCGTGGTCTGACACCTCCCAATGGGTAGGGCTGAGCTTCTTGTTCAGGGAATACTTCTCCCCGCGATGCACTCGACCCTGTCAGAACAAACAAAAAACAGCACATTTACTAACAACTTGAGTAGGTGAGGGGAGACACCCACCTGGTGAGGACTCACTCTCATCCTCCTGGCATTTCACAGTGTCTGCAATGTGGCTAATTATTAACCACAGCCTGAATTTTGGAGCCGGGATTTCTTTCGAATCAACAGAAAAGCAGCTCTGGTCCAAAGTGGGAGCATATAATAAAGCTCGTCAGTATCGGATCTAAAGGGCGGTTAGGATGAACTCCTTAACATAGGGAGGGGGTGAGATAGTGGAGCTCACTGCTGGTTCTTTTTTATATACACACATACTCAAAGAATTGTTAGGCTGTTGGCCTTGGGACACAAATGCAAGGATTATTATTATTATTATTATTATCCTGCTGACGTGAAAGGCACTATACAAATGTAATTTTGACGTTGGTTTTGTTGTTGTTGTTGGACGCCTGCAAGGGGCAGGGATCGAGACAGGATCTATTGGCTTTCAAGATAGATATCTACAAAAAGAATAAATCTGCAGAAGAATGAGGGGGGCCGGGGAGGGGGGAGAGGCATCATCAATGGGACTGTAGGGATCACTCTTCCAAAAAGCGGCACAGATATGATGGTCCAAATGGCCGTCTTCTGTGTGTAGAATTCTCTGGATGTCTAATCGATAACAAGGGGCAATATCTGGATATGAATTAATTGGATAGAATCATAGTTTTGAAGCACTTGACTATGTGATTTTGTACTACATTTAGAGAGTTGCCATTAAACCTCTTGATGAACACAGCCACTTGTGCTTTGGTTCCTTCACAAACCCAGTGAGAGGAAGGCTGCAATAAAGCGATCGCTCACCCCTTCAGCGTCAATGTCACACAGCGCCTCCACGGGGATTGGCTTGGGAGGGATTTGGCGGCGAAACTTGAGAGGGAGAACCTGCTGGCTGTGTTTTTGGAGACTTTTCACCACTTCCTCGTGTTTGTCCAGTGCTCGATCCTGGTCCTGCAGAGAAGAGGAGGAGAAATCAGGTTAACAGGAACCGAATGATCCGTCTGTTGTCAGTCCCTAGAACCAAACCGCCTCATTCTGTCAAGTGTACATCATCCTATCCTTCGAATCTCTTTGTGCTCCTGCCATTACTCTCACTCTACCCCCATTCTCGCCTGCCGGCACTCTATTCCTCCGCCTCAGCCCTGCTGCTCGTTCCTCACTCCCTGCGCCATGGAGTCCTGTAGTGTAGTGGTTAGAATGCTTATCTCGCAAGCAAGAGGACCTGGGGTCGATTCCCTGGTGGGGCAGGACCTGAAGCAAGTTCCTATTACTTCACACGCATCTGCTTTCCTAATTTATCTAAACGACCGTGTTTCAGGCCGGGCTGAGGTCTCAGAATACTCTTAACACTGAAACCAGAACACATTTCAAAAGTTAAATAGAAATCTTTATCGCTTTCACTGCATACTCATCCGGTTCCATTACTCTCACTCTACCCCCAATCTCGCCTGCCGGCACCACCCTTCCTCTGTGACCTCCTAAGCCCCTACCAACCCGCCCGTTCCCTCCACTCAGCCGGCTCTGGCTGCTCCACGTCCCCCGACTCACCCGCCCCACCATCGGCGGGAGAGCCTTCAGCCACTCTGCCCCCAAGCTCTGGAATTCCATCCTCCAATCACTCCTCCTCGCCCCCTCCTTAGCCTCCTTCAAGTCCCGCCTCAAGACTCTCCTCTTTCACCATGCCATCGGCCACTCCCCTCCCCCTCCCCTCCCTTTCCCCCCCAGCTCGGGTCTGAAATGCTGTACTCTGTCCACTGCCTTGGGATGTCCTCCCGACGTGAAAGGCGCTATACAAATGTAATCTTGTTGTTGCTGTTGTTGTTATTACAGGGCTGTACAACACCATTGTAGCCCTCAAGCCTTTGTCTGAGATCAGCTGAAGCAGCCACATAATTTCCAGATGCAAAAGATTCAGCTACGAATCTCCCTTAACAGTAAGTTGATCAGCCTCTGAGTGCAAAGGTCCCAGTGTGACTTGGGTTTGTCTTTCGGCTGTTCTCAGAAGAAGCCGCCTCACTTACTTCCAAATTGCGAAGCAGGGTCTGCAGCTGGTGCTGGTCCTTGTACTCGGGGTTGAAGTTATGATCCAGGTCATTGTCCACTCTCTTCAGAAGGTCCTGCACCTCCTTTGCATCCTTGTGAAACTGTGAGGTTAAAGAGAAAAGAACACAACATTCACTGAATAAAGCAACACACCACGGCAAATCTGTGGATTGGTTGATCTGTTGACTGAAGGATAGCTATTTGTTAGGTCAAGGTATTAAGGGATATGGGGCAAGAGCGGGTAGTTGGACTTGAGCTACAGATCAGCCATGATCTTGTAAAATGGCGGAACAGGCTCGAGGGGCTGAATGGCCTACTCCTGTTTCTATGTTTCTAATTCACATTGACACAATCACTGGTGTCAGATCTCCCTCGACAGCTTTGGGTGATTGAGATCAGAGGCCTGTTTCACATCATTATGGGTTTCATTCGGGTGGGGTGTTTGGGGGGGTGACGGCTGTTGTGAGACAGTTCCAGGACTCCCAGTTCTGGTACCTTGTGGGCACATTCTGGGGTCCCCAAGCCTTGATTATTGCCAACCTGCGCCTAATATCCAGAATTAGGTAAGCAGGAAGCGTCCCTCCAGGGAGAGAGAGCCCATTCCATTCCAGCAATCTATCTCTGGGATTTCCATGTGGAGGTGGGATGTGTGGAATTCTCAGCTTGGTTTGGATATTGTTAAGCACAGTGATGGGTTTGTGCTCGCGTCAGACACTCGGCTGACCCCAAAAAAGTACCTTATGGTAATCCTCCATGTTCTTCAGATGGTTCTCCTCACAGATCAGCAGGTTTAAGTACTCTTTCCAATCAGCGTGGACGGCCTCCATGTGAGCCTGGTGATGGAGTGAGAGGAACAGACATCAGCACTAATAGCACCACACACCACTCAACACAAACCAATGCCTTCAGCAGCACCAGGACTACACACAAACTTCAGGTAATATCTCACAGACAATGAGGGCCTCATTTGTTTAAACTCTAGCGGTTACACCACCCAACACACACCCTGTGGTCTCCAAGCCTTGGCTCTCGCCAAGCTCTCTTGATCCTCTCTGGAGTTAGGTAAACAGGGTGTGTCCCTTCCAGGGAGAGAGTGCTCTGGGATGTTACCCTGCATGATGGGTTGCTCTATAAATGCACAAGTTGTTATTGTGCTCACTCCAACCCAGGCACGGGGAAATGTCCACGTGTAAGTAGCATACATATGTGGAACTGGCAGCTTGGTTTTGGCACTCTTTAGCACGCTGATTGGTTTCTGTGTAGGTCACGCACCCAGTGACTCAAAAAAACCTTTGTGTAGTCTGCCCGGCTTATGCAGACAGGCTGAGCTGGGGTCCCTCGATGGGGAGCCTGGGATTACCTCGATGGGGTTCTTTCCGGGGTGATTTGCCTCCAGCAGTTTGTTACCATCTTGGTGGAGTTTGGTAATCGTGGCCTCTTTGGCTTCCAGGTTTCGGTTGACGAAATTCTGCAACCAATAAAGACAATGTCGGTGAGATGAAGAGAGGGAACCAGCGGCCATTCACATACAAGGTCCCTGTGAGCGTGTGTTTCCTGATGATGATAAAATCAACTTCTACTAAAAAAAAAGCAGCTCTTAAAATCCCTGGTCACCGTGGTTACCTCGTACTGCCGGTGTCGGTTCTTATAGTCCAGGTTCCGGTCGCTGAAGTCGCAGTTCATCCGGTCTCTCTGCTGCGTGTCCATCCAGTACAACTCATTGGTGCATTGCTGCATGTAATCCCGCAGCGAGGTAAGATCTGTCTGCCGCTGCTTCGTCACCGTCTGTCAATCAAAACAATGTCACTCAGCGCGGATTTCTCCTGCTCCTGACTGCCCCCCACCCCCCGACCCCTTAACAGGAGCTGTGAAGTCCTGTAGTGTCGAGAGGACTCGGGTTAGATTTCCGGACGGGGCAAAACCTGAGCAAGTTTCCTCACTCCACACACTTTTGTTTACCTCTCAGTAAATAGGAACTGGGGCGGGGGGGGGTAATGGTGTGTGAAGCTGGGTGGGAGGTGGGGTAGAGGCTGGACTGACCTTCAGTTTGTTGTATTTGACCTGGAGCCCGCTGATGTATTGCTGGGGAGAGAAGAAAGGGAAAAAACCTTCAGTAAAAATTTCCCGTTAACTCAAGAAAAGAATCTTCAATGTAGATGCTGCGGAGTGAGACTCCCCCAGAGCTTCACACCATCCCAAACCACAGCAGCAAGGCTCTGAGCAGCTCTAACCAGAGAGAATTCTACTCAATTAATCGCTCACTGAATGGGGCTGAGACAGTAAACCCAGGACAACAACTCTGGTTGCATCAAGACAGGAGAACAAGAGGCCACAGAATAGAGGTGTAATAAACAACAACAAGAACTTGGATTTATATAGCGCCCTCCACCCGGACGGCATCTCAGAGCGCTTTACAGTAACGGATCCCGGGCCGAGCCAGGGGGAGGGGGAGGAAGGTGCCCAAAGGCCCGGTCGAAAAAATAGGTCTTTAGCCGAGACCTGAAAATAGGAAGAGTGGGAGCGAGGCGAAGGGAGTGAGGAAGGGAGTTCCAGAGCCTCAGGGCATAGTGGCTGAAGGCATGGCTGCCAATGGTGGAGCGGAGGACTCGGGGAACAAAGAAGAGGCCAAACCCGATAGAGCGAAAGCAACGGGCACTGCTGTGAGGAGGGAGGAGGTCAGAGAGGTTGGGGGGGTGCAGAGGATTGGAGAGATTTGAAGACAAGGGTGAGGATCTTGAAGTCGATCCTCTCTGGGTCAGGCAGCCGGTGCAGTCTGGCCAGGACTGGGGTAATCGGGGAGCGGAGTTTGGTGCGGGTAAGAATGCGGACGGCAGAGTTCTGGATTACTCCGTGTAATAAAGGGGTATTTCAGGACAGATGCCAGGAAATGTTTCTTTAACGATCAGAACAGAATGGCCAATCAGGATGATTAACTGTGGTTTTAGTTGCTTAAAGTCTAGGAAATGCCCCCCCAGTACACACTGTGGAGTCCCCGAGCCTTGGCTCATTCCGACCTGCACCGAATACGGAATTGGGTAAGTAGGTGGGTGTCCCTCTGGGGAGAGAGTGCGCATTCCATTCCACATTCCCATGTGTAGGCCGCGAACGTTGGTGGAACCTTTGTCTGAGTGGAACTTCTTAAGCACAGTGATGGGTTTCTGTGTCTCAGTCACCCAGAGCCCAAAAGAACTGGTTAAATGTGTTATGACATGTGTTGGGATCTTGTACAGCACCATTTGACCCCTGGAAAAGAAGCACGTCGCCTGCTGCAGCCTCACCGAGTCCTTGTTTTTGTTGATGTGATCTCCAATTGCTTCCACCTCATTACTGAAGACATTGTGATGTTCCACTTGCTGCTCCACAGACGGCAGGTCATTCCCAAAGCCTTTGTTATTCAGTTCCACCTGAAAGTACAAATGGGAGACTGGTGAGAAGGGTCAGAAGGGGTGAGAAGGGCAGAAGTGGTGAGAAGAGTAGAAGGGCTGAGAAGGGCAGAAGGGGTGAGAAAGGTTAGGAGAGGTGTGGGGGTCAGGAGGGGGGAGAGGGGCATGAGGGCTGAGAAGGTCAGGAGGGGTGAGAAGGGCAGGAGGGTGAGAGGGAGAAGGAGGGTGAGAAGGGCAGATCACCTACACATAGAGAGGAAGTCTCAAAGCTTCAGAGAGTTTACTGTAAACTACAGTCACTGGGTTATTTGGCAAACACAGTAGCCAGTCGCCCACAGCAATGTTCCACAAATAGCCGTGGGGCGAGTGACCAATTTTATTTGGGGATTGTTGGCCAGCACACCAGGAGAGAGAGAGAGAGAGAAACTCCCTTTTCCTTTGGAAGAGCACCGTGGGATCTTTTAACGTCCACCCGAAAAGGCAGACGGGACCTCGAGGGACGGCACTGCAGACAATTCAGAGCTCCCCCACCAGCGCTGCACTGGAGCGTCAGCTTAGACGACATGAGTTCAAAGACCCGACCCGAGCTTTGAACCCTCGACCTCGCGAGTGTGCTACCTGATGGAGGCAGGCCAGCAGGCCAGGCCGTCCCACCGGTGTGCGCTGCTACTAACCAGGTCAGTGCGAGTTTTTCCGGAGTGACTCCGCGTCACATGGACTCGCTCTGGACGGATGGGACGTGGAGTCTCTCCCGGAATCACAGAGTGTTGCTCTCACCTGCTTCTCGTCGATGAGCTTGGACCAGTTAATGCTGGGGCTGCTCGATGTATTGTAGATCTTCTCACGTTCCACTTTCAGCTTGTCAACTCGTCTCTGCAGCTGCTTGATACTGAGGGGAGAGCGGGTCAGTTACTGAGGGCAACACAGGGCTTCATCCCAGAGAGCTAATGTGTGTAGGTGTGTGTGCCGCGGGGATGTGGGGGGCTGTGTGTACCACAGTGTGTGTGGGAAGGGGGCTGTGTGTCGGGGGGTTTGGCTGTGTGTGTGTGGGGGGGTGGGCTGCTGTGTGTGTATCAGGGGATGTGCGTGACTGTGGGTGGAGATCTGTGTGTGTGTGTGGTGGGGGGTCTGTGTGTACCACAGTGTGAGGGTTCGCACTTACTCCTCCACTATCATGGCTCCCTGTGGGTGTTTTTTCTCATTGGCGTTGTGAGCGTCGGTGTGAAGCCCCTTCAGCAGCTCGTTGGAGTCCGCGATCTTCTTGTCGGTGGCTTCACGGTACAAATACTCCTTCCCCTCCGTCTTCCTCCTCACATCCTGGGGGAGGGGAAACAAAGGCAATAGCTGATCCCAGGCTCCTCTCTGTACATCTCACCCCCCAAACAAACCCACCACAAGCAGACAAACACCCTCCTTCTCATCCGCACTCCGCGAGTGTTGGTTGTTTGAGAGACTTTGGTGTCCCCAAGCCTTGTCTCTCACCAACCTACGCCTAATACTGTCCGGAATTAGGTAAGCAGGATGCATCCCTCCAGGGAGAGAGAGTAGCATTTCATTCCAGCAATCTATCTCTGGGATTTCCATGTTTAGGTGGGATGCGTGGAATTCTCAGCTTGGTTTGGATACTCTTAAGCAACGGTGACGGGTTTCTACACGTGTCAGACGCCTGGCTGAACAAAAAAAGTAAGCTGGAACCACAGCATTAATATAATCTGCCCCCGAGACTCAATGCAAAACAAAGAGCAAAGACTCCAGCTGTCATTGGAGAACACCAGCAGCAGTTTGCATTGATATGGGCAGGAAGCAGGGATACAGGGCCCATCGCCGTGTGTTGTGACGCCCATACCTCAGGCTGGGGTGGGGGTGGGGGATGGTGTTGGGGGATGGGTGCCTGCAGTCTCGTCCAGTAACAACTGCTATCAGTAGCTATTTACATATCATGTTCAATGGGGGGAGGAGAGCACTGGAAGAGAGGATAGAGGAGGAGAATTCATCGGGTTTTTAAATTGATGAGAGAGGTTAGGGTCAGGAAGGGGGGTCGGGGAGGGAGGTTGGGGTCGCGGAGGGAGGTCAGGGTTGATGAGAGAGGTTAGGCTGCTCACCCCCATTAACCAAATTATGTTCCACTTGGGAACGAGGGTTGGCCCCGCAGACAGGCCCCTCCCCCTCATCCCAAACTCTATCCCCAAATTGTCACAAGACAACGTGGATTTGAACATGTCTTCATGACCCAACGAGCAGGTCAGGTGATGGGATGGCCTCTGCAGCAGGGCAAGCCTGGCCTGAGCCTAGTGACCAGGTGCTCCCGTGAGAGTGTTCCAGAGTTTCAGGGCATAGTGGCTGAAAGCACGACCTCCGATGGTGGGGCAGAGGGTGCGAGGGACGAACAAGAGGCCGGTGCCGGTCGAGCGGAGGTACCACGTAGTGGATTGGGTGAGTGAGGAGATTGGAGAGGTAGGGAAGTGCCAGGGAGTGAATGGATTGAACACGAGTGTGAGGATCTTGAAGTCGACACTCGATCTTGGCCAAAAGGCCGAGAAGCGATTGCAACATGCAGCTCCAACTGCAGCCGACAGGAGCGGAGAAGAGAGCAGACATCAGCCTGCGTCCTAGTCACCGCGTGAATGTGAAGGAACGACGAGCGAGACTGTAACTAACCCACAGGCACAAAGTCAACCCACAGGACAGAACATCCAAAACACAGGGAGCAAGGAAACAGGATATCCGAATAGCCAGGTTAAGTGTAGAGTACATGGCATCCACGTGATCGATATGCCTCCCTCTCCTGTACAGGAAAACACCCCGATCAAAACCCTCATTGTTTGTTCCTGAATGTGACATCAATCGGCCTAGCTGGACACGGTCCCTGTCCAGGACTGAATGTTCTCTTTGCTGTTCTGGGGATTCAATTCATATCATTGTGCTATTACACCTCCGGGCAATTCATGTACTTTCTAAGCCACTGTCACCAAATCAGGTGGATTTTCTCACACCGTACAGCGAGGGTTGTGGTTGGGGGTGTGGTGTGCGGTGCGTGTGTTTTGTTGGGGTAGGGGTGGAATCAGTGCTATCAGAACAAGTCCAAAAGATTACATTATTGTGAAACGGCCTGAGGCTGTCCCACGCTTAATCCACAGAGAATTTGTGAAGCGTACAGTTGTTTTATTGCCTGAAGTCGAGGGCCCCTCAGTTGTGTCCCTGCCAAATACCAGCTTCAATCATCTCCAAGTTGTGAAACAGGGCTGATACTAACAGCGAGTGGGTGTAAGCAACATAAACCAATAAACACCACGCAGGGTGTCACCCACCCACATCTGAGATAATAAAGTGCGATTGGCCTCACCCTCTGGGAGCCTAACGCTGGGTGTAACCAATCACATCCAGGTAGAGTCATGCAAATCATTCACTGTAGCAATCCCAGCCGTCACTGTTTGTGGGCGTTTTAGAACACAACACAACACAGTACAACACAGCACCTTTCGTGTCAGGAGGACGTCCCAAAGCGCTGAACGGTCCAGTGTTGGCACCCGAGAGGAGGGGGCCAGGCGAGAGGGGAGGAAAGCATGCTCAGAGAGGAAGGTCTTGAGGTGGCTTTGAAGGGGCAAGGGAAGGGGGCGAGGCGAGGGAGGGGGGGAAGTGAGAGGTGAGGCAAGGGAGGGGGGAGAGTGGCAAGGGTGGGGAGAGGTGAGGGAAGGGGAAAGCGGCAAGGGAGGGGGGTGGGAGGGTGGTCGGGGGGGGGGCAGAGGTGAGGGAAGGGGGAGGGAGGAGAGGGGAGGTGAGGGAGGGAGGGTGGCGAGGGGGGGAGGGAGGCAAGTGGGAGAAGGAGGGAGGAGGTGAAGGGGGGAGAGAGGGAGGAGCGAGGGGCATTACCAGGAGTAGGTTGTCCTCGATGCCCACGATGTTGTTCTCCACAATGTCAGCTTTCTTTTGCACACTATCAATCAGCCGGCTGAGCTCCGAGGGCACCCTGTAACACAGCACAGCACACAGTGAGGGAGGCAGGAGCTGGGCAATACACTGCATGAGACTCTACCTGTACTACAGAATACACTGGTACAATACCATATACAAGTCCAAGGAAGAGCAAACAGATCTCAGCCACTGAACCAACAACTGTATCTCAAACCACTCGTCCCCTCAGAACATCCCTCACGCTGTCTCCCTGCCCTCGAGAAAAGTGGGCAGTGTGGGGATTGACCAGCAAAGCTATGCCTGTAAATGGGCCCAAAACACAATGCACTTTACATTTATAAAGCATACACCCGATTGTGTGTCAGCCTGGCTCACTGGTAGCTCTCTTGCCTCCAAGCCAGATGGTTGTGGGTTCAAATCCCACTTGGAGACTTTGAGCTCACAGTCTAGGCTGACGCTCCAATACTGTAGGGGTGCACAGCGTTGTTAGATGACACTATCCTTCGGATGAGATGTTAATCTGAAGTCCTGGTTGTCTCTTCAGGTTAAAGATCACGTGTCACTACGCAAAAAGAGAAGGGAGTTTGTCTCTCTCTCCCAGTGTCCTGGCCAACAATCCCTCCAGATACAATTGATCACTCACTCCATGGCTGGTGGGACATTGCTGTGTGCAAGTTGGCTGCTGTATTTGCTCACAGTCACTACACTTCACAGTACTTCTTGCGAAGCATTGTGAGACATCCTCCCACTGGGAAAGGCGCTGTGTAAAATGTGACAATTATTGGAATAAGGCAACAGCAACAACAGCTTGCACTTATACAGCGCCCTCCGTGCAGTGCAGCGTCTCAGCGTCTCGGTGGCCGTAAGCACGGTCGAACAGGAAAGTTTTCAGGCAGAACTTGAAAGAGGGGAGAGAGGGGGCAAGGCGAAGGGTTTGAGGGAGAGTGTTCCAGAGTTTCGGGGCGTAGTGGCTGAAAGCACCACCTTCGATGGTGGTGCGGAGGGTGCGAGATGAGCAGGAGGCCGGTGCCTGTTGAGCGGAGGCGCCGGGTGGTGGATTGGGGAGTGAGGAGGTCGGAGAGGTAGGGATTATATTATAGCCATCCCAGTTCCTGACCTGAGAGGTCTCTCTGCCAGCAGCTGTCTCGTCACCGCTTCCTGTTACAGCGGTTTGATAATCTCAACTCTAATTCTCAACAACACTGCAGCATGTGTGCGAGTGTCAGGGCACGGTTAAACCACACTGTAGCTTCAAATATCCTCAATAACATTCACATGACCGATCTGCAGCCTAGTTGATCTCACCTTTCCAGATATATCCAGCCTCCTCGCCTCCCATTACATCATCAAGCCGTTTCATACATGAGTCCCAGTCTCCCGGCCTCAACCACCCTTTCTGGTAACCCTGTTCCAGTCGTTGATTACTCACTAGGTAAAGAAATACTTCCTGGTGTCTGTCCTGAAATTGCCCCTTTAAAACTCTAAGCCCACGTCTTTGTTGAATCAACGATTGCACATAATTATACATTACGTTTTCTTGAAAATTTCCAGAATTTAATAAATCCCTTCTCCTCACCCTGCCCCACTCTCAACAAAAAGATGGCACCTCTAACAATGCAATGCATCCCCAGCACTCTACTGGATCGTCAAAGTCCCAGTGTGGGTCTTAAGCCCCTAACCTCGGACTCAGAGGCGAGAGCGCTGTTCATCGTGACAGGTCGATATGTTCGAAACCAATGAATTCTATCCATTACTGAGGTTTGCTTCATTGCTGTTATTGCTGTTTGGCTTCGCTGTATGTAAACTGGTTGCCACGTTCGCCTAAAAAAATCCCAGTGAATCCTGTGAAGCTCTTTGAGATGTCTCGACCAAGCAATAAGGCACGATATCAAATGCAAGGATTACTGTCACGATGGGACACTGCTGTGCGCAATTGGCTGCCCCGTTTCGCCCACAAAATACACAATTACAGTATATCCTGTGAAGAGCTTTGAGATGTCTTGAAGACGTGATCAGGTGCGATATCAAACGCAAGGACTATTATGATTATTATACGATCAAATGCAATTCTCAGTGCGGTGACTGTGAAGGACAATCAAGGGTTAGTTAGGCTGCGGTACGCTGTAAAGGAGGGGAGGTGGATGTGTTTGGAGAAAAAATACTTTAAATTCCAGGGTTAAAGAGAGGTTGGGTGAAATTGGACTTTAAAACCAGTTCCTCTTAAATTGCCAACGTCCTACCGATGTGGTGACACGCCTCTCTCCCTGCATTCCCCACATTCCTGCACTCAACGACTCCACCCTGAGCCAGTCGGTCACCTCCTCAATGTCCAGGGCGTGCAGAGTTGTTTTATAGTCCTCTCTGCTCCACTCTTTCCTCTCCTCTCCTCAGGGAGCTGAGCCATGCTACACAACAGAGTGTTCACAAAGTCCTCTTACCCCCATGTTTATTTCCTACAGCGCAGTGACCAACAAGTGAAATGCGTGGAAGAATTGTGTACAGAAATGCTTAATTGTATCCCGTACAGGTGTTTAAGCGTATTTAGACGTCCAGAGGATGGGCGTGAATGAGTGAAATGGCAGATAATGATCCATCACCATGTCCACGGCCACATCTTTTGTAACTTGGATACCAAAGCGAAATGCATCGCTGACAGCTCCTTTCAGCTCTGACTTGTGCAAGGCTTCACCCTGCCCGGGAATTGAGCCCGGGTCCTTTCGCTTATAATAATAATCCTTGCATTTGATATAGCGCTTTTCACGTCGGGAGGACATCCCATAGCGCTTCACAGAACACATTGTAAAGTAAATTGACTGTATATTTGTGGGCGAACGCGGCAGCCAATTGCGCACAGCAATGTCCCACAAACAGTCATAGATTGAAAATGACCAATTTAATTATTGTTTTTGGTTTTGGAGGGATTATTATTACTCTGTGTGGAGTAAGGAAACTTGCCCAAGGTTTCGCCCTCTGCCTGGAATTGAACTCAGGTCTCTCACTTGCAAAGCGAGTGCTCTAACCACTGAGCTACAGGACTCCACAAAGCTTGCGAGGTGAGAGCGCTACCCGGTACGTTACAGGACGTCACAACATTGTCACACTGTGGCTATCGAGGACAGTCACCACCCGGCACATTGATCACAAGCCACAGCTGCCACCATCACTGTCACACTCCTTGTTCCTCACTGTGTCAAACCAGATTGTGAATTTCACAACAATGTCTGTTGGGGGTGTGGAAGGGGGAATCCTCTGATGGAGCGGGTGGGGTGGGTGGAGTTGGGGGAAGGAGGGGAATAATAATAGCAATCCTTGCATGTGAGATAGCACCTTATCAGGTCGTTGAGACGTCTCAAAGTGCTTCACATGATATACTGTAAAGTGGCTTCACTGTATATTTTGTGGGTGAAATGCGGCAGCCAATTACGAACAGCAGCGTCCCACAAACAGCTGTGTATTGAGTCATCAAATTATTTTGGGGGGGGATAATTACCCCCAGAAAGTGATCCGCCAATCGACTAAAAACCAGGTTCCTATTTACTGCCAAATAAACAGAGATGTGTGGAGTAAAGAAACTTGCCTAATGTTTTGCCCCGCCCGGGAACAGAACCCGTGTCCTCTCGCTTGCGAGGCGAGCACGCTAACCGCTACACTACAGGACTCCACTACCGGTGGCGGGTGTCAGGGTGGGGGGTGGGGGAACGGAAGGGGTTGGGAGGGGGGTGGGGGGGAATCCTTTGTCGGGTGGTGGGGGTAATCCTCACTGGGACAGCGTGTAAAATCGTGCTATGTGGAGTGCCTGCGAACTGGTTTGGGCGTCAGGTGTAACACCTGCCCAGAGAATTCAGAAGCTCTGAGAAGCAGCCGTCATTCTGCCCCTTACCCCCGAGAGGAGTAAACACAGGGTGTGGCGAGCACACGGGCGGGGAGTGAGGAGATCAGATTAGATGAATTACGCACTGTTATTACTGTCTCTCGTTACACCGGCTCCTGGTTACAAGGGATTGCAGGAGTTTCAGAGTTTGGACCAGAATGTGGTCAAACCTGTTGGGCCTCTCACAGCTGCTAACACCCAGTAAACAGTGCCCTGGGTTTGGTCTGTGCTGCATTCCCTTCAGCTCGGTCACAAAACCCAGCCAAGACCCCAGCCAGCCAGCGTAGTCTTTAACTGTGCCCGTTGCCCGGGGTTGCCACGTGGCAGGTGTTTGCCCGTCCTGGCTGGGCTATTACCCACCTTGGCGGTCGCCAGTTAACAAAAATTGCAGGTGTCACCTGTTAATGTCACTATTCGATCTTTCATTCAAATCCCGGCTCTGTCGATTTGTGCAAATCGTCTGATTTTTAGCTCGCCCACCCACCCCCTCGCTCGCCCACACACCCCCTCGCTCGCCCACCCACCCCCTCGCTCGCCCACCCACCCCCTCGCTCGCCCACCCACCCCCTCGCGCTCCCACCCACCCCTTCGTGCTCCCACCCACCCCTTCGCTCACCCACCCCCACGCTCACCCACCCCACGCTCCCACACACCCCCTCGCTCACCCACCCCCTCGCTCACCCACCCCCTCGTTCCCACACACCCCCGCGCTCACCCACCCCCTCGCTCCCACACACCCCTCATTCACCCACCCCCTCGCTCCCACACACCCCCTCACTCACCCACCCCCTCGCTCCCACACACCCCTCACTCACCCACTCTCACCCACCCGCTCCCTCCCACACACCCGCTCGCTCACCCACCCCCTTGCTCCCACCCACCCCCTCGCTCGCTCGCTCACTCACACACATCCTCATTCACTCACTCACCCACCCACCTACCCACTCACTCACTCACTCATTCATTCACTAACTCACTCACTCACCCACCCACTCACTCATTCACTCACTCACTCACTCACTCACTCATCCACACCGTCACCCAACCACAAGGAACCATTTGCTAAGGAGTGTCTGCAACATTATTTACAGTTCCACCCAGCTCAGCGAGGAATTCAGGGCAATTTTACAACAATGTACAATATAGTCAGGCGGGCCTCGGTGGGACCCGGGGCCCCAAACCGGCAACACCGGTTCGTGTGTCAGCACGTCGGCAGCAGCGTGCTCCCCTCAGGCCTCTCAGGATCTAAACGTGTGTGTTTAACTAGGAAAATATCCATCTCCTCCCTCTCCCCCCGGCTCGTTGTCAGACTCCGCCACTGTGAAGAGCTCCGGGATGCTATATGAATGCTAGTTTTTGTTGTAGCTCACTGACTGGGGGAAGGTAACGTTTAGCAAAGGCAGCTGGCACGCTCTTGTTCAGCAATATAGTGGAGGCAGGGGTTTGTGTCGTGTTAAAATAATCGTTGCATTTTATATCAAGTCAAAACATCTCAAAGCACTTTGCATGTTATTGCTGTGAAGTGCAGTGCCTGTGTATTTGGAGGCAAGAGCAGCAGCCAATTTGCACACAGCGACGTCCCGTGAAGGGAATGTCTAAAATTGAGGATTGTCGACCGGGATACAAGGAGAGAGAAACTCCCTTTGCTTTTCCAATAGTGTCCTGAGATGGTTAGCATCCACCCGGACACAGACGGGACCTCGGTTTAACATCTCCCCTAAAGGACAGCAACTCCGACAATGTAGCACTCCCCTTGTATTGCGCTGCCCTCAGTCACAGACTCACTGTCCTCTCGGGAGAGACTACCTCAACAGCACCAATGTAGGGTTTCAACCCACAACCTTTTGACCCAGAGATCAGAGCCGGCTGAGCCAGGCTACATCACGTGGACAGTTTCACTGAAGAGCCTGAACTCAACATCGGGTGCAAGCCCACTGCAAACAAGCGAGGACAGGTGCTGGGAAACACAGATCATCCGTGCGAAGGAGCGAGAACACCATTTACTGGAGGCCTGGCACGTAAGGAATTACTGAGACGAACGATACTGAACCCCAAGATATTATTTACCAACATTTGCTTTTAGAAGGAATCAACACTTTAAAATAATTGTCACCCAGCACCTTGAGCGCTACCCTGTGTGATGGGCGCGAGACGTATGCAAGTTGTTGTTGTTTTTGTGGGTGCAGATTCCCACCACAAGATAACAGACAAATTGTGAAACTTCCAGGATTGTCCTGGACTGTGGGTTTCTCAGGATCCGAATCAGCTGAGGGTGGGACTCGACACTGAAGTCCATCACTGTCCATCCCAACAACCTGCTCCACAGCCAGGTTCCCAGCTGCACCCACACCCTGATGTTTGCACTGAGGGCAAAGGTTTTTGGAGAGTGAGGCAAGGGAGGGTGGGAGCTCACCCACACACTACAGTTGCACACAGTTATTTCCTTTTGAGTGACAAAATAAGTTTAACCATTAATCAGCCAAGCCTGTCTCTACGCCAGCAGCAAACAGCACAAACCAGCTGTCACTTTTTGTCACTCAAATGCCACAATCCTGACACCTGAGCTTTGATTTCAAGTTATAAATCGATCGGTCGAAGGACCAGCTGTTGAACAGTTACACGATTACTGGGAGGTTTCAAAGTAAAGAGAGTTTTAAGCAGAGTTCACTTATACATTAAAGATGATTCAGGGCGAGCTGAACCTGTTACTCACTTGGTTTTGGGCTGCTGCGAGCTCTTTTTGCTTTTAAACATCTTGCTGGTCGGGACGTGACGTTCAGACTATAAATCCTTTCACTCCACGACCGGCCCGATGCTGAGTTTCTGCTCTGGGGTGAGAGAGAGAGAGAGAGAGACAGACAGAGCTAGTTGCTGTGCTGTCTGGCTGGCTACCCGTGTGTGTGAGTGTACAGGTGAGCACACTGCCTTACCTGTCCCCTCCCACTCACACTTGCCCATTCACCCAACCCATTGGCCAGGCTCTCCGCCAACTTACTGATACTCTTCACCCTCCCCCCCCTCTCTCTCTCTCTCTCCCTCCCTCCCTCGTGGGATTGCTGTTGTTCCTGCACTGGCAGAAGGACTGGTTTGGTTCCATTCCTTCAACCCTTAAGCTCTGTCGCTCCTCTTTGCTCCTATCCCACATACAGCAATTCTCCCAACTCGCAGCTCTGGATTTTTAACAAACCTATTGTTAAAAGTAATGCCCAGAGCCAGCCATCAGGTCATTTATATATTAGTCTAAACTCCTGAGCTTCACCTATTATTATTATGTCTGCTCAGCAGGTGTCTGACACGAGCCAAACCCCATCACTGTGCTTAAGAGTCCCATAGTGTAGTAGTCAGTGATCTCGCCTCGCAAGCGAGAGGACCTGGGTTGAATTCCCAGGTGGGGCAAAATTGTACGCAAGTTTCCTTAGTCCACACGCCTCTGTTTACCTAACAGTATGTAGGAACCCGGTTGTTAGTCAATTAGCGAATCACTTTCTGGGAGTAATAATCCCTTTATAAATAAATAAATAAATAAATACATGCATACAGTTTTAAAAAATAATTTGGTCACTCAATCCACAAGTGTCTGTGGGACACTGCTGTGAGCAATTATTGGCTGCCACGTTTTGCCCACAAAATCCATTTGGCGATATATTCTGTGAAGCGCTGTGAACCCTCAACAATGTGATAAGGCGCTATACCGAATGCAAGGATTATTATTACTAATACTAAGACTGAGACTGAGACACATCAGACTGAGAGCTCTACTCACACCACCTATACATGGAGATTTCCCTGTGTCTGGAATGGAATGTGCACTCTTTGTCTGTGTTGTTACACATCCTGCTTACCTGTTCCAGAGAGTATTATGCACAGGTTGGCAAGGAGCCAAGACGTGGGGACCCCAGAGTGTGCATTGGTGGTAATTGCAGGCGTCTAACCAGCTAATATCACACAGCTTGCCATTGAGAGCGCTGTCTGGCAAGCCTTCCCCTACTTATCCTACTAGGACCACCCTATCTGTTAGAGCTTTGGCTTGCAAGGTTAACAGGAGCTGAGTGGGAAGTTTCCATGCTCGCAGTGTCATTGAGAATGAGTAGAGTACCTTTTGCCCCTTTCAGGTAGTCCTGACAGACAATGTCCAGGCTAAGGTCAGTGTCCATCACCACCCCAGATACCGCAGTAGTTTCAAAAGCTGATAAGCGTTGTTGAGTGCACAGAATGTCATCAGAGACTTTGTTGTTGGCACTGAAGGCACCAGTGGATAGGAACCAGAGTACTGCCCCTCAACTTGTTGTCTCTGCTGCTCTGATAATCTATACTGAAGAGCTCCAGTGTGAAAGCTTACTGGAGCCCAGAGATTTCTGGAGGTCTCCTGTTGCTAGCCCTGGGTCCAATGGGTTAGAACCCCTTGCCCATTTCTATTCCACTTTTCTTCACTGGTGGGTGTGAAGATCGCAGGGCACTATTCGAAAAGAGAAGTTTCTCTTTTGTGAGACTTCCTCCCGGCGTGAAAGGCAATACATCAATACAAGGCTAATTCTTACACTGTGTGACTGTTACCATCAGACACTGTGTGATTGGATATTCCCTGGTGGATGTGGCTAACCTGGGCCTTTGTCAGGGAAAACCACTTCCTGACCTGTGACTATGACCACGGATGCTCCATGCACCTGACAGTCACTTAGGGCTTCCCCTGTTTGACCAAAACCAGGAATTGAGAATGAATGTTCAACCTTGCACTAGAGAGGTATTATTCTTGATACGCGGAGCAGAGCAAAGTGGAGCAGAGTGGAGAGGAATTTAACTGGGAGGCGAGGGAAGGGCAAGAACTGAAGTCATGCCTGGAATGCTATGGGGAGCGTTCATGACAGATAAGAATGTTACTACAGTTGCCACCTTGTCAAATCATTGTCAAACACTCAGTTTGCTTCTTCCTAAATTCCTACTATATACACACACATGGTGTGCCCAACACAGCACAGCCCAACACATAAGAACATAAGAATTAGGAGCAGGAGTAGGCCATTCGGCCCCTCTAGCCTGCCCCACCATTCAATAAGATCATGGCTGATCTATTCTAATTCCACCTGCCCGCCTTATTCCCATATCCCTTAATCCCTTTATCTACAGGAAATCTATCAATCTCAGTCTTGAAGCCTTGAATATGTTCAAGGACTGAGCATCTACAGCCCTTTAGGGTAGAGAATTCCATAAATTCACTGCCCTCTGAGTGAAGAAGTTTTTCCTCAACTTAGTACGAAAGGGCTTACCCCTAATATTAAGACTGTGACCCCTGGTTATAGTTTCTCCAACCAGTGAAAAAAGTCTCCCACTATCTATTCTGTTGTGCCCCTCAATAATGTTATAGGTTTCTATAAGATCACCTCTCATTCTTCTATATTCTAAAGAATATAGGCCTAAATTGCTCAACCTATCCTCATAACTCATCCCTCTCATCCCTGGTACCAACCTAGTGAATCTACGTTGTACCCCCTCCAAGGCGAGTACATCCTTTCTTAAATAAGGAGACCAAAACTGCACACAATACTCTAGGTGCGGTCTCACCAGGGCCCTATACAGTTGCAGCAAGACTTCCCTACTCTTATATTCTAACCCTTTTGTAACAAATGCCAACATACCGTTAGCCTTCCTAACTGCTTGCTGTACCTGCAAACTAACTTTTTGTGACTGGTGTACAAGGACACCCAAGTCCCTCTGAACGCTAACACTATCTTGTCTCTCCCGTTCTAAAGAATAATCTGCTCTACTGTTTTTGCCACCTAGGTGGATGACTTCACACTTCCCTATATTATACTTCACCTGCCCCCTATTTGCCACTCCCCTAGCCTATCTATATCTTGTTGCATTTTTTTAATGTCATCCTCAGTGTTTACTCTCCCTCCTAGTTTAGTGTCATCCGTAAATTTGGATATATTACGTTCGATGTCCTCATCTAGATCATCAATGTAGATTGTAAATAGTAGAGGCCCAAGAACTGATCCTTGTGGCTCTCCACCAGTCACATCCCGCCAATCTGAGGACCCGTTTATTCCTACCCAATCCATGCTAATATATTCCCCTTAATTCCATGGGCCCTAACCTTTTATGCAGCACCTTATCAAATGCCTTTTGGAAATCTAAATACATTACATCCACTGATTCCCCCCCTATCTAATCTACTTGGTATGTCCTCAAAAAAATCTAAAAGATTTGTTAAGCATGACTTCCCTTTTGTAAAGCCATATTGACTCTAAGTATCCGGCCATATTGACTCTAAGTATCCAGTCCAACATAGCCCAGCTCAACACAGTCCAGCCCAACGCAACCCAGCCCAATACAACACAGCCCAACCCAACACAGCACAGCCCAACACAGCACAGCCCATCCTAGCCCAGCACAACCCAGACCAGCACAACCCAGACCAGCATAACCCAGACCAGACCAGCACAACACATCTCAGCACAACCCAGCCCAGCACAACCCAGCACAGGCAAGCCCAGCACTGCCCAGCCCAGCCTAACGCACCACAACCCAGACCAGCCCAAGACAGACTAACAACACCAATTACAATGAAAATACATGTGTATAGCGCCTTTCATGTTGGGAAGACGTCCCAAGGCGCTGGACAGACAGAATTACAGACCCGAGCTGAGGGTCGGGGTGGAGGAGGGGGTAGAGCAGGGGGGGAAACAGGGAGATCGAAAGCACAGTTGAAGAGGAGGGTCTTGAGGTGGGTCTTGAAGGTGGCGAGGGAGGGGGCGAGACAGAGGGACTGCGGGATGGAGTTCCAGAGGGTGGGTGCAGATGGCGGAAGGCCCACCCACCGATAATGGGACGAGCAAGGTGGGAGACGTGAAGCAGGCCAAAGCCCACTGAGCGGAGAGAGCAAACAGGGTGGTAGGGGGTTAAGAGGTTGGAGAGGTAGGGGGGAGCAAGACCATGGAGGGCTTTGAAGGTGAGGACCAAGATCTTGAACTTTATCCTCTGTGTGATGGGAAGTAGTGGAGTTGGGCGAGGATGGGGGTGATAGGGTCGCGGAGCCTAGTGCGGGAGAGGACACGGGCTGCAGAGTTCTGGATAATCTGCAGCCTGTGGAGAGAGGAGTTGGGGAGGCCGACAAGCAGTGAACTTGCATAGTTGAGCCTCGATGTAATGAAGACGTGTAAGAGGGTTACAACCCAGCCCAACACAGCCCAGCCCAACACAGTCCAGCCCAACACAACCCAGGCCAACACAACCCAGGCCAACACAGCCCAGCCCAACACAACCCAGGCCAACCCAGCCCAACACAGCCCAGCCCAACACAACCCAGGCCAACCTAGCCCAACACAGCCCAGCCCAACACAACCCAGGCCAACCCAGCCCAACGCAGCCCAGCCCAACACAACCCAGCCCAACACAACCCAGGCCAACCCAGCCCAACACAACCCAGGCCAACCCAGCCCAACACAACCCAGGCCAACCCAGCCCAACACAGCCCAGCCCAACACAACCCAGGCCAACCCAGCCCAACATAGCCCAGCCCAACACAACCCAGGCCAACACAACCCAGGCCAACACAACCCAGGCCAACCCAGCCCAACACAACCCAGGCCAACCCAGCCCAACACAACCCAGGCTAACCCAGCACAACCCAGGCCAACCCAGCCCAGTCCAGCCCAACACAGCCCAGCATAGCATGACCCAGCCCAGCCAACCCAACACAGCCCAGCATAGCATGACCCAGCCCAGCCAACCCAACACAGCCCCACCCAGCCCAAAACAGCCTGGTCCAGCCCAACACAGCCCAGCTCAACACAGCCCAGCCCAACACAGCCCAGCCCAACACAGCACAGTCCAGCACAGAAGGTATTAGAGGTACT